GTGCAAAAAATGAATAACTTCCAGACACATGATTCATTATTAGACAAACTTCAAAACTCCATCCAAGTTTGCTACTTCCTGGAAGAAAAAAAAAAATGAGCTTCTAAAAGAAGATACATACCTCAATTGGCATCAAAGCTTTGGGAATGATCCTGCAATCACAGAGAATCCAATCAGAAACCCTTAAAGAAAGTTAGAAAATGAAGGAGATTAATAAAACTAATTGGAGAGTCTTAAACTAACCCGAGTACATGGAAACCACCTTCATAGACTCTCCTGGATATCAAACCCATCAATCCAACACTTCCTCCTCCATAAACCAAATCTATCTTCCTCTTCACCTACAATTTCCAAAAATCACAAAATCCAATCACACAACCTAAGATAACACATTCTAAAATAAAAAACAGAGGAAGACAAATTTCAACACTTCAAGAAATTTCACAGTTTTTTAAATGACAACATCCCTAGATTTAAAGAGTCGACAAACAAGAAAAAAAAACCCCAAATACCACAAGAGCTTACAATAGACGCAAACACAAATAAAAATCCACCAAACCCATTGTGTGAAATGAACAAGTAAACTAAAAAGTTGGTATTTTGACATTCAAAAACCGAGCAAAAAAGTTGATATCTGTATTGATTTGAAGAAAAGTTCATATTTTTATCACAAAACCAAAAGAGAAGCAATCAAAAGAAGAAGAGAAGAGAGAGAGCAAACGAGTTCATTGCCGAGTTCGATGGCAGCATCACTGAAAACTTCTCGGTGACCAGAGTGGCTTCCGCAAAAGACACAAATTTTTCTGAATCTGCTTCGCTGGTTACTATCTTCCATTAATGGATTAATATCTACAAAATCAAGCTATTCCCTCAAGTCGTTAATAAAAGAAACCAAATCAAGAGAAACACAAGTAGGCTAATATAAAGTGACAAGACGAAACCTTTGTTGTGTTGATGATGTTATTATATAGAATGCAAACAAAAAAATGGAGAAACTCAATTTGGATTGGAAGAAATCGGTAGAGAGCTTTGTATTTAAATGGTTTTTTTTTACATAATTGGTATTATTATAGGGCTTAAATAATAATTAAAAAAAATGTGGCGGATAATGATTATGGTATTGGAGGTAAAATATAATTGCTTTTGGTGGAATTTTGGCGGTTAATCGATGGGAGGTTCATAAAGAATTCTTGAAATTTATCTACCCAACAATTTAACAAGATATTTAAGAAATAAATCTCTTGTGAATATAACTAAAGTTTTGGAAAATAAAATGTTTTAGGTGCATTTAGCGTATTTACATGTTTTTTCCTCAAAAATCCAGTTTTCAATGATTATGTTTTTTACACTCGATCCGTTACTTTAAATAAAAAATTTAAACATTTGTTTTGGTCTCAGAAAGATAGGTTAGTTTTCTATTTGCACAAAAAAAAAAAAGGTTAGTTTTCTATGTCAAATTTATGTTTCTTTTTCTGATTTACCAATTAAAGTTAATAGAATCAAAACTCGTAATTAAATTGATACGTTTAGTTAATAGCAGTGTTCAAGAAAGCGCTAGGCGCTAAGCGGGCGGTGACCCAGTGCCTAGCGCCTAGAACGCCTAATCGGGGCCTAGACGATTTTTAGGCGGTTTAGACGTTTATAACATAAAACATAATATTATATATAAAAGTTATATAAAATATCTATATAAAACTAAAAATTATGAAATTATAAACAAAAACTAGATAAAACATTGATTTATATTTATATTAAACAATATATGAATATTTGTAACTATATATAAAAATAAAACTCTAATTGAAATTAAAAAAATACACTAAATAAGATCTATATAATTTAAGGCGGTCAAGGCGGTTATCTAGGCGTCGCATGAGAGCCTAACGACTAGTCGGGGCCTAGGCGACCGCCTAGACCGCTTTTTAGAACACTGGTTAATAGAAAGATGTTAGGTTCGGTATTGTATGTTTGTAACATGTTTAAAAAGAAGGGTGAAAATTCTGTAACATATAGTATAACTGAAAAATGGTTTTCATTAATTATTAATAATATTTAGTAATTAGTTGATTCAAAGATAAGTATTTGTAGAACTTGAAATTGTTTTTGAAAACCACTAAACAATTTTCATAGAATCCAAGTTCCTTCAAATGTTCCTCAACCAAATTACCTGAACACTTTTAATTTTTTATCATTCACTGTAGGCCAAAGCCGTCCACGGCCATAGGTGACAATTTTATAAATTTGCATACGTATATGGCGAACAGAGGAAGCCCACATGAGCCTCCCACAGCTCCTTCCCTCGTCCAACGCCAATCTGTCTCCTTTTGTACTTTTATATCCAAATTTTCTGTTGTCAACTATGTAATATAAAAAAAAAAAAAACTATGTAATATATAAGTATCATTTTTTTTTTATAATTATATATATCAAATTCATTAACGTGTTTTACTTCTTATTCAAATCAAACGAGGGTATTTAATGGTCACGGCAATAAATCAAACGGGACTACCTTGATCTATTCTTTATTTATTGCACCAAGGTTGTTATCTCACCATTCAGATTTAATTTTGCTTTTTTTTTTTCAAAAAAAAAAAAGTTAGTAGCAGGTTTCCCGTATTTGTTTTTTCACTCCATGAGTCATGCGTGACCATAACCTAAGTATTCACACTTTTAATGAAGACTAAAAGTCACTGGCGGCCTAAAATTAATTGTATAATGCATTCAGCTACCAGCTTCTTCTTCTACTTTTCGAACTTAATAATTTTCTTTCTTACCAAGAGTTTGTAGGTTTATCATTCTTTAAACATGTCAACATAAATAAATAAGCATAGATATCTACAATAATATTATATCATACAAGTCTTCATAACCATTGACCGGGCCAATTTTGAATACAATATCATTGCAAGCACGCAAATGCATGCACCAATAAGGCTATATCTTTATTTATGTTTGTCTGTTTTGTATCATACATGGCCGTATCTTTTACTTACGGTATCTAAAATTCGATGGGATTTCTTTGCGATATAAAAATAGAAGTAACATGAATGATTCATTTCTATTGCAATTATTTCATTATTGCACTCAGAAGAAAAAGAAAAAAATTGGATGATGATGTTACATAGAAAAAGACATTAACCTTTTAATATTTGAATTTATTTTCCAAGACAATTTGAAAAGTGATGTTCCCAACATGGCTTACCCAAAATTGATTGTCCTCTCTGTACCTGTATTCCGCTTGATTGAGCCTTGCAAATTATGAACTCAAAAAGTCAGCATTTATAACATGTCTTTCTACTCCTTTTCTTAAAATTAAGTAGTACTACTACTAGTATATTTTGTAAAAGAAATCGGTAGAATTCGAAAGTGTTTTTAAGCTGTAAGTTTAAATAAAACATTTAGGACTGCATAACATGAGCTTCAAATTACAAATCTTGGAAAGTTCGAAGGGTACAATAATCCTTATTCAAAAATTGTTGGGAACACTCCAATTCCAAATATCGGATGCATAATTCGTTTTGGGTTCGTAGAAAGTGGCCCACTGGCCCTAGTATAAAGGTTACTTATCACTTGGACCATTTAAAAGACATGAGCAACGGATCGCTCAATCAATGGTCATTCCCGTCTCAATAGACTAACACGTCTGAAACCATCAATCAATATGGCAGTTACGATACAACCGAAACAATCAATTTGATAACATTTTTCTTTGTAACACTTATAAACAAAATATCTATTTTAATAACATTTTCAAGCTTTATTAATCTAATCTAAAAAAGACATGAATCAACCATCACTATAGTAGATTAATAGCCAATTATTTAACTTTTTTGTTTAAAATTTGAAAAAAATAATACAAAGTACTCTTATTACATTAAAAACAGAAATCATAACGGATAATCTTATAACTTGATTATATGGTCGATTTATATATATAGAGAAAAACAAAAAAAAATTGCATCGAAAAAATTTAGATTGGTGATTTAGAATAAGATAATAATAATTATTGTTCTCCCCCAACCTCTGTTTTAAAGCAGTCCTCTTGAATTATCAGCTTAATGTGGTAATTTATCAGTAAATTAATTATCAACTTAATTTGGTAACTTATCAGAAGCAGATTTGGTAACTTATCAGAAGCAGCCAAAGACTCAAAAGTATGGTCTTATGTTTGTTTCTATTTGTTTAGAATCTCAACTTTGAATCTGTGAATTGTTTTTGCAAAACATTTTGCTTAGTTTTTTGTTTGCTCATTTTTTGCTTAATTTTTGCTTACTTTTTATCAATTTTTTTCTCTTGATTATTTAAATTATTTCAATAACCATAACATATTGATAGATGTGTAGTTACTATAAAAATTTTGCATCAAAAAAATTTAGATTGATGATTTAAAGTAAGGTAAATAGATTAATTACTCTAATTTTTCTTTTCTTTGTTTCAATGTTTAATTCAATTTAACAAATTTAACTAGATTATAATTTAAAAGAATTCATAAATTCTATTGTTATGCGCATGGTTGTAGTTGTTATAAACAAAAGTTTATGTATAGACCATTCAATTTTAAAAAAAAAAAATTGAACGTAGGCAAAAGTTTATTTTCTCTTCATATAGGCACGAGCCTGGTTGTCATTGCAGAGATCACAAGAGAGGAAACGATTTTGCTTGCAGCGACCGAGAGCTCGTGACAGTTCCAACATCCAACTAGAACCAAATATTTTCTTTATAAGTGTAGTTCTTTTTCACAAATGATGATATATTTTTACTTTATTTTTTTTTATATGTTCGCCTCCAATGCACATATATGTTAACACGGCTATGTGTATAGGCCTACATAGTCTACCTTCGCGCAGTATAGGCTTCACATGTCGACATGTTATAACCTCCTTGTTTGGAAGGTACGTACATCAAACCCCAAATCTTTAGACACACCAAAGTAAATAAATGTTGTCGGAAAGTTAAGGACGATAAATTAAACTAACTGGTTTTCTGGATATACGCTTACAGCGAAAAAAACGCAAGGGAGTCCATGATTTACAGCTACCGTCATGGCTTCTCAGGATTTGCAGCCTACATGACTGACTTCCAAGCGAACAAACTTTCAGGTACATAAAGCAGATTTTACAAAGCGAATTCTATTATAAGAGCGTATCTGATGGTTTTTCTCCTCAAAATTTTTGTATAGGTAGAGCATCCCGACGTAGTTCTAGTGACGCGAATCATTACTACCAGATGCAAACAACACGAACCTTTGACTACTTGGGGCTTTATGAATATGAAAACACTCTTAAAGAGCTTCTCTGTAAGGCCAACATGGGTGAAGACATCATCATTGGCGTCTTTGACTCAGGTAAAAGTTAAACCTACCTTTGATATAAAACAGATTCAAGTATGTATATGTGTAATAGTTTCAGATAATGATTAATATGTACATGCGTCCACAGGCGTGTGGCCCGAGTCCGAGTCGTTCAACGACAGAGGTTTAGGACCCATCCCGAAACGTTGGAAAGGGCATCGACGGTGAAGACTTTGAGTCTATCAAAACATTGTCAGCATTTCCTCCAAAAGCATTGATGTTACCGAAGATGCCAGACTTGAACCCGTGTTATTCATGATCGACTATGAACAGGGAATTACGATGATGAAGTACATAGGTTCCACAAGGTATACGTACTTATTATTTATATATAGTCTCTAGTTTTTATGTGAAGTTAACATTGTTTAATGTTTCTGGAATCACAGCTCGCCATAAGCACTGAAATCAGACTCACTGGTCCACTTGTAGCAACTCAAGTCGCTGAGTTCTCAAGTAGAGGACCAAACTCTCTGTCTCCCTACATTCTCAAGGTAACAACTTAATATGTGTTTCTAAAACATATACACCCAATTCTATATATATATATTCAGCAATTCATACCAACGTAATATTTGCAGCCTGATATAGCAGCTCCAGGTGTAGCTATCTTGGCTGCTAGCATCCCATTTATTTACATGTTAACATAGTCAATTTTAAAGAATCCCTTAATATTACCAGTAGTAACGAGAGCAGAATGAATAGCCGCAGGAGACCAGTCACTATGAACAGCTTATGACCAGTCATTATACCATGTAAACAGAGCTTTATAAATGTTATACGTGTACATTCGCCCGACTGTAAATTTGGGAATAACCAACATTGGTGACTCGTTTAGGTTTAGTATATCTGAAACTTTTCATGTATTCTGTCCTAATTTTAAATTCAAAGAAAAAAAAATGCATAGGTGATATACTTACGCTGCGAATAAACGTTTACTTATCAAAAACATACTAAAATATAAAAAAGTATATTCTCGTTTGTTCAAGTTGGAATAATTAATTCGGGATTTAAGTACCAAAGTTTTCGTTTTTCTTTATGGTTTATCTCTCTCTTTTTTAAACACAGAAGAAAACAATATGTGGCAGTAAAGGATGGTTTTTTAGATTGTATGATATTTCCCCACAATTATTGAAATTTTTTCATACCACCGCTCTAGGTTAAGTAAGACATGGTAATGGGGAAAAAAATGCAAACTCACTGGTCGAAGTACATCAACATTTGTGTCCTGACAGATAATGGGATAGTGACTTTGTGAGAGCCATCAGTCCAAGTCAAGCTCCCAAAATAGTAAATCGAATTGGATTTGTGAGTTGTGGAGACAGTGACCTTGAAGCTGATTTTCTTGACATTGGAGTTAAAGAGCAATATTTTGGGTGTGACAGAGATTTTGACACCCAAAGGAGGCTCAACGACGAGCTTATAGACAGAGTTAACGGGTCCGACGTTGGTGACTGTTCTAGTGAGAGTCACATCTTCCTTGAGGAATGGAATGGTGATGGAAGGCAAATTAAGATCAAGCATCGAGGGCCTTGGACTTGGACATCGATATGGCGTATTTGTCTTTGATATTTTGGTTATTTGTCTCTCGTCATAATCGGAAGCACATAGAAAAAGCCTATAGTCTTCCGCACCTATGTCGTAGACAAGACCAGGGTCGGCTGCTTTGTTTGGGTTCACTAGTCCTCCTCCGAAGTCAAATGGGTCGGCTAGTTTTCGTGTCATTCCCTCTGAGAAGATAGGTTCTCCGTAGGGATCCGTTGTCGAAGCTTAACCAATTAAAAATGAGTAAGTAATTAGATCAATCAGGATGCACAGCTCGAAGTAGTGCAACAAAAGAAAAGTGTTAGTTTACCTGTAGTGATAAGAGCTGACTTAAGCGCGGCTGGAGACCAATCAGGATGCACAGCTCGAAGTAGTGCAACTAAACCAGCAACTACTGGTGTTGCCATTGAAGTTCCTGACTGAGCCGCGACTCCGTCGTTAGTACTCATATCTTCTGGGGTACTAGCTGCCACTATCGCCACACCTGGAGCCGCTACATCGGGCTATAAAAAAGTAATGTTGCTATGTGATGCAAAAGAAATATCGATAAAATTGAGTTTTTTTCATTATCATGATTATTTGATCATTTAAAAATTGGGTATATATGATCATTATATGGAAACAAAAATTAAGTTTACCTTGAGAACGTATGGAGATATGGAATTGGGTCCTCTCCCTGAGAAATCAGCAACCTTAGTGGCTACAAGAGGCCCATTGAGCGCGATGGCAGAACTTATTTTTATGGTAGGCGATCTGTAATTAAGTGGTAACTTTAAATATTAAACACCATGCAAATTAAATCATATAATAAGAAAGGTCAAATTAAGCAGTGGTTTTTAATAATTACCTGGTGATACTTATGTACTTCCATATGGTAGATCCATGTTCATAGTCTACCATGATAACGGGAAGACCTTCGGAAACTTTGATAACATCATCTCTTTTGGCGGCAATAATTACAGCCTTAGCTTCGACCTCTAAAAGTTTAGTTACATAATCTGACTGACTTTCTTCACTTCCAGTCGTGAAACTTAGCACCACTTTTCCCTTTGCCGCACTCGTCATCTCGTCTGTGCTATATACGTACATTAGATCTCCTTGAATCTTATTGCCCTTATACGAAGTCCGTGCCTACATAGTAATAGATTAGAAGGGTCACATGCATTTAATGTCAAAAGAGAATCAAGTACACAGACACTAGTTTTCTTTTGTTTGGTTTACCATTAAGGTCACATTGTTGCCTAGTGTCAAAGGTGTGGGATACCACCGGTCTAGAGTGGTGGCAGCCACTGTTATGATCCATGGAGCTATGTTTTGGACGGTGTAAGCCCCAGGCCCAAAGTTTCCACCCGCACTGAGCACTGGAATACCATTGGCGACTGCATGGAATGCTCCATACGAGATTTGGTTATACATGTCAACTTCAGTCAGCACAGGGTTCGGCCTGCCTATTGAGATCGTTATCAAGTCCACTCCATCCGCTATGGCGTCGTCCATCGCTTTGATTATGTCTGCGCTCGCGCATGTGCCGTCTACTCTTTGCCAACACACTTTGTAAACCGCGATACGAGCACTAGGGGCACCGCCTCTTATTGTACCCCTTCCAAACCTGTTGTCACTCACATTTGAGACGAAGGATCCCCCAGCTGTGGAGGCCACGTGTGTCCCGTGAGGCAAGCCTTCCCTTGCGGACATGTATTCCGTGTCCGGTATTCGGCTATCCGTTTTGTTCCTACGGAAAAGACTATCCATGTAATACCTCGCTCCTATCAACTTCTTGTTGCAATGCTTCTTCGAGTCGAAATCTTCACCGTCTACGCACATCCCTTTCCACCGTTTTGGGATCGGCCCCAAGCCTTTGTCATTGAACGACTGTGACTCTGGCCACACACCTACAAACACACGTACATTTATATACTAGTTGTGTCCAATTGTCTTAAATTAATTTGGAGCAAATCTACATGGAAATTTAATATAAAAAAACGGACCCGAGTCCAAGACACCGATGATGATGTCCTTGCCCATCTTGGCTTTCTGAAGAAGTCCTTTTGGTGTGTTATGAGAAAGCCCCAAGTAATCAAATGTCCTTGTCGTTTGCAGCTCATAGAAACTATTGGGCGTTACTTGGACTACATCTGGATGCTCTATTCATAATTATGAAGATTCGAATCATTAATAACCTTTGATCTAATTTGCTTCATATATCTCTAATAATGCGTCTTTATATGTACACACCTGAGATTTTTTTTGCTTGGGAATCCGTAAGATGGGCAGCAAAGCCGGAGAAACCATGCCGATAACTATGAACTATGGACTCACTAGCGTCTTTTTTGCTGCAACCATATGTCCACAAAATCTGTTAGTTAATGCTATTTATTTTATTTCTAACAACATATTGTTTTACTTGTCTAATCTTGGTTTGTTGGTACCTTCCGAGTAGGGATTCTAACATTCTGAGATGCGAGGCCGTTACAAGCTCAGGATCATTATGCTCCTTTTCACCAAGGTATACTATGTGGACCTATCGGTAATGCACATTAATCTTTCCTTAATTACCTAAACGTTTTATTTTTTGTTTCCATTATTGAATAATTAAGAAAAATGTGACATAATATACCTTAGTCTCTTCATAGGCTCCTCCTTCCACAATGTTAAACTCCACGTTGAGAATACACACAGCACTGATTACCCAAAAAATCCACCATGAAACTTGAGAACTCATCATTTTTCCCTGCAGGGAAAAATCTACAAGAGATCAATGTCTCAGAGTTTTTCGTTTTCTTGAATATATTTTACATAATGAATGGTCTCGTATTTATGCCAGGCTAGCGTTTTGTCTCATAATTAATCGGTTATCTTCTGAAACGACTTACTTAGCTAACGTTGACATTATTAGGTTGTAAAAAACTTAAATACTCTTCTGGTATTTGCTTAATTTAAAATAAGATTTTCTAATATTCTCTATTTCATCGTTACCTTATTTAATAATAGAGTTTTCTGAGTTTGTGATGCCGTTTTATATTTTAACCCAATCTAGATTAAGCAAATGCTTTCTGCTTTTTTAAGGTTAAATTGCAGCACAAATTTATTGTTAATTTGAACTGTCAGATTATGGGTTTGGTAAAAAGTTTTAACAGTGTAATACACAGTAAATATTTCGGTGATATATACTATATCAAGAAAGAGCGAGTTTCCGGAGATCTGTTCCAGTTATTAGAAACAAAATTGGTAAGAAAAAGAAGAAAATAAAATCCTGGTCACCATTAAGAAAGAAGAAACAACTAGCGAATATGGGCATAATAATTCAACTAAAGCACCAACGTGACGCAGACGTTAAAGGAAAAAAGACACTAACGTGACGCAGTCCGACGTTGACAGTTTTTTTCGTTGTGAAGAAAAACTGGTCCATGATGTCATGATCTGAATCTGTCGACCCATTAAGGCTTCTTATGCATATTTCATAAACTCATAGAGTCATAGTATAACTATATATTTAAAAAAAACATGTGTAGATTAACGTTATAGTCCATATTGATTTGTAATAAATCTTACACAATATAGTTTTGCTATTTGATCTCTTTATTTTTCCTTGAACCTGCAACTTTAACATGTTCATTGTTTAGTTATAAAAAGGCAGTCTAGTAGCAAAATTATTAATAAATGAGGTAGTTTCGACTTCTGTCACTCTTTTTTTTTTTTTTTTTTTGAGCAAAACGACTTCTGTCACTCCAACACACGGTTTTAATGCCTAGCTCTAGGTTGGAGACTTTCAATTAGTCATATACTGTATATGACTATACTTTATTGAATTTTGTAATTATTTAGACTATATTATTAATAAAAAAAAAACTCAATTAGACAAAGATGTAGTAGTTCTCTAAATATTGTTCTTGCATAGATAAGATAGTTTGAGTATTTGTTTTCGTTTCTTTTTTTCTATTTTCTACTAAATAGATTCCAAACATTATTATCTGCTCTACTGCATCTTCCAATACAATGAGTCCATGCCAATTTAAAAGATTGAATATTAAGATTCACATTTGGTTGGTTCATATTCTTTGGGAATATTCTCACTTGTTCATTGCCAACTGCAATTTGTCACTCATGTCAAACTTCGTTAAAGTCGCACTAATAATCACGTTTTGACTATATTGGAGTACTAAATACTATTTAACTTAAACAATTCAACTAACAATTAGGAAAACTCTGTATGATAAGATATTAAAAAAAAAAAATCAAGTAAAAGTAATCTCTAAAACATGTATTAAGATAGAACGGAAAGAAATTAAAATGTCATTGACAAATTATTACTAATTTTATTTTCTCAAGTCTATCAAGATTTTTTGATATTTAAGAATTTCGATTTGTCCTTTATATTATTATAAATAAATAAATAAAAATATATATTGGTGAGATACCGTTGTCGACGATAGCTGGGACATGGTCTGATGATCTGATATCTGATGACGTCAAGTGGCTCCAATTTACCCTGAGTTAAAAGAAATAAATTACGTCAGCATCATTTATTACTATAGCCCCCATATGTCCGTCCATGTGACCACTCCCCTCTTCCTTCTCCTCTAATTCTTCCACTCTCTCATATGTTTACTCTTCATCTGCGTGTGCTACACGCTCCAATTTTGTCAATTACTCCTCTTTTTTTTTTACTAATGTTTTCAACTACAAATTACTTAGCTATAAATCTGTAAATTTTAAAACAAAGTTAATAAAAAAACTCCTCTCTCTTATTTACTAATGTTTTTAACTACAAATTACTTAGCTATAAATCTGTAAATTTTAAAACAAAGTTAATAAAAAAACTGTTTTTTTATTCTCTTCTTTCTAGTTTTGCATCTGTGAATAACATCATAAGTGTTTATTAAACATTCTAAAAACTAACATAGATTTAGTTATCTAGCTAGAATGTTTAAACACTCATGATGTTATTTACAGATGCAATAAGTATTATATACGGTATTATGTAGATAATGACATCTAATAACTTGTACTGTATAACGTGCATATAAAGTGTATTAAGTAAACGTTAAATTAGAGGTTGGGGTTCATGTACTTGTATAATGTTCTAATTTGTTTATGAACCGAATAGTTTTTGTTTTTGTGCTCAAACAATAATTGAAACGATGTTATTAATTAACCGCGGCCGAGATGGTCCCTAAAAAGTAAAAACTTGTTTGCACATGTGCCAACCAAATTTTGAATATAGAAGAAAATATTATAACCATATTTTTCCAGATAGGCAGAACGTACGAACCCGTAGAATCATATTCAATTTTTGTCGTTTGTCCTTATTAGCATTTTATTTGAAAAAGCATTATTAACGTCATGGGATTCAAACAATAAACAGCAAGAAGTCGTAAGATTAACGATGATGCTGCCGTATAGCGTAAATACCAAGTTATATAGAAATATTTTGAGGATCTCGTCCTCCACGTACGCCAGATTTCATGGAAAACTCAAACCAAAAGGTGTTTCTTTTATGTTTGGGTTTTTATTCCTTTTATATCAATTTACATACTATAATTAATACTCCCTCCGTATTTAATTAGATGTCGTTTTAACTGTAATTAGTTAAATTAAGGAAACATGACAAATTACAATTCTATCCTCAAAAAAAATGACAAATTACAAAATTGCTTTCCCTTTATTAGAGTTAGTTGTGTTTCATTAAGGGTAATTTGGGTATTATAAAGCAAAAGCTACTTAAAAAAGTCAAAACGACATGTATTTAGAAACTAAAAAATTTGACTAAAATGACACTTAATCTCATACGGAGGGAGTACCTAACAAGCTGTAATAGTATACTAATATACGTAGTTGTAATATGGTACATGCTAACATGCATGGTTACGTTACATACATGAGAAAATGTTTACATATGTGTCTCGTATATGTGAGTGAGGGCACATATACAGAACATTCTAATAAAATTAAAAATCCACTGATTTTATGTATATTAATTTATTCATGTACAATGTAACAAATCTTTAAATTTCTAAGATAATACCACTAAAAATATCTAGTATTCCACTCTTAGAAGCCAAAAACCATTATATATCAACTTTATATATATATATATATATATATATATATATATATTTAATCTATAATTTAGAATTTTAGACCAATCTATATGGTTGAAGAAAAAGAAAAAAGACCAAACTATATGTCATAAATATGAAGCGACCAAGCTGACCCTCGAAAACAAATTTAAAGTGACAAAAAATATATATATATTAAAAACACAAATAAAATAAATAATTAGCTAATGGTTACGTCATTATAGTGACACCCAATTTCTCCATTTATGGTCGCTCTCATCTCGCGTTGACATCAACAAAACTCCCTCTCTCTCTCTCTTTCTCTAACTCTTTGCTCTCTAATGAAGACGATGCGAGGTTTACGAGACTGCTCAAACGACGCCGTAACACTAGACCTGACGGTTCTTCCTCCTCCTCCAGCACCACCAACAGTCTCCTCCTCCACCGCCTCGACGAGCCTTTCGTTCGATGAAGAGGAGACATCAGAGTCAAAGATTGGACGGTTGCTATCAGAGCATCCAGTCATCATATTCACTCGATCTTCCTCATGTTGCATGTGCCACGTCATGAAGAAGCTTCTATCGACCGTCGGAGTTCACCCAACAGTGATCGAGATCGACGACGGTGAAATTGCTTACCTCGCCGTTGAAGCCGCTCCGGTGCTTTTCATCGGTGGTGCTTGTGTCGGTGGCTTCGAGTCACTTGTAGCACTTCACCTAAGTGGTCAGCTTATTCCTAGACTCGTTGAGGTTGGAGCCTTATGGGCATAATTGTAATTTTCTGTATTTTTTTTCTTCTTTCCAAGTTAGCCTAAATATAACCTAATTAAGAAAATCTGATAATAATATCCATTGTGAAAATTTCCATTAATCCACTCTTTATTTCAGAAACACAAATATGTTTCCTTTTTTTGTTAATCTAGTGTTGGTTGTTTTTTTCATATCTTTTGCCAGTTGGTAAGTGTTGTTTAGATCATCACGTGTAAGATTTATTCCATCATAATTATATTATTTGTGATTGATTTCGGTTTCTTCAAATTTCCGTATTGAACTATATATATATGTTGAACGATGTGAGGAGAAAAAACTAATGTGCTGATGTTAGACAAGGTCCAAATATAATTTTATTTCTAAAGAGTAGTAATTTTCTTGATTAAATTGGGGAGGCAAACTGAAAAAGAGACATTAAGTACAATATTATGTCATCGATGACCGGTCTCTAATAAATATTGACCTCGAAATTATGAAAAACTATATATTATTAATATGTAAATAGAATCCGTTGATTACCACGGAATCTGACTGCTATCTTTCTCTTGGACAATTTTGGTATCTGAATTTTATTTTAATTTATTTTTTTATTGTATCTTAAGAGATTTTGGCCCAAAGAATCTTTAGGGTGTAAAAGTAGGTGTCAATCGCAATTATTGCACAATCACTGCCGTTGGATTCTTCTTCGATACGTGAGACAAGCTTCATACTATTATTTTACTAAAGTTTTGATTGATGAATTCACAACCCCATGTGTAAACAGTATGTATGTAATGAATCTTTTATGAAATTTTACCATTATCACTCAACTAGCTCACCTAATTGAGATATCAATCTACAAATCGAATTGTCTCTTTTCGGTAACACGATTCACCCAAGCTAGACTAATTTTGTCAAGGTGCTTATGCTTTTTTTCATTTTTTTCGTTGCGTTGAATTTTCGAATACTGAGCTTTCTTAAATTATATCTAAAATTTTAAACATCATATTTTTATTTCCTTTGGTCAGAAAAATATATTATTATTTTTGTCCGCAAGAAACTTTCACATGTCAAAAACAAAAAATCTACCCGTAGATCCATACCTACCCATCACGCAAATAAAATATGTTTAGGGAGCTCCTCAGTGGTGGGGTGGGGCTTGGTTAGCCTTTGGGGGAAACAAGTTCTTTTTTCTTTTGAAACACCAACAGTTTTTATGATTTCATTATCATTTATTCTCTTCTTTTTGTTACAATATATAGTAAAATAGTTATGATAAGGACTTTTTATGAAATAATCAATCATGCAGTTATATTATGTTTTTTTTTTCAAAATTTGGTCGTTGCAGTTGTGTTGTGTTGCTCATAACCGCAGCAAGGGCACATATCACCATTCAAAGTACGCATGAAGAAATATAATTAAACAGAAAAGGGGATCAACTTGTATAAACCCATGATCTATAGTTTGGTGTTTTAATTATTGAAAAGGCAGAGTAGCAATAACCAATGAGAGTTGAATGATGTAATGCACACACATTATTATATATAACGACAATATTAAAAAGAGAGATACCTAAAGAAGCGAAATGATTAAAAGGCAACATAAGTGAAGGTGAGTTACAATGGCCACAGTTTAAAGGATACAGAAAAGACAAGTGTATGATTAATGAATGCAACTGAGAGACCTCCACCACAAATTTAAGAAAGGGCACTGCTTAAAATCCCAAAATCTATTTTCATAACAAGTTGACAATCTCTTTAAGATAATAAAAACATTAAACATATCTCGAAACAAAATAACAAAGTGGGGGAAAACAAGGGTAGAATTTTCATAAATCATTGTGTATTTTATTTAATGTGTTTTTTTTAATAAAATATAGGATTTAATTACGAAAACGCTATGGCATCAATTTTGCAAAAATTTCCCATAATCATGCTATCTCAGTAGAAACCAAAAAAAAGAAGCTTTGTCATAATTTCTTACTTAAAAATCTTGAAAGAAAATGGAGATCCAAAGTTCAGATATTTCTTTTTCTTCTTAACAATGCTTAAACTCTACAAGGCTGTCATGTGTTGTGCTTGAACATGGACGGTCCCTAAAAAATCTGAGCTCATATACCACTCAGCCACCACTAGTGAACTGACCACACTATTTTAGTATAATTCTAACAATTTTATAATCTTTATACTTGTTGATGAAAAAACTGATTGTCGTTTAACAAAAAAGAGCAATTTAATTGTCCTGAAATCATATCAATCAGAAAACCACTCCCTCTAATGTTATATATGATGGTATCCTTTTGATGTATAAATTATAGTAAAGAATGTAACAATATTTGATATTTTAATTTTAATAATAATTATTTGCTAGTTTAGTCTGGTTAAATTTTGATGTATAGATCATCGATTAAAATAAACTCTTGGTTGTCCATGGAGGAGAATCAATTGCTAAACACTATGGGACTCATGACACACTAGTCTTATTGATAGAACATGAGAAGGCTTATTATTATTCGTGCAAATTCAATAAGAAACATGAGAAGTCTTACAATCTTTTACCCAAGGAAACGACAATAACCACACCAATAACTTGAATACAACAGGCGCATAAATCTTAAAACATTCCGCAGTTCATGACAAGATAAGAAAAATCTTTAGGGCAGTCCAAAGATTATTATTATCAAGAATATATGATTCATTAATAAGTTGGGTTTGAATTGATTTGGGCATTTCTCATGCTCCAAGCTTCCAGGGACGTCATGATCACACCCTTTTCTCCATCATTGAACACATACAGCTTAGCTGCTTCACCAATTGCCAATTTTGGATAAACCCTAGATGTTATCACACTTTTTCCTCCTGCTCCGTAGCTCTCTATAATCGAGTGATCGATCTATAGACGACAACAACAACAACAACAAAAAAAAGTGGTTTTCAGAGTTTAGATTGTTTTAAATAAAAAGTCATTAATTAGGGTGAATATAAAAGAAACAACATTGCAAAATGGCTTAATTTAGCTCACCAAACATCTTAATGAGATCTTCTCATGCCTTGGATCAATATCTAGGAATGTTCCATGCGAAGATTTTTTTATGTTGTCTCTCAACGAAGACCTACGTATATATTACCATTTGTTACAACAAAACATCATACTTACACATGATAGAGAAACTAACATTTGGTTTCATGTTGTTAGATCAAATTCAAAGTCTTACCTCTTCTCGCTGCTGCCCATTACTACTGCATATCCGTTTCCGCGACGAATAACTTTAAAGAAGATTGCGGTTTGTTCTGATAAATCATTGGTAGCCAATGCTAGCAGTCCAAAAGGCCCGTAAACACATCCATCCGAGTTGTCACGATCAAACAGAGTCGCATCATCAACTTGGTCAGCATCAAGTATCTCGGGATTATCTTCCAGGAAAGGCAGATTAAAAGTCACTTCTACATCGGCCTTTAAGAACAACATGAGAAAGATAAATATATACGTACAAGTTGTTGAAACAAAATAAAGTATTAGCCGAATGATATAAGAGACGACGTTAAAATGAAAGAGTTCCACTAAAAACAAATCAAATACATAAACTACTACCTCAAGATTTTTCATTAAATCATATTTATAATAATCTGGCCCTATTATGAGAAAAACTTACTTGTGCAGCAGTGATGCCTGCGATTTCAAAGGTCGAGCCGGTTTTGAATTCATAGCAGTCAAGGCTAACACTTTTGGTCCGGAGATTGTTGATTTCTTCAATTGGCCATTGTATCAGCTTCTTTCCACTTGTGTCCATCCAAATTTCCCTGGGAAGAGACTAAGCCAAAAAAAAACCAATTGATCCAATTATTCTTGACAAATTATCTCTACTCTACAATTACTTTAAAATAAACCTTATATCATATTTACCATAAGGCCAGCCCATCCTTTCTTAAAATCATCTTCTTTGCTATCAGTCTCTACGACCCATCCCCAGTTGATCCTCCGATTTTTAACGCTATCGAAGAACGCCTTCGATGCATAAAACGTTCCATGATCATATCTCAAATCCGCACTAGTGTTAGTGAACTCATAATCCGCTGAAAATTCTTCAGTCTCAGAAGAGTATTTACCAATGACATAGCAATCATTGCCTCCAAAACTCGCCTTCACGACATGCCTCACAGTAGCATTGTTCACTGAAGTGTCAACACCTTCTTTACCAGTGATGGAAACCGGGAAAAAATCAGGGCATTCCCACATTCCGGTTCCTTCTGACTCAAGTAAAGGCACCGGATACTTTGTCCACTGGACAAAATCCTCGCTTCGGTACAAAATCGCCATTCCTTTCTCAGTATCTTTCTCCTTAGCTCCGATGATCACTCTCCATTTCCCATCTTGCCCTTGCCACGCCGTCGTTGGGTCACGGAAACAATCAAAAGGGACATTACTTGGCGGAACCATCACAGGATTGTACTTTGGTTTAACCCACTCACGAAGCAAAGGGTCAGAAACGTCCTTTGGTTCGGCAACAACTGTGACTTGCTGTTTGTTGTTGTCGTCGAGTCCGGTGTACAAAATTACAGGTCTGCCATCGGGGCGGATCGTGGCGGATCCTGACCAGCAGCTGTTGATGTCAAAGGGCTCAGAAGGAGAAAGGGCTGGCTCAAGTTGGATCCAGTTGACCATATCTTGTGAAACAGAGTGCCCCCATATAATCCTTATTTTACTGAAAGCAGGAGCCAAAGGGTTGTGCTGGTAGAACAAATGGTAGAATCCTTTGTAGTACATTGGCGCTGAAACAACATTTATAATATAAATATTTCATCATATTAAAACAACTTTGGGGTTCCTTGTGTCACAAGCTAATGATTTGTAGAGTATTTAATTACCGTTTGGATCTTCAGATTTCCAAAACACATCCAAGCACCAGAAGTGACATAAAATTAAGACAATAATCGTTAGTTTTCAGTATCGTCTTGTAGGAATTACTAACCTGATTCAATGATTAATTGCAATAAACAGAAATTAGCCATTGTTTTTTTTTTTTTTTCGGTTTTATGAATTGATAATATAAGATCTTTGCCAACATGATCTTTTCTTTAATTTTTTGTTCACAACCAACATGATCTATATATGAATAGAAATAGGAGGTAAAAGAAAGAAATAGAACCGTTGAGCCAATTTCTCTGAGGTTGGAAATGGAAGGAAGTCCGGTTAAGCTGGTTGTCTTGAAGAAGATTCTGTTCCATTGCCTCAGCCATCGATGATCGGTCTTACTCGGCAACGAAATCGACCCTCAAGGATTTACGAAAATGATGTGTGTATGTGTTGCTTTCTTTTATGAATTACTCTTGAGATCTTGCCAAGATCAAATGATTATAGAGTCGTCAGAGAAAATCATCGTACTTATAATGCCATTGGCGTTGACATTGACAAACTCTTCTTATTCTGTCTTAATCTCGAAGTATCGTGGAAGAAACTCTCAGATAGTTGCTAATTATATCTGCTTAATTTTATTATAATTATTGATTAAGCTTTGTAGTCGTCAGTCTTTGTTAATAATACATTGTAGGTGAAAAGGTCTTTGAATTATTCATTAAATGTGATTTCTATTATTTTTGCGGAAACTTCATCAAGTGGAGTTATATATATTTTAGTCAATGTGGTCCCCAGTCTTTGTTTGAGGAAAAGACACTTTCAAGTTTCAATAATTTAATCCTTTGTATTAAAAACAATGAGACGGCATCGTATGGCTTCTTAATCCTTAAGTCGTTGAAAGCACCAAGTAATCACACCAATAAATATGGGGTTCATGATTAGTACCAAGTAATTAGACCAATAAGAATATTAGGATGTTTTTAACAAATATCATATTATTTTATCTGATAGCAAGCTATTTTACTTGGTATCATACTATTTGTTAAATCAAATGCAAAAAAATACACCATTTATTTACAATATTGCCACGACGTCTTTTTGCCAGTATTGCTAGCTAATATCTTTGGATTGTTCATTAATTGTCATTTCTATGATTGAGAAAACTTAGGCAGGCAGGGTTAAAATATGTTTAATCAACTTGGTCGATGGTCTTTGATATGTATTAAAATTTTTCTCTTTTCAATATGCAATCATTTAGGGTCCTAAAACCCTCTATTTTTTTAAAAAAAAAAAAAAAAAAAGAGAGATCATTTTTTTTTTTTACTCCTTACATTTCATAAAAAGTGTCATTTTTATTACACTAAAAGTGAAAGAAATTCAAATTTTATGCATTTTTTTGACAAAATATTCCTTTTCTAACTACAAATCAAAATGATCCAAGAGTCATTTAATACTGATTTTCTTCCTAATCCCAAACGTTGAACATATCATTCATTAAATCATTTTATATCTGTATAAGAAATTCCCGAGTCACTTTAAGCTGAGGTATCTCCTCCGCGCGACGATGTCGGAGACTCGCCGGAATCAATCTAGCCATGAACGAATCGACAAATCGGGTAAGCTTCGTCTCCTTTCTCGATCGTAAATTGTACGATTGTGTTTTTGATCCATACGCTTCTGATTCTGACATTTCGCTATCATTTGGATTTTACTGCGATTTTGATATGTGAGGTTATGTTCAAATTGTTCCTACAACTACCAATTCGATTGTATTCGGCTTTCAATGTTTGATTGATCATAGAACAAGCTTTTGTATTTGCTTGAACATTGTTGGTGATTGGAATTTTGTTCTGGAAATTCTTGGCAGAGATTCAACGCCAAAGACTTGTAATTGAGAACAGTCATGGTGAGAAACTCGTTGGAGTTTTGCATGATACGGGTTCTATAGAGACTGTTGTCATCTGCCATGGATTTCGGTCATCAAAGGTTTTTTTTTTTTTTTTTTTGGTAGCATTCTCATCAGTTTTCATCATTTGCAAACTTCCTTTGATTCATATTTTAGATTCCATGAAAATTTGAATTTGTATTGGTTTTCTTTAACACTGTAATCTTCATATATATTTACTTATAGGATCGGATTCCAATGCTGACCATTGCCAGTTTCTTTGAAAGAGCGATGATCAGTTCTTTCCGGTTTGACTTCGCTGGCAACGGGTGAATTGTTACTTCTCTTTCTTTCTTTTAAAGTGTTTGTTGCTTTACTCATGTTTCTGAACTTCAGGGAAAGCCAAGGATCATTTCAGTATGGTAACTATCGCCGTGAAGTTGAAGATCTGCGCTCTGTTCTGCAACACTTGCGTGGGGTTAACCGTGAGATTTCTGCGATAATTGGACATAGTAAAGGTATATATGAACGTAAAACTAATGTTGATTTCGTGTTTCTGAATTTCAAGAAAGAATAGAGCTTTGTTGTTCTTGTCACTGAATTTTGTGCAGGTGGAAATGTGGTGCTTTTGTATGCAGCAAAGTACAAGGATGTGCAGACTGTTGTGAATATCTCGGGCCGGTTTTTTCTTGAGAGAGGAATCGAAGGCCGGCTTGGTAAGGACTATTTCAAGAGAATCAAAGAGAATGGATTCATAGATGTTAGTAACAGAAAGGGTAATTCTTTCAGCTTTTTTGTTTTGTTTTGTGATTGTTAGAGCCAGAAAACATAGTGTTTGGCATTTACCGGTACTGTTAGAGGCAACTCCTTCCCCTTTATTCATTGCAGGAAAGTTTGAATATCAGGTAACAGAAGAGAGTCTAATGGACCGTCTCACAACCAATGCTCATGAAGCATGTCTCTCAATTCATGAAAACTGCAGGTCTATCCTCATACCCTATAAGGATTTGTCTCTTTTGGTTTCATTCTATAATAGAGGAACTAATGATTCTCTTAAAATTTCAGGGTCTTAACAGTTCATGGGTCAAATGATAGGATCGTGCATGTAACAGAAGCGTCCGAATTTGCCAAATATATAAAGAATCATAAGCTGTGTCTTATTGAAGGAGCTGATCACGAGTTCACTTCTCATCAGCATCAGCTTGCTTCAATTGTTCTCTCATTCTTCAAATTGGATCCCAAGAAAGATGATGAGTCAGGAGATATCAGTACAAGTAACCAAGACTCCATGAGATCAGTTGTTACTATTACATCGCGAATTTAAACAGCTTAGCTGAGTTAGTTGATGTCTCAGGTGTGATAATAAACGGTTTGATAAATCAGTTAAACACAAGTAGAAACCAAAATGTTCTTATGCTGGATAAAATCTTCTTGTTAGGATACAGTCTGGTTAAATGTCTCAACACAAAATCGATCATAAAGGTTTCACTTGGTTTCTTAGGCCTGGTTTGGCATCAATTTTTGAATCTAGCTGTCCTAATCTATTGGCTTATAAGACGAGAGATCACCGGTTTGGCCGATGAGAGTATATTTGGTCTTACAAAGCTGATCGTGCATGGGTCAAGGATGAAGAACGCATTCATTTCAAGACACATTTTAAATATTAAGATCCCCAAAAAGAGAAATGTTTGGAGAAACATGTCTGGAACTATCGCAACCCGAATAAGAAAGTAGTATGATAATCCAACTATACGTTATGTTGAAAGTTATTATCATGATGCGATTTCCTCCAAACACATAGGATAACTCAGGAACTAGCTCGTCTACATGAACCCGCCATGCCAAAAACCGACGACAAAGGTGATCATCAACCAGCCTGAACCTTCTTACCATCTTCGATGAAGAAAATGGATCTTTCAGGTACCTAGAAATTGGCAATGCAACAATCATAAGTTATCAAACAAATGCAGAGAGAACCAAGAACAAAAATAGAAAAGGATAAGCTATGTTACGTCGGGCCAAGTGTCTGTAATGAATTCAACGATATCATAGATTATATCTCCTTGAACATCAATTTGCTCCTTTTCAGTTGGTCCCTGAAACGCAGTAAATTAGAAAAATCTCAGCATAAGAGGAAGAAAGGGGAAAAACAAAGTAAGGGGTCAAAAATCAAATATCTAGAGAAGAAAATTTCATACTTTTCTCTGGACCCCAAATTTTGAACTTACAGGTCTAAAACAGTTACAAACTCTAAAAATCATAAGCTCTGCTAACCAAGACCAGCTAGAACAAAACCCAATATCACTAATCTGTCTAAGCATAAAACCTATTTCGTATACATATTTGATTTGTGTAATTCATCCTCTACATAGTAACATACCTTGACAACTGATGCTCCAGTGGCAAACTTCTTCCCAAGCTTTTTAGAGGCGTCACTGAGTTTTATCCCTGACGAACAAATTTTAAGGGTTAAAAGAATGAGGTATGTTCCAGCCAATAAGAATACTAAGATATCTCACAAAATAAGTAAATAACTCACCAAACAGTTCTAGTCCTTTCACAATGGTGATACACTTGCGCTTGTTGCGTACAACCTTTTCAATAATAACTTCCTGTCGATCCTATATAGCATCCATAAACATTAGAAAATTAGACAACTGGACAAACAGATCCACGTCAAAGACGAAGGAGTGGAAACCGGAAAAGTAAACGCAGATATGTGAGTCAACTGAAAAGTGTATGTTTCCATGGAAACTTGGTAATGCATTAAGACATTCCAGTAAGGTGGAACGAAGGTTACACGATATTACTTACTTTCTTTTTAACTTTTCCCCCAGGTAGGCGCTTCACTTCCTCCTTCTTGGATGTCCCTGCTATATATATTGGAAAACCCAGTGATTAATGAGTAGAAATTCAACTAAAAGCCAAATCATTCCAACATAGACATCAATACCAATCAGTAACTCTAGAATATTTATCATTCATGCTTAACAGTTCGATTGCAGATTCCCCAGAAGAAACAAATACATTAACGATGCTTCCAGCCATTTACATAGCGATGTACCGTAACGAATATGTGTATACGATAGAATACATACACCAAGTACATTTCAGATCAGTATTGAGAGAGTAATTATACTTGCAACTATAAGTGGAGTCGAATTTTACATGAACAAGTAAAAGCACACACATAGACGGTTACATACCAGTCTGAGCTGAAGATGGTGCCCCATCAGCACCACCTGAAGAGATTCCCACTGACTGGAGTTTGTCAGAAACATTATCTGCTGCCTTCTCATTAGCTTCTGAACACATTTAAAATTCATATTCAAAATCAAATATTAGTATGTCTTTAAAAATTAGATTAAACTCATTGTCATAACCTGTAGAACAAAAGTGCAAAAGGTAAAAAAAAATTCGAAAACTCTACACAATAGCATTGACAATCCAACATTACATAATCACCACCTTGAACAGACCATAATATATGAATCAAGCTAAAACAAAAAAAAAGCTTCATATTTTCGATTGTGTGAATCTCTTAGCCCTTGGAAGAAATAGAAAATTTTTGAGGCACTGGTCATAAAGCTGACAAACCTAAAATCAAACGAGTCCTGAGAACTGGTCGAAACTCGTAAAATTAGGGTTTGATTTAATTTTAGGTACCTTTGAGGAGATCAGGATAGAGATCCGGGGCGTTTTCGACGAGCCAGGGTTTACATCTAGCGAAATCGGGACCGAATTCGCAGTATTCCGCTGGAAGAGAGCAAACTCCGCAGTACAAAACCTTCACCGGCTCGAGCTTCTCCGCCATAGATAGTTCTTGTTTCCTTTGGAAAAGCGAAAATGAGATTCTTGTGTGGCAAAGTGATGAGGGAGAGAATATGGATTCTACGGCGGAATAATCCTTTTCCTTTTTTTTTCTTCTGTTCGTCGCTTGCCCCCGCGAAGTTAATGATGTCGGAAAACCAAACATAGAAGAAAAGTGAAAAAAGGCTTAGGACATGTGTTGGGCTTCTAATTTCATTGGAAAACGACAAAGCTTATTGATATTTTGGTTAAACTGGTTTAATTTGGGCCTTATTTTGGTTATTGGGTTTTAAAACATAAACTTCTATCATTTGCTTCAATATTAGAGGCCCTTTTCATAAAATCTAAGAGATATGGATGCCATTTTTAATTCTTAAAAAAATGAATTATTGGCATTGCCAAAAAAATTCATTTAAGGTCTCATACATTTTGGCCAAAAAAAAAAAGGTCTCATACATTTTACTATGCGTGTCTTCTATCATGATTCTAATGTCTAACGTCCGTCCGTGTATGCAAGTCTTCTTTTACCGTTTTTTTCTTTTTGGTTTGTACTTTGTACTGGATATCCGGTCACCGACTCAAATATATGCCGACGTTAGAAGTCATGCGCTGAGTTAAATATGATGACTTATTACAAGTCTTTTTTTTTTTTTGGAGTCGCACCAAATACGTTATTGTCAACTTTTTTTTTTTCTGCGGTTCTTCTTTGCCATTTTGGGTAACGCCATGTCCCTTGGACAGATTCCTTTTTAGACACACCGACATGAAGTCGTCGTCCATAGTTGGATAAGATTTCACGAGTCTATCCCTGGTCGGAGTCAGTTACAAATGACCTCTTCAAAATTTTACTTAGAATAATTAGTTATAGTTAATTAAAAAAAAATGTTTCTTAGATAAATGAACCATTTATTCATGTTTTCGGACAGAATGACCGGCAAATTTGTCTTTTTGGAGACTCTGATTGGCAAGATATAATTTAATGTTTATATCATCAAACCATATAACATTCATGAATGGAGTGATCTGTATTAATTTTTATAACATGCAACTGCTATAAAAAAAAATAGTATATGCACTTAAGACGATTCACATTTCTCTTAAATGGTGTAGTATAATGCGAAGAGATGGTTCAACATCTAACATTTAACACATATCACTTGTGTTCTTCATTGGTCTCTTCATAAACCCCACGCATCTTTTTGCATTTTTAAGGTTCTGTTTATTACTACTATGATCTTCACTTTAATGCTCTCACTATAACGCAGTCACTGCAATCTCCAGCTTTTTAGTACTTCCATTCCCTTATAAGTATTACATTTATATTTGTATATATAAATTCAAACAAAGAAAATTCCAAACAAAAAAAAAAACAAAAATCCAAGAAATTTTTTTTAGAAGCTGTGAATTCTCTGGCCTTCTTCTACTTGACAATATCTTATCTCTCTCTCTGACTCTTCTCTGAAAATTTTTAACTAACAACTGAAGAAATTTCCTTTTGGATCATTCCAAAAGTTTCACAAAATCCAGAAAAAAAAATAAAATAAAAAGATTTTCAATTGTGAAAATATCAAATTCCCTCTAAAAACTCCATTTCCAGACTTTAACACTTAGATCAGACTTACACTTAGATTTTTTAGAAGTTGCTACAATTGGAGTTTTACCTTTTGGTATAGTTCCTTCAAATCCTTCACATGTCACTTTGATCTCTACTCCTTCACTCTTCAGCTTCCCCATTATCATCTTCACTTTAGTTCTCATCTGGATCTCAAATACCACACGCGCGCGCGTCAGATCTGTTTTCAGATGCTTAGCCTCATCCGGATCTAACTCACGCGCCGTTGTAGACGTAGCGATCACGCCGTGAAACGACGTCTTGTTACCGTTATCACTGAAGAAAGCAGGAACAGTTCCGTTACCGAGCATCGTACCGGATTTGGCTGATTTAACGGTGACGGTGAAAGGATCGTAAGAGAAAGAGAGGTGTTGATTTGGATTCTCTGAGAGTAAAGTGAAGTTGAAGAAGGAAGAGAGATGAGAGACGGAGGAATCAGAGGCGGTCGTTAGATTTACGCGGCTGATTCGTAGCGACGGGACGGAGAACGACGGCGGACGAGGGTGGTAGATCACGTACATCGCGGTGGCGGCGATTGCTGTCATGAGAGCTAAGATCAGAATTATCAGAATCGACCAGAAACAACAACAGCAGCAAATTCGTCGGCAGCTTGGTCGAGATTGGTGATGATGACGGCGACTGTAAGGCTGTGGACGGTAAATCGGACGGTTAGCCGGAATATAGACTTGAGGTTTCTGATTAGCCATTCCGTTGGCTGTTCCGTTGCTGGTTACTGCCGCCGGAGCTGGCGGAGGTGGTATGGAACCACCTGGTGGAGCTCCATTAGTGGCGGTTGGTGGTTTGGAAGCTGGGAAGACTCGGTCAGTCATCTTCTTCTTCTCCGATTGTTTCTTTCTCTGGTCAGATCTGAGCTCACAAAAGAGAGAGAGATAGTGAGAGAAAGAGAGAGACAATACAGAGTTTTTGTGGAATCTTAATAGCTTTAAATTACAATTTTTTATTAATTTTTTGAGTTTATTTATTTATTGCTTTAATAATTTGTGTTTTTTTTCGGTTTTCAGTTTTTCTTAGATTTTTGTGAATGTTCATGACTTCCATGCCAAGTCTGTGGAATCTTTATTGGGTGGTAAAATAATTAAATGTAGATAGGTTTATTTACAAAGTGGCCCCAATTTATACAAATTTATTTCGGAAAAAACAATTTACACATGTGTAGTATTTTTTTAACGAATAATACTAAGCTGTGTTGTCGATATTTTTTTCCGTCTTCAATTTTTTTTGGTTTTGGTAACTTCATTTAACTCAATTAAAAAAAAAAACTCACACCAAAATTTTCAAGTTTTAGTGTTTCAAAATAGAGTAAATAGAAAGAAAGAAAAAAATAGTGTTATCATGACTGTTAATGAGTATCCACAAATCAAATGAAGAATAATGGGTAAGAGTAACACAGTTAAAGATGTAATTGAATATCAAAATGACGGAAATAATAATCCACCGACACATAGTGATAGTGGTAGTAGTTCACTTAAAATAAAATAAAAAGAGTGCACGCAATTGAATAAGTTTGAATTTAAGTCAGTGCTGCAGGTTAAAAAAAAGAAAAGAATTAAATGAGTGCAGATATTGGAGTAATAGATTAGGGATCCGAAATTAAAAATATAATTAGAATAATCTCCATTTGGTTCAGAGAGTAAATCCCAAGTCAATTATTATTTCATCGGCAATGCTGCTCTGCTTTTAATTTTTGTTAATAACCTTTGTTTCCGAGCTCTCAATTCCCAAGATTAAGCGTGATTAATAATTCAATTCAATAGCTCTCTAACTAAGTATAGTTCCCAATTATCACCGGTCAAGTGTCCACACACCATAAAGTCTTGTAAAACAAAACAAAATAAAACACTCAAGATCGATCACGTTTCATTAAAAGATAACTGTATTACAGAGTAGCATTGTCGGAAACCACAAGTGGTTCCAACCAGCAAGGTACATAAACATCAGCGATGGAAACATAAAGGGGAAAAGATTGAGCCTACTCCACCAAACCATAAAGTCTGTCTATATACCCCAATAACATATGGTAAAGTTTGTTTCTAACGTCTTACTTTATTACTTTGAACCAAAAGTTACATTGTCACTTGTGAAATACCTAAACATATATGATATATCACAAAAACATCATATATAACCACCGATATATATACAATTACATATAGTCAGGGATTATAGAGATGGATATAGTATGACGAGAGAAGCAAAGTTGTTAGCAAACCCAATCCAAGAAAGGGTCCTAGTGTAATCAGTATTCAGTAACATGATCCAAAATTACAAAGGAGGCAGAGCACAATGTTAGTTAGATAACCAGCAACAATGCCAAATAAAACAAACCCTAACTAAGAACATTCCTTGCTCTTTGTAATAGTTGTGAGCAAACGTGTCAAAAAAGGAAAATATTCACCGAACCTTTTGCTCTGGACTTTCCCAAACGAAAGTGAAAAAGAAAATAACAGAAGAGTAAAAATAAAAAGTAAACTTGAATCCCAAACATATGTGAAAAATGGAAAATACACTGCGATTTGAAAAAAAAGGAAACTATACTGAGATTTGAAAAAAGGAAATTACACAGAAGATGTATCTACAAATATAGTTTCTCAATGTCAAATCGTTTTAATCATCACAAACCAGAGAAAGACAGATTTATAGAGTGAGAAAATTGCACTCTGAATTTTTTTAGCATTCTCTTCTTCGATTTATACTTCCTTGCTTCTTCTATTTCATCTTTGGCTCCAACGCTTGATTTGTCGTTGCTTTCTTTTCGCCAATAAGAAACGAGCGTGATGGAGGATGAACTCTTCGTTTACATTCACTCAAAGCGAGATCATAGATGTATGTGCGATGATTCTCTCTTCTCCTTCGGTTCGTCGTAACGGCTGGTCTGTGATTTCTAAGAAAATCTGCGAAGAATACTGAAGAGGTGGGCGCTACATCGTCGTCGGAGATGACTGGAGAAGAGAGGCAAGATTGATGAGGTGGATGGACAGTGGTGAAAACTAGAGATCTACGTATGTGCAAAGCCCAAAAAAAACAATTTCGGCCCATAAAAACAAGTCAATTTCAGCCCCTCTCTCTCTTTTTTTTTTAATATATTTATAAATTAATAAATTTTAAAACTTTTATATGCTAAAAATTCTAAAAGCTTTTGAAAGATTACGGATTTTAGAAAATATTCTTACGGATTTTAAAAGGATTTTTTTACAACTTTTCATCGATTTTTTTTTAAAAATTTAAATTATTTTTTTAGCTTAAAAAATAGAAATTTGAATAATAAATTTACAAGACGAAGTGAACTAACCGGATTTTGGATCCTGTCATAGATCGTTAGCGATTCCACAAATTCAACTTGTTTTCGCATCGTTATGTAAATTTCTCATACAAGTTTCTATTTTTTTAAGAAAACATTTTCAATTTTTTTCCATGGGTTTTAAAAAATATTATTCACAATTTGTTTGCTTTTGAATTTTAAAATAATAGAAATTTGGATAATAAATTTACAAAACGATGTGAAACTAACCGGATTTTGGATCCTGTCATTGATCGTTAGCGATTCCACATATTTAACTTGTTTTTGCATCGTTATGTAGATTTATCATACAAGTTTCGAATATTTTATAAAAATTGTATATGGGATTTTAAAAAGGCGTTTTACAATTTTCATTCAAAAATGTTTTGTTTTAAAGTTGATTTTTTTTTTGCTTTAAGTTACATAGCTAGCTATGAACATATCTAGCTATGAACATCAAACTTGCCATATACAGTAGTTGTCTTTTCCTTGTTTTTGTTTTTGTTGACTCCTCTACATAGTACAACCTCGTTGTTCTCTCTTTACCTTGAGTTGTGCACAAACAATGTTAAATTGGTTTTGAGTCTCCACATGTGCATGGCTAGACAGAGCACTTCATCGTTATCATTCAAAACAATGTTTTACAGTATCGTCTGAAATATCCGCATCTACGAACACATTGAAGTATTGGTGGTTGATGAGAAATGGCAATTTTTTTTTTGGTGTCAAAAATGGCAAATTTGTATACATAGGGCTAGATTTCCAAGACGGTTGAGACAAGTGATCCCTAATGCATCAAGATTATTACAACACACAACCGAACAAACACGAGCAGAAACTATATCCCCAAAGGCCCAAAACCATATACATGCAAAAGAAGTTAAAATCGACTTTGTTTCTTCTTCTTTAACCACCGGTTCGATATTGTCGGATATCCAAAACCGGACCCGACAGGACTCGTTGACTTTGTTTCTAAACCCTTCAGTGTTACTGTAACAGTCGCACTCCAATACACACCTCACAAAAAATCCTCCAGCCATGGCCGCTGCTACTCAATTCCTCTCCCAACCTTCATCTATCCGCGGAACCCTAAATCAATACCAATTGAACCAAACTTCACTCTCAAGAATCCCAATTCTGTCTCTGAAGTCCACATTGAAGCCACTTAAACGCCTCTCCGTCAAATCCGCCGTATCCCAAAACTCCACCAAAACCCGCACAAAGGAATCTGCTTCCTCTTTCGACCACTGTTTCAAGAAATCATCAGATGGGTTTCTCTATTGCGAAGGAACTAAGGTTCAAGATATCATGGAGGCAGTTGAGAGAAGACCCTTTTACTTATATAGCAAACCTCAGATCACGAGAAACCTTGAGGCGTATAAAGAGGCTTTGGAAGGAGTGAGATCTGTTATTGGTTACGCTATTAAAGCTAATAACAATCTCAAGATTTTGGAGCATTTGAGGAGTTTGGGCTGTGGTGCTGTCTTGGTTAGTGGAAATGAGCTCAGGCTTGCTCTTCGTGCTGGTTTTGATCCCAAAAAGTAAGATTCTTTATCCCCAATAATAAAGTTTGAATATTGTTGATGGAATCAGAATATGAGAAGATTGATTTGGTATAATGGTGATATGATAGTTGTTGACCATGTCTTTGGTGTGTTAAAATGAATAGGTGTATTTTCAATGGAAATGGGAAGCTGTTGGAAGATTTAGTTCTAGCTGCTCAAGAAGGTGTTTTCGTAAATGTTGATAGTGAATTTGACTTGAATAACATTGTGGAAGCTTCAAGAATTTCTGGTAAGCAGGTCAATGTACTGCTGCGTATCAATCCTGATGTCGATCCTCAGGTACGGTTTGATTTTCAAATGCTTTAGCTCCATTGTTCTCCACAGCTTGGATATGAATGAGCTTTTTCTGTTTGTTTACATTTTTCAGGTGCATCCATATGTAGCTACTGGGAACAAGAACTCGAAGTTTGGTATTAGAAATGAGAAGCTTCAATGGTTTCTGGATGAAGTGAAGGCACATCCCAAAGAGCTAAAGCTTGTTGGAGCTCATTGCCATCTTGGCTCTACCATTACAAAGGTAACTCCGACTATAGTGAGATGAATATGGATTGCTCTCTGTTCATGTTTCCCATGTTTACGTTTGCTCTGTCTCTAAAATCTCAACTCTTGAGCTCTACATATCTTTCCTATTCCAGGTGGATATTTTCAGAGATGCTGCGGTTCTCATGATTGAATACATTGATGAAATCCGGCGTCAAGGCTTTGAGGTTAGCTACTTGAACATTGGTGGTGGTTTAGGGATAGATTATTATCATGCCGGCGCTGTCCTTCCTACACCCATGGATCTCATCAACACCGTAAGAACAACATCTCTAAACTCTATTCTTTATCTGATCTCAAAAGTACTGGAATTGGTAGAATCTTTTCAATCCTGGATGTGTTTCAGGTAAGAGAGCTTGTTCTTTCACGAGACCTGAATCTAATCATCGAGCCAGGGAGATCGCTGATTGCAAACACATGTTGTTTCGTCAACCATGTAACTGGTGTGAAGACGAATGGAACTAAAAACTTCATAGTGATTGATGGAAGTATGGCTGAGCTTATCCGTCCCAGTCTTTATGATGCCTATCAGGTTAAACAAATATACTTCTCACAACAGCATCTGCAGATTCTAGTTCCTTTTGAGCTATAGCTAAACATCCTCTTGTTCTTGTTTCTTAACGCAAAAGCATATTGAGTTGGTCTCTCCTACACCGCCTGAAGCAGAGGTTACCAAATTCGACGTAGTGGGTCCTGTCTGTGAATCTGCTGATTTCTTGGGCAAAGACAGAGAGCTTCCCACTCCTCCACAGGTATGATAAGGATCTGATTATGTTTGGCAGCTCAAGTTATGTGGAATCAAATGAGCTTACTGTATTCATTACAGGGAGCCGGTCTGGTGGTTCATGACGCTGGTGCATACTGTATGAGTATGGCTTCCACTTACAATCTCAAGATGCGTCCTCCGGAATACTGGGTACCAATACTTTTTCTTGTTATCGTTTTCTGTTGCAACTGCCGGAAAATCAAGTTACTGAGAGAAAGTGATTGATTGATTCATGTTCTTGTTGCAGGTTGAAGAAGATGGGTCAATCACTAAGATCAGGCACGCTGAGACGTTCGAAGACCATTTGCGTTTCTTTGAAGGTCTATGAACTCTGAGATTTACTCATCATTGTTGCTATTTCAGTTCAATTGTATGATTATTCGGAATCAGGACCATAATGCTATTGCTGTCTTAGATTTTCCACATAATGTGCTTTGATTCAAGGTCCTCAATAAAGTGATCATATGAATAAGAAAAAGCCAAAAAGGTCACAAGTCAGAAAATAAAAGGTGAATTTGTGGGTTATGATTATTCTTTTGATTTCTTCTTAGCTACTACAAGTCCAAAGTTGTCCATTGTACAAACACAAAAGACTTGAAAAACTAAACTTAAAGCCAAAGCAATGCCAAAGCAGGTTCTAAACCAGAAACCAAGATTACACTGAACTAACGATGTTTTAGTGGGATCATGGGTCAAAAATCTATTTAGCAACCCAACAAAATCTGTATTACAAGAATCCATAAGCATCTGAATACAAAAGAAGCCTTGAGGAGTCAGTAATGAATGTCAAGGATGGCCTTTGAGATCACCTAATCTGTTTTAGTTTCATCACACAAAAGAAAATTGAAAAATCCTCTCAGGTTTCAAGGAACTCAAAGATCAAAGAGAGAGACAGTGACAAAAAGTTACCTATTTAACCGTATGCTTCTATACAAAAGCATAATGGTAAGTAAAAGCGTAGCCGCGGCTGAACACAAATGCTCTAGTGAATGCCCACTGATGATATATCGATTTGCATTGTATATTTTGTTGTCTGCAAGCCCCTCAATCCTGGCAATAGTGTACGCCGCTGCATTCATGATAATCAGATATCAGAAGATCGTGGATTATAATAAGAAAACCGCAAAAGTGGTTTGAAGTAAAAACCTGTTGCCCAGAGCCAGAATCTAGAGTGAGAATATTTGGGAGGTAACAAAACCGTCATGACGGGAATCGCCAGACATGGAATCAACTGGAACGTCATGCATAACCGGAGATCATTAAACACTCTGCCATCAACTAAAACGCATATAATTTCAATCCAAAACCTGACTAGAACCATGAAAATATGTATACAGAGGAGGTAATGCTTTCTCGGTTTTAATGTTACCTGGCGTAAGCAACGCTGAAAAATGATATGAATAGAAGCACGATGAGGCAACTTAGTCCCACTATCTCCCCCGCTCTCTCAACCAAAAAACTAGAGAAAAGCGACGAATACGCAATCAATATCTGCAATTTTACAGTCATTAATCAAGAAACAGCTATTCATAACCATCCATTAAACATGATGAGCAAAAACACAATTTCATTCAATAAAACCAAAAACCACGACTCTATACCCGAAAATCTCTAAAGCTTCTTTTCATTAGCTAGAAAAAGATTGTTGATGAGTTGTGTTCACTATGTACTTGTAGAACCAATCCAAGAAAACTAAGTGCAAACACGAAGACTAATCTAAGCTTCTTTACATAGCTATAACTATAAGATGATTCTTCAACTTTTTGTATTCACAATGTGCTTGTCAATATCTACAATTACCGTATCACTAATCAAGAAGCAATGAATGCATCACTAATCAAGAAAGATTCATGTTTCCAAGAAAAGTAAAGTGAGAAAAACGAACAGGCAAAGTGTCCCAGACGATTCTGTTGTCATCAGGTTTGAGATGATAAAAGGCAGAACCAAAGGCCAAGCTTGCAATGCCTGCGTAGAACAGTGTCCATCCCCAGATCTCACCTTTTAAACTGCATTACAACAAATCAGATTGTTAACACTTACTCAAAAATATCAAAAGAGAAGAGAATAAATAACCTTATATTGAAGAAGCTTCCTCCAATGCAAAGAACAAAACCAAGAACACCAATAATAAGAAAGGGAAAGTTGGTCATCACATTCAATGTATTAGGCACTCCTGTTCATCATCATCAAACCCACACAAAACACCTGTCTCTCATTATTACACATGCACAGAGAAAGATAGAGAGAGAAGAGACACATAAAGAAGAGAGAGTGATATGATGCTGATACCCATGAAATTGCGTTTATCGGCGAAGATATGATGACGAAAGGAATCGAGAGGAACTTTGGGAGTAATGAACATGATGATTAACCAACAGAGGAACGATCCCACAGCCAAAATTCGTTTCCTTTTCCATCTCCCGATCTGATGATTCGTCAACCACACCATTAAAAATCTCTCTATAAAGGTGAAGACTTTAAAAAGTTTTGTTTTTTGGAAGTGGATAAATTAGTTTTCTCTGTTGTGTCTGATTGATAATCTTCTTCCAGGTTAAGAAAAAAAAAAAAGGGATGACAGATTTATTGCGAGTCGCTTTATTTCGATTTGAACAACGTGCGGCGGATTCTCTTTTTTCGTTGAGTCTGACGGGTACGACGACGACGATCGATCTCTAGTGTTGTCGTAGTTGACGAGGACCGCTCAAACGTCGCCGCTTTTGTTTCCTTTCTGTTTTATTTGCAATCTAACCCCTTATGATTCTAATGTGTTGTTATATCCACTCCATGTGTCTAAAACCAATCTTTTTCATACCTAATAATATGTGAGTTCACTCATTAAACAAAATTGTAGTCAGTAGTTAGTTCATTTAGCGGTTGTTTTCCCGTTAGTGTTAATAGGAAAAGGAAAAAGCTAACTAAGAAAATTGCTGAAGATGAAACAATCATCTGTATTCTCAAATTGCAAACTTATATTCTAAAGCTCAAATTGGAAACGTATGTATATCAATGTTGTTTTAAGCCACTTGTCCTCGATTGTGCAATGCTTGAATAGGCTTAACATGTTTGATGCTTTCACTTTCTTGAATAGAGATATTGTGTTGGTTTGGACCTTATTTATCAACAATAACGCCAAACACGTCATTCATTTCATAACTCTTATGTGTTGGGTAATAAATCTGCAGAATCACATGACATGAAACAAACAACATCCGACAATTCTATAAAAAAATTCTAACTAGCTATAACCAATAAAATAGATCATCCTATATATAGGAGTAAATAAAGATTATACTAAACCAACTAAACTCGTAACATCAAATCAAATCTAATCAAATAAAATAATCTTATAATTTCCTTTTTCGAAAGACAAAAAAATCTCCGAAACGTTTTTATTCCAATAATTATAATCCATAACATACATGTCCAATTTGTAAATTGTAAACCAGAAAGTTCTTTTTTTTAAGAAAAAGACGCTTGTCTTATGTGGCTTTCCTATCCTCCAACCGGCGATGACCTCATCATTTCCCGGCCTAATTAATACTCTCCGAATGTTTGGGGTTTGTTTTTTTTTTTCTTCATTTTGGGGTTTGTTTTAACAAATCAAAACTATCGAGATTACAAACGAAATATTAATAAAGTATGAGGGCATTTAAATGAAATATTTCATTGCTTATGTAGACTATAGTCGTCTCTCATTTTATTTCGAGCAAATATTTTACTCTTTATTTCGAAGAGAGAGAGAGAGAGAGAGCAAAGAAGACGGAAGATAGAAGAAATCGTTTTTGATCGGAGGTACTTTTTTTCCGACGAATATACTCTCTCTAGGGTTTCTTTTATTTTCTCCTTCCCTCTCCGTTTCTTCTTCTTAGCTCTTCAATCTCAGCTCGAATTTCTGGGCTACTTGAGTTTAATCTGGGTGGGCGCTTCGTTTAAGAAACTTTGAAAATTTGCAGAGAAATTCGCGGAGAAAGCGGAAAGATTCGATTTATCCATCGTTTTTCTCAGTCAAAGCTTTGATTTTTCTAGCTGTCTATTTTTCCCCCCTTTTTTCGTATTAAAATCCCTAGACATATCAATTATCTGAAATCGATTTCGTGGTTTTTTTTGTTTCAGTTCCGGTTCGGTTTTCGTGTTAAAATATTGATTTCTGTCACTTTCCGTGATTGAAAGTTTTCGAATTTTGCTTCTTTTGGCTCCAAAGTTTTTATCTTTCAAATATTTTAAATCTGGGTACTTTTTGTTTTGGTTCCTATTTTGTGAATTATCTAGGGCTTTGCTCCTTTTCTAATCCGAGATCTGTTTTCTTTCTCAGATTAGTATCCTTGTGTATGAGCTAGTGTTTGCAATTTGACGGCTCTCGGGATCTGATTTCTCTCCGGCGTTTCGGCTTTGTCGGTAGCTACAGGGGTGAGAGAGAGTTACTATAAGGTAAATTTGAAAACTTTATCATTGATTCTTTTGGTATCTATGAGGTTCATGAAAAGTTTGAATTTGGTTTCCTGAGGTGAACTCTAGCTTATACTTGTATGTAGTTCATGAGCATTGTGTATTGAATATGAATGTGAAAATGGGTGAAATTGATACTGTGGAGTAATTGCATTAGGCTCTGAGTCATGTTGTCTAATTCAGTTACAAGTTGATGTTAATAGGCTTTTAATGGAAGACGATGACTCTCCTTCTTCTCGGGATTTGGATGCACAGAACCCTTATGATCGATTGCTTGCTCTAGATACAAGTACCGTAGATTCAAATTGTAACTTGGATTCGGTTTCTGCTATTTATTTAGCGATGAAGAGCTCGAAGCTGGAATGTGTTGATGAGCGTGGCCAAGATTCCCTTATAACCTCGGTATGCATGGAGGATGAAGAGGATGAGGAACTCGATGAGTTTGATCCTTATCTGTTTATCAAGAACTTGCCGAACTTGTCTTCTGTTGTCCCAACTTTCAGGCCGGTCTTGCTTCCTAAACAAACCCGAAGCTGTCCTCCTATTTCTCTAGTCCTAGACCTTGATGGTAAGGCTACTTTTCAGTTGATTCGTTTGTTTGATATAGTATCTCTCTTTGCAAGTTTTACTGGAACACAAATATTAGTCTTCCTCTTCCTCACCAATATTGTATCATTGTATGTAGACTTGATGTAATCATAGATGACATGTGGGCAGAAATTTAGGGCGTAAAGTTTTATTTGTTTGTCCATTTCTGCTTAAGTGAAATCCAATGCAAGATTTGTTTTCGAAGTACTTTTATGATCCACAAGAGCCTTTTGTGTTTGGTTTATCTGTTATCACTATAACATATATGTTTTTTATTCGCAGAAACTCTTGTGCACTCGACTCTAGAACCGTGTGGTGAGGTGGATTTCACATTCCCTGTAAATTTTAATGAAGAAGAGCATATGGTGTATGTGCGGTGCCGTCCTCACCTCAAAGAGTTTATGGAGAGAGTTTCCCGTCTTTTTGAGATCATTATATTTACAGCTAGCCAAAGCATTTATGCCGAGCAACTTCTGAACGTACTTGACCCTAAGAGAAAGCTCTTTCGCCATAGAGTGTACCGTGACTCCTGTGTTTTCTTTGATGGTAACTACCTAAAGGATTTGTCAGTCCTTGGGCGTGATTTATCTCGTGTTATCATTGTTGACAACTCCCCACAGGTATTATACTCTTATTATCCTTCTACATAATGAGTAAACACATTTAGTTCTCCATTCTTATGCTTTATACCAAAGCCAATCGATAGATGCATTTATCAGCTAGAATTGTAGGATACAATTCTAGTATAGGAAAACTGTAATCTATGAAAGGTAGTATGGGCGAATCCAGTAGAAGTTCTTAGTTTGCAATAGCTATCTATAAATATGAAGTTGTGTGGGGTTGATGAAAAGAAGTAGATTCCAGAACTGCCATTAAAAATTCTCTAAGCTATATCTCAAGGCTGTTGCATAATCTCATTGGTTTTTTTCTTTTTATGCAATCTTTTAGGCATTTGGTTTCCAAGTGGAGAATGGGGTTCCAATAGAGAGCTGGTTTAATGACCCATCAGATAAAGAACTCCTTCACTTGCTCCCATTTCTTGAAAGCTTAATTGGAGTTGAAGATATAAGGCCAATGATCGCCAAGAAATTCAATCTAAGGGAGAAGATCGATGCAGCTGTAGCTGCACCTGAATATCCTGTCGAGGCGGGAGATCCTTTCGAAAGGTAAAGTCTATTACCGAAAAAGTTATAAGCTTTTAAAGGAAGAATCTGGCATAAGAGCTGCGTGCGGGATACAAATTCAAGGAGAAGACTTGCTCTTTTAAAGAAGATGCTTTGGAAAGCTTAATGGAAGTGTTGTTGCTTCCGATTAGGCTTGGAGGTATCAGAAGTTGGAGAGAGATATATATAAATATATCAATGTTGTTTTCTTATTAGCTTAAATTAAGAACTTGGTATACAGAGAAAGACAGGATACCCTGTAAACAGTTTAGTGCACAATAACTGTATAACAGTATAAGTGTCTCTCTTTTCTGGTTTATTTACTACTCGATACACATAGATTTACCATTTCAACAGTAGCTTTTTTTTACCTAAATCCTTTGAAAATCAGACAATAAAAAAAGAAGCAAATAGTGAGTTTAAAGTTTTTTTTTGGTTAGGAAAAGTCCAACAAAAAATTTCCATATGAATCCCAATCAAAAATCACAAGCATAGTGCGTGATCCAATAAATTCATTTTGTACAAAATCCAAGAAACATCATTTGTTCTCCAATCACCAAACGCCACTCGATCACAATTCACAAGTCATATTTATCTCAGTTTCAATGGCCGTATAAGATTGTTTTAGTACTATTGGTTCCAAGAGCGGATAATTTTGAAATTAGTTTGGTCATTTAAATAAAATACTAAATAGCTTCGTGTTTAAAAATTAGTCAAAGCTATTCTTACCAAGTAAGTGGAGGAAGCTTGACGAAGAAGAGTAGTGCGCATTTTAATCGAATCTACCTTTCGAAGATGTCGGCGCATGTTAAGCTCTTACTATTTTTTTATTTATTTATTGTTAAAATGTGGAAATATTTGTTTTATTTATCGGATGTTTACGAGGTACGCATTATTTATTTCTCTATAATTAATTTTGTTTTGTGACAATATTATTTTTTTAAGAAAAAAAAAACTAGCGAAAGGAAGCTTCGTTTTTTTAGAGAGATAAACTGGAGATTTTTAGAGAGAGAAAGAAATAGAGAGAGAGATCAGTTCGTCGTTGACGATCGATGTCGAAGATGAAGCATCTTCTACGGAAGCTCCACATCGGCGGGAGTAGTGGCGTCGGCGGCGGATTTTCTGACCATCACAGGTTAGACGACTCTACTAGACCTATGATTGATCCTAGCCCTATTCCTAGTACTAGCCCTAGCCCTGCCTCGACTTCTTCCGTATCTTCCTCCGGTTTTGGTAACGCTTCCACGACAATGCCGAGACTGGAAACATTTGAGCCTGTTGGCCGTGATCTGGCGGCTGTGGACGGTGTTGATTTCAATTTGATGGAGGAGGAGTATCAAGTCCAGTTAGCTATGGCGATCAGCGTCTCTGATCCTGATCCGAGAGAGAATGCAGATACGGCTCAGCTTGATGCCGCTAAGAGGATTAGCCTTGGTGTTTCGGCTCCGGTCACCGACGCTGATTCCGCCGTTGACTTTCTTTCGCTTCGTTATTGGGTATACTCTATGTCTTGACTTTTGCTTTGGTGAAAATTTTCAAATTCCTCTGGAGTTAGGGGTTTAGGGACTCTGATTGTTCGTTCGATTAGCCGGGGTTTAAAGGAATTAGGATCTTTGCTATTGCTTGCAGTGTTCTCTTGGTTGCGAGTATTTCTGAATCCTAATTGTATAACTTTCCATTTTTGGGTTGGAGTTACCAAGGTTTATTCAATGTGGATGGTTTCTGCCTTGGTTATACAACAATGGGAGACTTAAGCTGATGTTTCTTTTTCTTGTAGGGACATAAGGTCATTAATTATGACCAGAAAGTCAGGGATGGTTTTTACGATGTGTATGGGATTACTTCCAATTCTCTTTCACAGGGGAAGATGCCACTTCTTGTGGATCTTCAAGCGATCTCTATTTCAGACAATGTTGATTATGAGGTCATTTTGGTTAACCGATTGATTGATCCTGAACTACAAGAGCTAGAGAGGAGAGCATCCGCTTTGGCTTCGGAATGTCCAGACTTTGCCCCTGGTCAGGTGTCAAGTGATTTGACTCAGAAAATTGCAAATATAGTTGTAGAGCAAATGGGTGGCCCCGTTGAAAATGCTGATGAAGCATTGAGAAGGTGGATGCTTCGGAGCTATGAACTAAGGAATTCTTTGAACACTACTATTCTTCCACTTGGTCGAGTTAATGTTGGTCTTGCACGACACAGGGCTTTGCTTTTCAAGGTTTATAACATATCCTCTTAGTTGTTTCTAGCTTTGGTCTTAAACCTCTTGGTTATCTTATTTTGGGCTTCCAGTGGCAACACTCATTATTTCCTTTTTCATCGCTGAGTTCCCTTTTTGGTCACGGTTAGAAGATGTACGGTGAAGCTAACTACTCCCCTCCTTTTCTTTTTTCAAGGTCCTTGCTGATAGGATTAATCTCCCATGTATGCTGGTAAAAGGCAGTTACTACACTGGAACTGATGATGGGGCTGTGAACTTGATTAAACTAGATGACAAAAGGTATTCTTTGATTGCTGGAATCAGCTACCTTATGTTTTGCATTCTAGATTCCTGATATTAGGCTCAGTTTGTATGTGATGGTAGTGATTTTTGCTGAGTCCTAATTCGTTCTTCACATGCAGTGAATACATTATTGATTTAATGGGTGCTCCGGGTGCTCTGATCCCTTCTGAGGTTCCAAGCAGTTTTCTTCCAGTTTCTTGCACAGATACAAGAGTATTTCCTGAGGATTTGGACTCGTTGCAACATTCATCCCCCGTACTTGAGAAAGAAATTGAAAAGCCAGCATTTTCAGTTTTGGGGGAAGAAGATTCTAGATCTGGTATGGGGGCAAACTTCTTCACTGGAAACCATGAAGAAAATAGTGACAGATATGCTGTTGAAAAACATCAAACAGAGAGATTTGAACATGATTTTGGGAAGTTAATGCAATCACAGCAGATATCTGGTGAAAATTTGCCGCCATTTTCTGGGAAACCGACTTGTGCACAGAAAGTTAAAGTTAAGAATGTCTCAAAGTATGTCATAAGTGCAGCAAAGAACCCTGAATTTGCGCAGAAATTACATGCTGTGTTGTTAGAAAGTGGTGCATCACCTCCCCCAGATTTGTTTATGGATATTAACCCACATAACTTGAGGGGAAAGAATTTGCTTCAAGAATTCCGCCAAGAAAGTAGCAATTCTATGGTTTCTGGTATTTCATGCTACCCAGAGAAGGTATTCTTAGGATACACAGCATTTCACATCCTGTACAATTGTTTTCATTCTTTTCCCCCTGCCCCCTTAATCTATCTTTATATTCTTGAAGTCCTTAAATGTTTCCATCTACACTGAATAGGTCGCAGATCCGTTAGGTGAACAACTGAGAGAATCTGAAAGGAACAAAATAGCTGAGAGCTACCAACAATCAGTGGAGGTCGATTTGTCAATGAAGAGAACCTTTGATGTGGATAATACTGGTAAAGCTTCTTCATCCGAAAATATGGAGGTTGGCACTGCTGATGGGGAGCCTGCTGTTTGTGATAGTCATGACCAAGGGATTAATCCATTGCTCGGAGAAGCTGCAAAGTGGGAAATTATGTGGGAAGATCTTCAGATTGGCGAGCGCATTGGTATTGGTAAGGTTTGTTATTTCAGATATTGGATTCGCTAGAATTATGCAACTTTATCATAAACTGAAGTGGTATCCGTGAGAGACTTTTGGTGAAGCTTGATACTTACTAATAGTTATCTACCCTTATGCTTGTGGATAAGATCTATTACATTCAACTATTCAGTTTTGATACACCAGACAATCCCCTGAATCTAATGTACTCTTTCTCTGTGCTGTTTCTGTCGCAGGTTCATATGGAGAAGTTTATCGTGCAGAGTGGAATGGAACTGTGAGTTCTATTTGTAGTCTTATTCCACTGATCCTTGCAATGTTTTTTTAATCTGCAGTTTCTAAAAACCACTCTCACATTTCCTTCCGATGAAGAGATTTGATATTTTAGTCATGGAGTTCTTGGACTGATTGTGTTTTTCCTTTCAGGAAGTGGCTGTTAAGAAGTTTCTGGACCAAGATTTCTCTGGTGATGCATTGACACAGTTCAAATCTGAAGTAACTCCAAATCATTTAACCATAGATATCTTATTTTCTGTAAAATTACCTGCAATCAGTTTAATCATACTCTGAATGTTTTTATTTTGTTCTGGATAGATTGAAATAATGTTGAGGTTACGGCATCCAAACGTTGTTCTTTTCATGGGAGCAGTTACTCGGCCGCCAAATTTCTCCATCCTGACAGAGTTCCTACCCAGGTTTGATGATCCTCCCATATTCTTCTTTTATAATTCTTGAATGCACCAATTAGTCTGCTAGTTTGATTTATAGTCATCATTTATACATGAAGTAATCCTTTTCTAACCATGATATGCGTTGTTTTGTTTCTAGTTTTCTTTAAATCCTTCTTCTTGAGTTAATGGGTTAAACTTTTATGATATGATGCAGGGGAAGTTTGTATAGATTACTCCATCGACCGAACCATCAGCTTGATGAGAAGAGGAGAATGCGGATGGCTCTTGATGTGGTATAAATGAGTTGCGTTGGTTAAACAGAAGGCTTTAAAAGTTACTGTTATATTGCGAAAAAATATCTGACACTTGCTTTCTTTCTGATGGTATTGCAGGCAAAGGGAATGAACTACTTACACACCAGCCACCCGACTGTTGTACATAGGGATTTAAAATCTCCAAACCTTCTTGTTGATAAAAATTGGGTTGTGAAGGTTTGTGATTTTGGATTGTCCCGCATGAAACACCACACTTATTTGTCCTCAAAATCAACTGCAGGAACGGTTAGTTTTTATCTTAGATGGAACCACTCCTTATTTATCAAGCATGAACTCTCTGTTGCAAAGATAAACAGAACAACTTACTTGACATTATGTTCTGTTAATGAGTGTGCAGCCAGAATGGATGGCTCCAGAAGTTTTGAGGAATGAACCGGCTAATGAGAAGTGAGTGAAATTTAACACTATGGGAATCTTTTTAAATGTTAGTACAGAAATATTGATTGGTGTGCTTGCGCAGATGTGACGTGTACAGCTTTGGTGTTATATTGTGGGAATTAGCTACTTCACGCATCCCCTGGAAGGGTTTGAACCCAATGCAAGTCGTTGGAGCTGTGGGATTCCAGAATAGACGCCTTGAAATCCCAGATGATATCGATCCAACTGTTGCACAGATAATCCGTGAATGTTGGCAAACGTAAGTTCATTTTCATAACTCAAATCCTTAAAATCTAGCAAAAGTAATTCACTACTCCTTATTAGAGCTGTATGATACATGTATCCATGTTTATATACCCAAACCATATGATTCTTTGTAGTGCAAAAACTCAGTATCGAAATCGGTAAAGTTCGATTAAGGGGGTTAAGCTTGTGATTGTTATGCAGGGAACCGCATTTACGGCCATCGTTTACACAACTGATGCGAAGTTTGAAGCGGCTTCAGGGTCTAAACATAAGCAACAGATCGAACACGAGTGAAAGTTTGATGTAAGATAAGTTAGACAGAAGATGTTGCTTCACCTGGTCTGGTTCAAAGAGCCAAAGGGTGGGGGTTGCCATTTTCTTCTTTTCTTTTTTTTTTTTCTTTTTGTTTTCACGGTCAGACGAGAGGAAACGAAAAAAAAGATTGACGGGTTGGGGAAAAGCTTGTGGAGTTCAATCGAAGTGGGAGCTCAACAAGAAAAGAAAAAGCCCTATTCAAAACCCTTTGTAACTATTATTATTATCATCATTGTTGCTACTTGTAACGATAAAATTAGGTGAATGAACAAACAAACAAAAGAGAATAGAAAAGAAATGAAAAAGAAAAGGTAGATGAAAAGAATACAATAAGCCTATGGAGTTCCTTTTTTTTGGTTTGAGATTTGCCCCAAAATCTGTAAAAGTGTAAACATGTGGGGATTGTTGTAAGAGCTGATAGGCTGCTAATTCTTGTAAAAGTTAAAAAGAATGAGAAGACATTCAAGGGAAATATAGAACAGCCCTTTACATAATGGCGGAATTAAGTTTTCTTCTTGGACCCCAATTTTGGTCATGATTGATAAAAAGTTGAGGAAATTAGAAGTTGGAACTTTTTTAGACGTTGAAGAATAATTAACGGTTGAATTAGTATCGACATATGTAAGTAACACTTGAAAATGTAACGTGTTGTGAGATATGTGATTCTCACCGTTGATTGAGGCCCATTGGGTATTATATTATCTTACCCAATTACCCAAAGTTAGATCATTGACCATTTTTAGATATTTATAAAACTGTTTAAGCAAAATAAAATAAAATTCGTTGGTGTATATATATAACGGCTTTAGAAATTTGTTTCTGGCCGGGAAGAAAGAAAAGCAGAGGAATTGCAATGAAAAGGGTTGTTAAGAATAAGGAGAACAATGCACAGATACAAGAAGATGACTCATCATGTTATCTTCCTCAATATCTGATCGAAGAGATTCTCGCGAACTTGCCGACTAAATCCCTAATCAAGCTCATCGTCGTCTCGAAACTGTGGTCTTCTATAATCCGCAGCAAATATTTCATCGATCTGTACCTGAAACGATCTGTGACTCGTCCGTGTTTTCTCTTCACATTCCACCATGGCAACCGCCGGTTCTTCCACTCAATCTCTCAGGAGGCAGCAACGTCTTCTTACACAACTACATCAAGACTTCCTCTGAGTCTTGATGCGCGGATCTCTCCGAGTCTTGATGCGCGGATCTCTCCACTAAGTTACAACGTTTTTCCACCGGTACACGGCTTGATCTGCTGTCAAGATTTGGATAAGGTGGTGGTTTCGAATCCTAGCACGGGCCAATTCTTGGTTTTACCCAAACTCAAAACTAAGAGAAGTAAAATATCAAAATTCTTCGGATACGATCCCATTGAAGATGAATACAAAGTCTTGTGCATGACGGTATTGCAAGTCCCTTACAATTACAGTCCCTTTGTGAGCGAAGAGCATCAAGTTTTCACTCTAGGAAGAGCTCAGAAGAAGAAAGAAGCAACATGGAGGATGATCAAATGTAATCTTCCACATTGTCCTGCAACACAAGGGATATGCATTAACGGTGTTGTTTATTACGGAGCTTGGTCCTTCAACAGTAAAAGCAAAGGATCTCTAATTGTGGCCTTTGATGTGAGATTGGAAGAGTTTACTCTTGTTAAACTACCCGATGGTGTCGACATTTATTGTAGTTTTGATTCTGAATTGGTGAACTACCAGAGGAAGGTAGCTTTAGCTAATCAATCATATACATAATGGTAAATTTGAATTGTGGGTTTTGGACAAACAAGAATGGTCAAAGATCTCAGCTGTGGTTCCTTCTTGGAATGATTTAGTTGGACTAAGCTTGTATTGCAGAGGTGCCATTAAATCCTTCTATTGTAGAGGTGCCATTAGTTCCGGCGAATTCATATTCGCACCAACAGTTTCGGATGACTCGTTCTTTATTATCAGTTACGATCCCAAGGAAGATATCGGCAGAAGAGTTGAGATTGAAGGAATTGGAGCTGGCTCGAATTGTGTGACAAGCTTCTTGGATTATGTAGAGTGTCCTATATTTCTCTAAAGGAGTCTATTTGTATGGTTTGATGACTAGCTGGTTTTTGTTCAGATCTCTGGTTTCATAGATTTATCTAGTTCAATGGTTCTGGCTTGATTATGTTTAAGTTTTCTCTAGAACTTATGTTTTTCTTATTTGGTTATCTTTGGAGAGAACCAGCAGTTCTTATACAAGATTTTCTTGCTCATCAAGTTTGTGTATAAAGGATCCTTGCCAGATAATTTGAAGACAAACATTTTGCTATTAGCTCTTTCTGATAAACATCAAGTTGTTTATTTGTTGTAAGCAAAAAGTTTTGGAGTTCCTTTTTTTGGTTTGAGATTTGCCCCAAAATCTGTAAAAGTGTAAACATGTGGAGATTGTTGTAAGAGCTGATAAGCTGCTGATTCTTGTAAAAGTTACAACAGAAGTAAAAGTTAAAAAGAATGATAAGAGAAGGGAAATATAGAACTGCCCTTCACATAATAACGGAATTGAGTTTTCTTAATGGACGCCAATTTTGGTCATGATTGATAAAAAAAGTTGTAGAAATTACAAGTTGAAACTTTTTTAGACGTTGAAGAATAATTAACGGTTGATCAGTATTGACATATGTAACACTTATTGGGTATGGTTAACGGTTAATAGACGTAGAAGAATAATTAGCGGTTGATTAGAAAATGTAACGTGTTGTGACCCAATTACCCAAAGTTATATCATTTGATTCTCACCGTTAATTGAGGCCCATTGGGTATATATTATCTGACCCAGTTACCCAAAGTTATATCATTTGACCATTTTTTGATATTTATTATAAAACTGTTTATGCAAAATAAAATAAAATTCGTTGGTATATATATATAACGGTTTTAGAAATTTGTTCTGGCCGGGAAAAAAGAAAAGCAGAGGAATCGCCATGGATAAGAAGAAGGAGAACAATCCACAGATGCGTGAAGATGAGTCATCAATTTATCTTCCTGAAGATCTGATCGCAAAGATTCTGGCGAACTTGCCGTCGAAATCCGTAGCCAAGCTCATCGTCGTCTCGAAACTGTGGTCTTCTATAATCCTCAGCAAATCTTTCATCGATCTGTACTTGGAACGATCTGTGACTCGTCCGTGTTTTCTATTCACATTCCGCCGTATTAGGAGAACCGGAGATCGACCGAGATCGACGGTCGAGATGATCGCCCAAGATTATGGAAATCATGAAGATCGAGAAGGATCTAGAAGTTATCATATCTTAAGTTTAGGAAGTTTAACATTATCTCTAAATATATTATTTACATTTATATTTATCTTAGATTAGGAAATGACATCTCTATATAAGAGAATGTAATTTATACCTTTAATCTTATGAGAGTCTATTATAATTCTTCCTAAACACTTTTGTGTTCTTTACTCTCATCAATTTATCATGGTATCAGAGCCTTGATCCTACTCCTATGGGTTAGGGTTTCGTTATCTTCCGCAAAAGAAAAAAATAAAAAAATAAAAAAAAATAAAAAATAAAAGCTTGATCGATTCCAAAATTTTGTTATTGATTTGTTGATATCACCACCACTACAACAGGTGAGATGGACAATCAATGCAATTTGGAAGAAGATGATTTTCAAAACACGTAATTGTGTTTTCTTGTGAAGGAAGAAACAGACCATTATGTGGTCTTTATGAAGATGATTCAACTATCATCACGTTCTTAATGAAAGAAGATGATGATGGCGTTTATACTAATGTGAGCCACAAGGCTTTTGATGACTCCAATGGATACGATGCTGATCCGGCTGTGATGAATTTAAATCCGACACAAGTTTCTTCATGAACAAGATGTTTGAAGAGCGACCAAGACTTGTGATTTTAAATCGATGGAAATACACAACTACGAAAGATGTATTTTCCATTAATTTGACCCTACGGCGGGGTATAAACGCCATTGATGACCCCACGACCGGGTATAAACGTCGATGACCTAACGGCTGGGTTTTGTAGCCGCTTTGACCCTACGATCGGGTATAAACGTCGATGATGACCCGACGGCCGGGTATAAAGCCGCTATTCTGAAGACTTGTCCAATCTCACACGTGCTACCACGTATGAGCTTGCCGGGGGGTATTAGGAGAACCGGAGATCGACCGAGATCGACGGTCGAGATGATCGCCCAAGATTATGGAAATCATGAAGATCGAGAAGGATCTAGAAGTTATCATATCTTAAGTTTAGGAAGTTTAACATTATCTCTAAATATATTATTTACATTTATATTTATCTTAGATTAGGAAATGACATCTCTATATAAGAGAATGTAATTTATACCTTTAATCTTATGAGAGTCTATTATAATTCTTCCTAAACACTTTTGTGTTCTTTACTCTCATCAATTTATCACGCCGTGACAACCGCCGGTTCTTCCACTCAATCTCTCAGGAGGCAGCACCGTCTTCTTCTAGTACATCAAGCTTTCCTCTGAGTCTTGATACGTGGCTCTCGTTACTAGGTTACAGCGTTTGTCCACCGGTACGCGGCTTGATCTGCTATCAAGATTTGGATAAGTTGGTGGTTTCGAATCCTAGCACTGGCCAATTCTTGGTTTTACCCAAACTCAAAACCAAGAGAAGACGAATATCATTCTTCGGATACGATCCCATTGAAGATAAATACAAAGTCTTGTGCATGACGGTATTGCAACTTTCTTACAATTCTGAACCCGTTGTGAGCGAAGAACATCAAGTTTTCACTCTAGGAAGAGCTCAGAAGAAGAAAGCAGCAACATGGAGAACGATCGCATGTAAGCTTCCGCATATTCCTGCAACCAAAGGGCTATGCTTTAACGGTGTTGTTTATTACGGAGCTTGGTCTAACAGTGATAGAAAAGGATCTGTAATTGTGGCCTTTAATGTGAGATTGGAGGAATTTACTCGTGTTAAATTACCCATTGGTGTCGAAATTTATAAGAGTCGTGATTCTGAATTGGTGAACTACCAGAGGAAGGTAGCTTTAGCGAATCACTCATATAAGGGTAAATTTGAATTGTGGGTTTTGGACAAACAGGAATGGTCAAAGATGTCAGTTGTGGTTCCTTCTTGGAATGATTTAGTTGGAAGAAGCTTGTTCTATTGCAGAGGTGCCATTAGTTCCGGCGAATTCATATTCACACCATCTTTTTCGGATGGCTCGTTCTTTATTATTATCAGTTATGATAGCAAGGAAGAAATTGTCAGAAGAGTTGGGATTGAAGGAATTGGAGATGGCACGCATTATGTGACAAGCTTCTTGGACTATGTAGAGTGTCCTATATTTCTCTAAAGGTAGTCTATTTGTATTGTTTGATTGATGACTAGCTTGTTTTTGTTCAAATCTCTTATTGGAACTGAAACATCCTGCCACCCATTTCTCTAGTTTCTTTGATTTATCTAGTTCGATGGTTCTGGCTTGATTAAAACTAAGTTTTAGTTTTCTCTAGAATTTATATTTTCCTTAATTGGTTATCTTTGGAGAGAACCAACAATTCTTATACAAAATTTTGTCTTTCACGGTGATTACTCCAAATTTGTGTATAAAGGTGAACGAGAAAAGGGTTTAGTTGTTGTAAGTAAGAACTTGAGGAGTAGAATCGAAAATAGACTGAAATAATGAGATCCATCTCATTTTTAAGTGATGGTTACATCGATATTGGAAAAAAAAAAAAAAAAACTGCGATGGCTGCTACAGTTCTCGGCCATTTTAGATGAAAATATTCAATATGTTGTTCGCCTTGATATTGACGGATCTAATTCCAAAAAATGTGAACCTAGCCTCTATTCATGCATAACATTATCATTGCCATTTCAATACTCTCATCGACATCTAGCACTAATTTTTTTAATCTTATGAGTTTCTTTTTCTTGGATCATAATATTTATTTAAACGTTCATATAAGATATGTTACATATAGTATACATTATTTTAAATGTTTCGTAGTATAGATTATCTCACCCAATTATCCAAAGTCATATCATTGACCATTTGAAGATATTTATTATTAAATTGTTTATGCAAAATAAAATAAAATTCGTTGGTATATATATAACGGTTTTAGAATTTTGTTCTGGCGGAGAAGAAAGAAAAGCAGAGGAATCGCCATGACAAGGGTTACGAAGAAGGAGAACAATCCACAGATGCGAGAAGATGAGTCATCATTTTATCTTCCTCAAGATTTGATCGAAGTGATTCTGGCGAACTTGCCGTCAAAATCTGTAGCCAAGCTCATCTTCGTCTCGAAACTGTGGTCTTCTATAATCCGCAGCAAATATTTCATCGATCTGTACCTGAAACGATCTGTGACTCGTCCGTGTTTTCTCTTCACATTCCTCCGCGACAACCGCCGGTTCTTCCACTCAATCTCTCAGGAGGCAGCACCGTCTTCTTACACAACTACATCAAGAATTCCTCCACTAATTTACAACGTTTGTCCACCGGTACGCAGCTTGATCTGCTGTCAAGATTTGGATAAGGTGGTGGTTTCGAATCCTAGCACTGGCCAATTCTTGGTTTTCCCCAAACTCAAAACCAAGAGTAGACAAATATCATTCTTCGGATACGATCCCATTGAAGATGAATACAAAGTCTTGTGCATGACGGTATTGCAAGTTTCTTACAATTCTGGACCCGTTGTGGACGAAGAGCATCAAGTTTTCACTCTAGGAGGAGATCAGAAGAAGAAAGAAGCAACATGGAGGATGATCAAATGTAAACTTCGACATTGTCCTGCAACGCAAGGGATATGCATTGACGGTGTTGTTTATTACGGAGCTTGGTCCAACAGTAATAGCACAGGATCTCTAATTGTGGGCTTTGATGTGAGACTGGAAGACTTTACTCCTGTTAATTTACCCGATGGTGTTGACATTTATCGTCGTGATTCTGAATTGATGAACTACCAGAGGAAGCTAGCTTTAGCGAATCACTCATATAAGGGTGAATTTGAACTGTGGGTTTTGGACAAACAAGAATGGTCAAAGATCTCAGTTGTGGTTCCTTCTTGGAATGATTTAGTTGGAGGAGACTTGTTCTGTTGCAGAGGTGTCACTAGTTCCGGCGAATTCATATTCACACCATTCTTTTCGGCTTGGTCGTCCTTTATTATCAGTTACGATCACAAGGAAGACATCTCCAAAAGAGTTGAGATTGAAGGAATTGGAGATCCCTTGCGTTATGTGAAAGTCTTCTTGGATTATGTAGATTGTCCTATACTTCTCTAAAGGAATTCTTTTAGTATGTTTGATGACTTAGCTGGTTTATGTTCAGATCCATTTGTCTAGTTTCTTAGATCTATCTAGTTCAATGGTTCTGGCTTTGATTAAAAGTAAGTCTTAGTTTTCTCTACAACCAAGTTTTTCTTATTTGGCTATCTTTGGAGAGAACCATCAATTCTTAGTCAAATTTTGTCTTTCATGGTGATTACTTCAAAGGGCTTTCTTTGTGAACAAGATTCTCTTGCTCATCAAATTGGTTTATAAAAAGAATCCTTGCTTCCTTGGCACATAATTTGAAGATAGATTCAGTAAAGTCTTTGCTATTAGCTCTTTCTTTTAATATTACTAAGTTGCTCAGCAGATCATATGACAACGCGAAAGGGTTTATTTGTTGTCAGGAAAAAGTTCTGGGGTAGAATTGTAAATAGACTGAAATAATGAGAGCCGTCTCATTTTTAAGTGATGGTTACAAAATCGAAATTGGAAAATTTAAAAAAAAAAAAAGGAAGCTGCGATGGCTGCTACAGTGCTCCGGCATTTCTGTCCAATTACATCGTCCCTGAAACCACCGTCTCGCCATCGGAGATTCCTACACCACAATTTATTCCCCAAAATACCCCTTCCTTCTTCTCTTATCAAATTCGGCGCCGATAACTCCGAACCCCAACCTCCACCACCGCAGTTGCCGGAAACCGATTGTCCCGTTCCGCCGGAACAGCAGCCAATCAACGAGTATCAATCTCTCTCTACCTCTTTCCCTTTCTCCTGGGCTTCAGGAGATCTAGTCGAGTACTCTACAAGACTCTTCTTCACCGGCGCTTCTTTCGCTTTTTTCGTCGGGTTACCCGTTTCCTGGTTCGGATCCATCGGACCCGAATACGAACCCGTTAAGAGGATTCTCGCCGCCAGCTCTAGCGGGATCTTCGTTGTTACGCTTGCTGTTGTAAGGATGTATCTTGGTTGGGCTTATGTCGGTAATCGTCTTCTTAGTGCCACCGTCGAGTGTACGTTTTGATAAGCTCAAGAATTGGTTTTGCGATTCATCAAATGTTTTTGCTTCTTTTGTATTTTGAAAATTTTCACTTCTTCTGTTGATGCAGATGAAGAAACTGGGTGGTATGATGGTCAGGTTATGATTGTTTTGGTCTCTCAAACTTGGTTAAGAAGCTGCTCTGTAGAAGAAAACATTTGTGTTGCTTAAGCTAAACTCTATTTATATGGAACAGGTATGGGTGAAAACACCTGAAGTCTTGGCACGAGACCGTCTTCTTGGATCTTTCTCGGTAAGCTATCATCATGAAGCATCAATCTTTGAAATCCTTGAATTTGGTCCACTGTATGTATCATGTTTCAGGGATTTGATCAAGTTTCTCTATTTGTTTTGTTTTCTGTGTGTGTTGTTTTTAGGTGAAACCAGTCCTTGCGAGATTGAAAAACACGCTGGTTATTCTCGGATTATCGCTCATTCTTGTCATAAACCTTGGTGATTCTCCAATTGCAACGTCTTATAGAACATATAAGGATCCTAGGGACAGATCCTCCCTGCCAATCCCAGGAGCGTACAATGATGAAACCGCAAGAACGTTTGAACCGGAAGCTTTCTGCGGTGAACCGTCTCCTGATATTCTTTGAAAATCTCTTTATCACGCAAAGGCAGATAGATCCTGGTAGTAAATATATCTGTACATTCTTGTATATATCGTTAAATTGGATGTAAAAGACAAAACCAATCTTGATGAATCGAAAGAACTCATCACTAGGGTTTCGAAATCTAGCTCCTATCATTCGGACTCAAATTGACAGTTTCTAACTTTCTAGACGAGCTCATTTCGATTTCTGTAGGATGTCACATTGATACTCTTTCATCTCTACAACTATCTTTGTTTGCCTCCAGAAAATCTATCACAAATTGAATTTGTTACCTCATATCAGTATCATGATTACCATCGTCACCTGTTTGATCCTGACAATTTTATTTTCATATTTACATTTTATTTATTTAAGACTATTTCTGCTTCTGGAAGAAATTTTGGTGATTCAATCGGATAACTAAAGTTTGATAACGTGAAAATAACAAACAAATTCAGGTGATAGAAATTTCTGAGTCAAACACACAAGATTAGTATTATAACAAACATAACTAATTTAGCTTACATAAACCATAACGCTCTTTCTATTATTATCCGATCGTATCAATAAAACATAGCTTTCTTTATATATATAACTAACAACCGGAGAGGAGAGTATCTGAATAACGAAATGGCTGAGAAAATGAACCTAGTAATATTTTGCCTTGTTTTCCAAGTAATCATTAAAACCGGATACTCAGCTGATTCAGGAGATGTTGATTTTTCAATACTCATAAAAAACGAAATGTATAATGTCGATAACCCGTCTGTTTTCTACACTTGCCGATCATCAAAGAAAGACATTGGATGGCACAAATCGGTTCCATCCTCAGAGTTTCAATGGGAATTCGAAGTTCCTCAGTTTGGTAACGGCGTGATGGTCCACAAATGTAGTTTTCGGTCAAGCGCAGGAACAGCAAACGTTGAGATCAGGACATTATCTACTACGGCGATGCTATGCGATGGACAAACATGTAAATACGCAATCAGACCTAATGGAATTTATTTCATTGGTTACGAGTTGTATTCTCCTTATGCTATTGTTGGAAGGTATATTGAATTGTCGAGGCCCGCGGAGAAGCTAGTTGAGCCGTGGAAACCTTGGTCACCGCAACAACTCAAAGCTATGTATCGTACAAAACAAATGGTCCATGATTCGGATTGAGAGGTCGATGTCGTCGATCCTTGGACTACACGCATCATTATATTATTTAATGAATGTTAAGTGATTATATATGTTAGTAGCTGAGGTCTTCGAGGAAGATGTGACTTTATACATTTGAGGAGCTTGTTTTGTGGAAACATGAAGGGACTCGGGTAAGAGTCCACTAGTGACTGCGATTTACATGAAGGGTTCGCATAATTTAGAAAGGCTAAGGTTTATTAGTGGATCCCAACTCCGTAAAATATAAAAGAATCTTAGTGATATATACTGATATTAAAGAAAATTCATTCCTTTGAATTAAAATATATCAAGATTTGTATCCTTTATACGAAAATCATGTATATGTCTAGTTCAATATTCAAATTGAAATACGAAAATCTTAGTTAAATTTCGTTTCTTCTTCTTATTCGAAACTGCGTGTTGGCTGACTGATTTCTTAAGACGCAAGCAAGTTAAACCGGATGACACCAAAATAATCTAGTTTAAGGACAATCGATTCGTTAAGGGATGATATTTTGTGGGCAGTAACAGATGACTTGTTGTTTCTCCCACTGTCCCACTACAGTAACTCATTGTTGAGCTCCTTAAGGACATATTTTATATTTATTATTGTTTGATAAATTTTATGTTTTACTCATGCAACTGAATAAAATCAAAACGAAAATCTAATTGTTTTGAGAAACCAACTTGTTTCCTCGCGACTTGCAAACGAAACTAAGAAGACCCAAAAAAAAACTTGCACTCTTTGTTGTTTTCCTCATCAGTAGCTCAAGTCATAGATCGAGAGGAAGACAAACAAAATTAGGTTTACTTGTGTAGTTGTGTTCTTGTAATAATAACGTTCGGTAGTTTTTGTTTTTGTTTTTTTTTGGCAGCGTCCCACATCGGTAGTTATCAAAGTTGTAATCTAATATATATAAGGTATGAGTCATGCTACTCATTGTCAATTGGTAATGAGATAGAATTTCATCAGGAACTTGGGTTGGTGATGGGTCTAGGGAGGTCCACGGACTAAAGAACCTCACCATCGAAAGTGACATGAGTCTGCCTACTCATTGCTGATTGACTTTTTTATCCTTTTTTCTTTGTCATTCAATAAATTTTGTGTTGTTAATTTATTATTATTATGGAAAGTAATCAATAAGCATAAATCAAAATGTAAAAGCAAGTCTAGCATCAGTAAGACAGTAACAGAGAGAAAAAACAAAAAACAAATCAACATTCAATTTCAATTTAAAAACAGTTTAAAACCAACCCTAATAGTATTTGGTTTCTATTTGAGTTTACTTTATATACTTTTTTTTTTTTTGTGATAAAGATCTTGAGTTTATGTACTATCCCTAAACTAAGTTATCAAGGATCGAAGCAAAACTAAATAAAAACCTAGAACATCATAACAAAATGTAACAGAAATGCCAAATTAACAAACCTATGGGGGGGGGGGGGGGGGGAAATATTATTTAATAACAACTTACTAGAGACTCGTTAAACATTTTAGGAAAACTAAAAACGGAAAAAAGGGAACAGAAAGCTCATCGAACTTGTAACGTCTAAAACCACTACCGTTTTTCTGTTGTTGTTAAACAAACCACTCCCGTTTATATAAAACCTCAAAAACCAAAACAGAACTGTTCAAGAGAGCAATGGGGTTCGGGTTCAACATCGCATTCATGTGGTGCCTTCTCATCGCATCAGCGTGCTTTCCATCCACCACATCAGCAGCCCGGTTCGAGGTAAGAAACGAGATCTCCAGATACCCAGGACGGAACCGGAGCCTCACGGTTAACTGTTGGTCATCGAATAACAAATTGGGCATGCATGCTCTCAAACCGGGCCAATCTAAAAGCTGGTCGTTCACGCCAATATTTATTAAGATACCGTTTATCTACACATACTTCGAGTGCATGTTCTTCACCGCTTTTGGCTCGCCATATGGTCAGAAAGCAACGGTTTTTGCTGGGGAGAGATTATTCAGGTGGCAATGCGATAATCCAGACGAGGAAGAGTGCATTTGGGTGGTGAAGAGAGACGGGCTATATCTAAGGAGGATCAAAAGAGACGATAAAGGCCAAAGGCTCTATGGAGATGAATTGAGAATGCCTTGGATCGGCGGTACTAACTACCACCCTGTACAAGAGGATCCATAATCCAACCAATTCAGGATATATGTTAAATCTCTATTTTTGTGTATGAAATGGATATCACGATACGGAATCTAGAAGAAACAGAACAGCTTTTGTGTCTTCCCTTTATGTAAAGTTAGCAAATTTGAGTCAATCCACAATCAACTCCAACAGCAGAAAGAGTATGAAATTCATCCGGACTAGATGATTACAAAGTACCTGAAATCTATTTTTGCTTAAGCTCCATATTTTGGGGCCTTCCAAAGTTTGAAAGCAACTTCATGGATGAACCGATCAGCCGGTATAACAAGATTTCCAGAGAGCTACAATTAAAAAAGAGAAAGAAATAAAAACCCTTGAGACAAGCCATGCCGTATATTACAGATTTACAGTGGAACTTGCATTACATAGAAACCATACCTTTTTAAGAGTTTCAAATGACAATGTATCAACTAAGTCTTTCCGGGTCACAGCATGCTGCCACTGAGCTACCAACATAGGACAGTAGTGCCTGTAGGTTGCAAGAATGCCCAAAACCATTAAGAACGAAATAATAACCTCAAAAAGTTTAAATCAAATTCTTTTGGTTTTGAGAAAAACAATTGAATCTCTTACCGAACATCATCCCGTGTCTTTTCACCTCGCATGGTGTAGCTCTGACGCGGGACAAGTCCTGCAAATGCCGGGTTAATGTCTTCTTGTGGAGTCTTGATGGGAAAAACTGAAACATCTTTGTCTGTGACAGAACCATAGCTAAGAACGAGAGACAGGTGCAACCGCGATACAATCTCTGAACCTGGTTGAGCCATTCTCATAATACTACCAATCAAAGAGTCGATAATTCCCATGTTGTTGTTCCCATTATTATATTGATCAACCCCGATATGCACAAAAACCGAGTCATATAGGCTCACATCCAAGCACTTTCCTCCTTCAAATCCAAGTAGCTTTAGTAATTTAGATGATGTGGCATCAGAAGGAAAGGAATCACTCTCTTGGCATATTTCACTAAGTTGTAATACATCTAAGCCAATCAGTTTTCCGAAAGAAGTCAGAGTAGAACTGTCCGTTACTAAAGCAGCCTTGAGTCCCATAAACCTGCAGCAGTGACATGAAAAGTAAAAACTAGCATCATCATCTAGATATACGGGCTATTGATTATCAAAAACAGAGTATAAAACTATAGAGATGAGTGAAAAGTCTAACCTTTCGGCCAAAGTTGAGATTTCATTTCCATTTCCCTTAGGTTTTAGTCCATTCTATTAAAGAAATAGATCATGGTTTGTTAATCTCTACTGTCGTGAATAACTATGTAAACCCATGTATCAATACACACACACTCAGGTTGTTAGATATTTGTCCTAACCACCTAACTCGGCTCACATAGAATTATATATTAGAGAGTGAAGTATCATCTTACAGCTATCGAATAAGCTTCTGATGCATCCAGAAAATGGGCGAATTCTCGAACTGTCCTCTCATTCTCAGTTTCTGCAATTGAAAAAAACACCAGAGTGAATTAATATCCAAAAGCAGAATGTCAAGCAAGTGCAATGTAACACAAGTGATCTCAAAATCTTCGTTTCTTAAGAAATTGAGTCAAATTCCATTTTTGCTGTCTGCTTCAACACACATGACACTGAAAATGGATTCTATGTTGGGCAGTTAGATCAATACATTGGAGTTTTCATATTGGACTATTAAAAAAGTCTCAATCGAATCCAAACGATCTGAGGTCTTACCTGATTCAATTCTGATCAACATTAAGAAATCCATAAGTGAAAACCCAGAAAGTAGCGATTTTGACCAAAATTCTAAACGAATCAAACGGAAAGTAACCAAATTTATGAAGATAGCAAGGGAAAGAGAGAGAGAGAGAGACCTGGAGGTGCATTAGGAAGGCTCAAGAAGCCACAGCTACCGACGGAAGCAAGAGAATGGATGTGGGTATTTGACGGATCGACGAATCGAGCCAAGCCGTCTCCGTACAAAACCAGTGATCTGCTTGGTTTGTCCGCCATTCTTGTCTGAGAAATAAAGAGAGAGAGTGGAATTTATTTTCCTATATATAATTTTTTTTATGTCATTTTGTATATATTTTTAATTTTTTTTGTTTGACAGCGAAATTTTTGGAAACTTTTTTTTGCGGATAAATACACTACGAAATTCCCTATGAAGTCTAGATAGTAGATACCTTACAAAAATTCCCTACGAAATAATCTCGTTTACAAATTTCATAAAAAATGAATGATGAAATCTTGATTACACCACTAAATTGAGCTAATTTTTTTAAAGAAATGGAAGATGTTTTGTCCTAATCTAAAACCAATAATAACCAAAGAAAGACCCATTCTATTGATAATCTACCACATGGTGCAGTTGTATAATACAAAGAAACATCACAACATAAATCCGATTATTAATTTTAAAACTATATAGTAAAATTATACAGTATAGTCTATATAGTATATATGTATGTATGGACTGTTTGTTGACCATTGCAGCAGCAATCTCTCACTTTCCCCGCTCTTCCCCACTCGTCGATCGACAGACTCGCTACGGTTCCGGTTCTTCTTCTCCTAACCGTTCCGGTTTAATCCAGAACCAGTTCTTCTGCCATGGTGGAAGAAGGAGGAAGAAGAAGAAGAAGATCCTCTCAACAACTAGTTCTCCTCCTACTTTTACTCTCCATCTTCCTCTGCTTCTCCGTCGCGTCTCCTCGAGCTATATCTGATTCGGATCTGTTGGACGAATCCGTCGCCAACTCCTCCTCTTCCGTCGAATCTCTCAACACTTCTTCTTCTCTTGTTAAACCCAAGGAAGGTAGCTTCGCCGACATCATCGATCGTGCTCTCGAAAAAGAGTTCAACGAAAGCGACCAGAGTGAAGGTAATTCTTTTTGCTACTTTTGGAACTTCAAATGGCCATTGCAAAACTAGAATTCATTAGTTAGATCCTGAATTGGATCCATGGAAAATTCGAAACTTTAGAATGATCCCACATTCGTCTTTCCTTTTTGGGGATCTCCCAATGTGGAATAGTATGCTTCTTCTAGATCGAGATTTATTACATAACGAGATACATTTTCCTGAAATGGATAGTAAGTTCTTGTTTTCTTACCCTTTTACTTGTAAATTTTGTAATTATTTTTCAATGTTGTTATATTTGTGGCAGTGGCTGATCCTGGAAGCTTCAATAACAGTGTAGCTGGACAACAGGTTGGTTTTATTATCCAAAGTTGGACACTTTCTAGGAAATTCAAGCAGTTTCAAAAACACTCCCAAGTCTTTTGTTTGAAATTATGAAGGCTTGCTTTAGATGTGATCATTTCTCTCGTTAATTGCATTGTATGAGTATCTGAATGTGAGGTTGGTTGTTGTACCTTGTGGTGATCAGGCTGTTCTGGAAACTGTAGCCAGAGTAAAGTCAACCAAGAAAAATGAGACAAAAGAGGACAAGTACAAACTATTCAATTTCTAAAACTTCATTTGTATCATGTTCTAGAATTGAAGACTTATTAAGCGCTATCTAATTTTCCCTAGGCGTTTCCAACTCCATGATGTTTTCAATTTGAACAATGATAACAGAGCTGAGGACACTCCTACTCTCATTGATCGAAAAGTAAGTTTTTGCACATGAAGACTTGAGTTTCGATTTGTTGTTTTTGTTCTTACATGGCAATTTTGGCCTTGTGTCAGGACAATGTCTTCATCATATCCAATTCCAAATCAAAGTATCCAGTATTGCAGCTAGACTTGAGGCAAGATTCTTGGTTTTAAGTAATTTCTTTTATAGTTCTTGAATAAACAGACTTTATAATTTTGAATCAGTCATCTGATTTCTGCTTCTTATGGCATGTAGACTGATATCGGACCTGGTGGTTGTCATTGTATCTGCAACTTGTGGTGGTATCGCATTTGCTTGTGCTGGACAGCCGGTCTGATTTTCGTGCTACTCTTATTCTCTGTCAATATGAACTTAGGATTCAGTATGATGTCTTGGTTTTCTGATAGTTATGACTCACTCTATGTTTACGCAGGTAATAACTGGATATTTGCTAGCAGGATCTATCATTGGGCCTGGAGGATTGAACTTCATCAGTGAGATGGTCCAGGTATGCTTTGTGTTTGACCTTAGCAGATTTGAGTCTTTAGTCCACTTCCAATAACTTTAGGTCCCGAATGCTTAGTTAGGTCAGCAGTTTAGGAACTATTTTCTTCTGAGGGTCTTTGACTAAGATATTATACACAGAAAGACAGGAGTCTTTGACTAGGAACTCTTTTCTTCTGTGGGTCAAAACAAATTGAGTTTTTATCATGCATAAGAGAGACCTTAGTTTGTCTTTGAATAGAAATCTAGCGCATTAGACTGCCACAGTGATGAGAATGTATAATGCTCATGTGGTCTTACATATATGTGATCTTACACGTGGTTTTTGCGCTATCATTTTGACATGATTCTATATGTAGGTTGAAACAGTTGCCCAGTTTGGTGTGGTATTTCTGCTCTTCGCTTTGGGTCTAGAGTTCTCCACTGCTAAGGTGAGATCAACCTCTTTGATTTGTTTCGTGTTGAATTGAAATGTTAACATAACAAACTCATAACAAACTCTTAAGCACCTTTCCTCTTACTATGTAGCTTAAAGTTGTTCGATCAGTTGCTATTCTGGGAGGCCTTCTTCAAATTCTTCTATTCATGTTCTTGTGCGGAATCACAGTGTCGGTGCGTCACAATTTTTTATCAGTGGTTCTGGAAAAAAAATTCAGCTTTCTTTTTTGATTGTGGAGAAAAGAATCCTGCTGTCTCCTTTGTTCTTTGAGCGACATTTGGTTTATGTAGCTTAAAGTGATGTGTCTTTGAAAGTTAAAAATATACATCCTAAATCTTCTGCAGATATACTCTCTGTGACATGTTTTCAACTGGTCCTGTTTGCAGTTATGCGGTGGTAAACATTCGGAGGGGGTATTTGTAGGAGCCTTTTTGTCAATGTCCTCAACCGCAGTGGTTATTTCAGTGAACTCTATAAGGCTTATCTAACCATTTCCATTAGTGGGATTTCTTTTGCAATACTATTGGTTTGTTGTTCATCATGCGTTTCTGCCTTGAAACTATAGGTGCTGAAGTTTCTCATGGAAAAAAATTCAACTAATTCTCTTCATGGCCAAGTTACGATTGGAATCCTAATTCTTCAGGTATCTGATTGTTCTTTCCATCAACATGTAATGTCCATTGTCTTTCTAGATTAGGAGGTTTGATTTTAGCATCTGTTTGTAGGACTGTGCTGTGGGTTTGCTGTTTGCTTTGCTTCCCGTTCTTGAGGGAAATTCTGGCATTGTTCATGGAATGTTGTCAATGGGAAAAGTGTAAGGAAAGAGTGGTAGATTTTTTTCTCCTAAGGCGTATTCTGAAGATTTGATGTTAATTATGTTTTTACTGTTTCTTATTTAGGGTGGTTTTGTTGCTTTCGTTTTTGGCTGCTTTGTCAATATTATCACGGACATGTGTTCCTTGGTTGCTGAAGCTAATGGTCAGCTTATCGTCACAGGTACATGAGTTTCTTCTCAAGATTCTTTCCCCTATTATCTGGTCCAATGAAATCGAGTTGTAGATTAACCTAAAAAATTTCTTTATTTCAGACAAATGAACTCTATCAGTTAGCGGCTGTTGCATTTTGTCTACTTGTAGCCTGGGTGAGTCCTACAGTCCTACTTAGCCTTCCTCTTCCTCATATTCTTTTTTTTTTTTTTTTTTTTTTTTTTTTTTTTTTTTTTTTTTTCTCTTCCTCATATTCTTCCTTGTTAGTATCCATGTTATGTAATGTGTTCATCAATGTTCTCATTTGTGCGTTCCTTCTATTATCTGGTCCTGGTGTGCGAATGGGAACTGTTAATGTCAGCATATTGGTTTAAATGCCCTTTTATGTTTTTATTTTTTGTCAGCATGTTTGTTTGACTAGTCTTTTATGTTTTCAGTGTAGTGATAAGCTGGGATTAAGTCTTGAATTGGGTTCTTTTGCCGCGGGGGTCATGATATCCACTACTGATCTCGCTGAACATACATTGGAGCAAGTACGTTTTGACCACATGTTACCAAAAAGACTTTACTGTTTCTCCTGGTTATGTTAATTGAAGCTAAAATATTTCCATCTACTTGAGTCTCTTTTTCTCCTCCCACAACTGTTCTTAATGTTCTTTGATGTCAGAGAGAGAAAGAGAGAGAGAGAGAGAGTGAGTCAGAGTTTGATCATAGTCTGAGTTCTTGTAGCAGGGTGAATGTGATAGAGGGGAAGTAATGAGTTGACGAACTTGCGATCATAAATCCTTAAAGAGTCCATAGTCTGACGGAGATGCTTTATTTTGGTGCAGATTGAACCCATCCGTAATTTATTTGCTGCTCTTTTCCTAGCCAGCATCGGGATGTTAGTTAATGTCCATTTTCTGTGGACCCATGTGGATATACTGTTAGCCTCTGTGATATTAGTAATTATAATAAAGACAACTATAGTTACAATCGTTGTTAAGGGATTTGGATACAACAATAAGACGGCTCTCCTGGTAAAATATTCTGTCTCAAATTACTTATATGATCGATCATGTTTGCTTTTGTGTACTCTGTGCTTCAACATCCTTAGTCAAATTGATGCAGGTTGGAATATCTCTGGCTCAGATAGGGGAGTTTGCCTTTGTACTGCTTAGCCGTGCCTCCAATCTTCATCTTATCGAAGTAAGTAACACAACTTGGTCCTCAATGGACAATACACATAGTAGGATTTAAGCTTATATAAGGTATTTTGAAGAAAGAAGCTTAAAGTTATGAAAATTGTCAGGGGAAACTCTATTTGCTTCTCCTCGGGACAACCGCTCTAAGTCTGGTATGATCAAACATTATGTTGCATCCTCTTTATATGTGTTCAAGTAAGTAGCTGAGCTGGTTTTGGTTTATGATTTGGTTTGGGCAGGTTACGACACCGCTGGTTTTCAAAATGATACCAGCAGTTGTGCATCTTGGGGTATTGTTAAAGTGGTTTTCTCCAGACAGTACTATAGAGGTAATTTGGTTTGATATTTTGGTTGATTCTTTCTTCGTTTATAGAAATAACTAAATAAAGAAAGCTTTGGTTTTGTTCAGAAAGGGGAAATTGTAAGATCAGAAAGCGGTAAACAACGGATGATTCTAATGTCACGTCAATCCCACAGCTCCTAATCCACAATTGTTTCTTCTCAACTGAAGTTTGGTACACCAATCAATTTTGACCAAAAAAAAGTGGAAAAGAGAAGAGCTACAGATTTTAACACTAACATTGTTTGTTTCCTGGGAGTATAACTAACCCACCATCAATTTGTTTCCCCTGTAATTAGTATTGTTTCTTTTACTTTTTTTCTTCATGGAAGGAATGTGTCAAAAAACAAGTTTGATTCTTTCTCTTGTAATCATCATATATACTCGGCCTATACCACTTTGTGCAACCAAACATGTTTGAGAGAGTGGAATCAGCTCTCTTTGTTAATTTTTGAAGGCAAATTTTTCGCAGTTTGTGTCCGAATTTCCAATTTTCAGCAACAATTTCTCTCACGACAGTTTCAATTGAAGAGGCCACAACATGTACTGAATGAGTGTTGCTATCAAATAGTAAGGGGATTTTTTATTCAACTAAATGTACAGAACAACAAGAGCTACCACAAAATAAACCTTTCAAGGACAACTTTAATGAATCAAAATATAATATATCTGTAATCTCTCTACCATTTATCAATCCCTTCCCCATCCCCTTTTTTACTCTTCTTCCCCTCCCTCTCTCTCTATATATATAGATGATCAATATATCTCTGTCTATATCTACAGCTCAAATCATAACAGAGGAACAGCTCCAACTCCAACAATGGTGATTTTGATGCGGTGTATGATTCACATGTTGTGTATATGTAAATGTGTGTAGCAGAGGAGGTAGGGCTATAGAGCGAGTCTTGTCTTAATCGGCTTGAGTTTCAACCCCATGTTTTCAGGGGAGAGTAGCTCCGGAGAGATTCGGGTTGGGCTCAAAGGACTTCTCGGGCTTACGCTCTGTGTCGGACGATACAAGCCATATCCCATTAGAAAGTATTCCATTGGTATTACCATCGCCTGTGGCTGTTCTTCACTCACCAACGACCCACTTCCCTGCACCTGTTATATGTAATATGACTCAGGGTGGCCATAAGAACCTTAACCGAACTGAATTACAAACCAAACAATTACGAGACATATGTATTAGCGATATTGTACCTCGACTAATGCACCGTATCTTCTGTCTAGTTTGGTGGTCATGTGAACGGCCTCAGAGTGGTAGGCAGAATTTTCACCAATGAATATTAGAGTTCTGCATTGCAGTTTCCTTAACCCTTCACTAAGATCCACTCTCCTGTTTCACCAAAACAACAAAACATACTATTTTATCAGCTTAAGACTATATTCTGGAAAGAAATCAACAGAGAGAAACTAGAGAAGTACCCATTGATTGCTTCAAGGAATCTCCATACATTTGTACTTTGTCGCTCACTAAGTAACTGGATAGTCAAAGATAAAACAATATAACATGTAAATTTTACTTCAAAATATGACAAAGCATTACAGAATTGCAAGAAAAGAGAAGAAAGATTTTACTAACTCTTCTGCATTCTTGAACGATATCTGATTCTGGAACTTGACCATTACCACGAACTTCCTATGAGAACATATGTCAAAAGTCAAAACTTTAATATTTGTCTAATCCAAAAGTAAAAGTAGCGTCTCCTTCTTGGAACAAAATATGAAAATTGCTACACACTATTTACAAGAAACCTTTGAATACAAAACCATACCTTGCTGAAGTACCGTTTTAGTAACAGTTCCTTAACCACTCCACACGTACCATAGTAGTAAAGTAAATTAGACATAACCTGCACAATAAGTCAAGGAATATCTGATATGAGAATAAGATAATCAAAGGCATAACCCCAAGTAAAAAAAAAACAAAGAAGATATATTTGTGGAAAAAAACCTTATTGCACAACCATTCTGACCACGAAGGCGCTTGGCACAGTGGAGAGACGAGTATTAAGCCCAGAACTCTCTGCCTGTACTTCATCTGGAAGAATTGAGTTTCAAGCAAAATTAACAATTTGACATCAAGTTGAATGATAAGCGTAAGAAAGGTACTGTTACTATACTTACAGCAAATAAGGTCAGAATGTAGGCTCCTGCTGTGACACCCATACACATTACTGCACCCAGTCTGGATAAGAGACAAGAAGAAATAAATAAGGAGAAAATTCTATATAAATATAAGCAATAAAACAGCTATTCTTTCTTCTGTCTAGTCTCCGGAGAAAGACTTTGGTAATGAAAACAAAGATAACGATATAACAAGAATATAGGCAGCTCGATGAAATAACTATCACAAGTAAAACTTATGTTAGAGATGAATTCTCTTACCCGAAAAAATTAAGAACCTCAACTATCTGGTCCGCTAAGTCATTAGCAGAGAGCAAAGGAGTATCAACACTGATCATTGGAGCTCCCAACTGCAATGACTCTTGAAGAAAGCAATTTAATAAGGGATATGAATTGCATTATCAAGGAATGTCATAGCTCTTAACAGTAAAAACACCCGATACATACAAATTTTGTAAATGATCAAAGTCCAGTTACCAACCTCATGGCCAAGAGGACTGATGTGATATATGCAAAAGTTGTGGAGTAACAAAGAACTAGCTTCTGGACAAAACAATAATCCTTGAAAACAGAACATATCTGCACAAGAAGAAAGTAACAAACACGCACCAAATAAGAAGAAGCATTTCATTTTCTAATCAGATTACTATAACTACTGAAGTCATGGCTTATTCGATAAGTATATCGGAAGATTTTAAAAGAAAATGCTTACAATTTAGAGCTATATCGGGATATGTGATAAGAGCTGGTTTATCTGGATCTCCACAAACGGCAACACAAACCGGGCCATAAGTAGTTTCCACAAGGTGTTCCTACCAACAAAAAAAAAAGGTAGAATTTAAGTCAGTAACTAAATTCTCTATGAAATGAATGAGAAGGTAAGAACATGCACATAAATTAGGACCACACCTAGAAAATTAATTTCCCTTGTAAGACATATAAATTGATTAGTGAGCAAGTTAAAAAGTACCAAACTTTCCCATAAAATCATAAACGCATAACCAGCAAACAAGACATGGTCAAACAAAAAGGATCATATAGAATATGAGAAAGAAAAAAAAAAAAAATCTTGAGAAACTTAGAACAGTGCAAAAAAAAAAAGCAAAAGTGGAAAATCCAAAAGTTATATACTTGTGATCCAATACAACAAGAATGGGATCAAATAAATACACATGTTCCAGATAAAGGTGTCAACTAAACCATGAATTGGGGAAGACATTAGAACCCAACATACAAAAAAACCTCAGGAACCCAAAAATCAAAACGAATCCGATTATCGTCAACACAAGTCGTAATTTTGAATAAATTACCGACACAAAGACATGATATTCTAATTTCAGCTCCAAAAATTAGCAACATGAACGAACATATTTCGCAGCATTGTTTTACTACAAACGATTCCAGAAATTGCTAAAAACAACTTGTCATAATCAAAACTACAGCAAAATCCAGAGAAACAATAATTATCAGCAACAAAGCAGCTCGAAGAATGCAGAAACCGAAAAAAAAAAAAAAATCAACAAATACCATTTCTTCTATCTTCTTCTTCCCGTAATTTCTGAGTAACCAAACAAAAAGTCAAAAACTCATCAAAAATCTCTTTAAATATTCGTACCTGTCCTCCAAGAGACAATGCCTCCATATCAATGGAGACAGAATCGCTTGAATCCGCCATCTCCTTATCTCTTTCTATCTCCTCTGTATATATTCAAAAATAAAGCAGAGTATTATCTTTCCATGGCCTTCTCTCTTCTCTCTTCTCTCACCAAAACGATGGCTATCTTCGTTTTTTTGTGTTTATAAATAGAGAAGACTTGTGAGAGAGACTCAAATAAAATAAAAATAAAAACCAGGGAGAGAACTCGTTTACGCGACTCGTAACTGAGTCACCGACGGTCGACTCGGTTTAATGTAGGACCTGCTTTAAAAAAAACAAAAATGAAAATCACAAGGCTTAACTATATACCCTGATCAATAACCTAACCTTGGTTAAGGGACCGACAGTTTTTTAGTTTCCTAACCTTCACATTCTCACCCCTTTATTTTCTTAATTATCAATTTCATCCTAAAAACTTGTCGGCACCCTCAATTTCCAGTTCCACTTTTCTTTTCTGTTTTATTTTTTTTTATTAATGCTGACCAAAATAAACATAAGTTTCTAACGAAATTTTCATATTATTTTACTAACAAAAACATTATCCTAGACCTGAAATAATTATTCAAATTTCAATTTGCCTGATTAAAATGTGAATACGTAATCATATTTAATCGTTTCCCTCCTTAGGATCCAATTTAAATCTGAATATAATAGAGGGGGGATAGTGATAGATATAAAAGTAGAGGGGCCAAAACAAAGAATCATCTTTTTCATTGAAAAAAAAAAAAGGTCCACGTACTGTTGACTTTTTGACCGATTGGTGAATCCTGGGATCCTCAGCCGTTGGATTTTAACTTATTTTTGTCGTTATTTGCCTTTTATGATTAGTCTTCTCCCGTTTTAAAATATGAACACCGTGTGGTTTTCAATAGCAAAAAACAGGGCCCATTGCGTGAGAGTGAGAACACACATGTCGTTTTCTTGTCGAGTTGGTATGTGTCATTGGCATCCAACAAGAGCCTAAAACCATAAGTCCCTTTTGCTTAATTATTAATCCGTCCAAAATCTTTCGATTTTCTTTTTTGTTTAAACCGAATATTTATTATTTTCTCCATATCTGAGCGTCATAAATAAGTCGATAACAATTTCTACCAGATGACAAAAATTAATAATAAGTTGACCGTGACCAAAAAAAATTATAGAAACAAACAAAGACATTTAATTCTCAGTTTTTGATAATCGGATCTGTTTAATTTTATGGTTTCCAGCTTTTAAACATGTATATTAGCTTCGTTCGACGAATATAATTATATAAATATATATATAAAGCATAACATGATATTTATCTATAGTAATGATATTTATCTATAGTAAATAATACTAGATCAACTTTATATAATCATGGTGGTTACGTTAAAGATACATTAAATTAACAGCTCTGAATTAACTTGAATGGTTTGTATAGAACAAACCCGATGGAATATTCCCAATTACATTTGATATATCTTTTTCGCATTATATGATTGATTGCAATGCAACAACTTAGTGACACTTAAAAGTTTCTTTAATTTAAGTATCTACAGATCAAAAGGAGCTATTCATAAGGAATGCTCGCTACTCACCGAATAAATGTACCTACAAATTTGTTTTTGAGTACTAATTCACAAAGTAATGATTACATATTAGTACCATTACATTCTAATTAGCTATTGTCACCAGCTTTTGTTTTTATATCTAGTTCTTTTTTATCCTATGTTTTCTCATGGAACTTTTTTTAATGATTAACCCACCAACCACGTTTCTTAATCTTTACATTTAGGATACCATTTTCAATATTGTATGCCTCATGATTTTCGGAATTTGTTTTCTAATGTTTTGTTCATATCAATCAAATAATAGTGACTCCTATAAGACTTTGCAATCATGTATTTTTCAGTACATCTTCACTTTTTATAGTACTATATTGTTATTTATAAATGATTTTCAAATATCACTGAACCTGGTCTTGTAAAAATAATGACTTGATTTTTTAAAAACAAAATAATGATATTATTTTTTTAAAGCTCCATCCATTCCATTATCAATGAGTATTATCTTACATGAATTTGAGCCAACCGTTTATTCATACGAACCAAAGCTTTAGGTATGATATTTGCAAGGAATGTACAAATAAATACTGAAAAATCTAATTATTTGTCTATATATGTTCAGCGAATCATTAAAAATTTCAGATATTTTACTCACATTGAACTATTTTAAGACTAATTGTAATTTTTTAAGCGAAAGCATGTAGTGGTTGTTTTGCTCAAATACGTGATGAGAGTAAATGTTTCCCTAATTTAACCCATTTATGATCAAACGAGGGCACGTGTGACGCCATTACTCAACTTTAAAGCTTACCATTTGGTTAATCTATAAAGATGAGTAATAATTTATTAGTTGCTGTCTCCATCTCGCCACCATCACTCATCAATCTAAATCTAAGAATCAAATATAGGAGTACATACTACATAGAAACGACTATACACGAATCTCTTCGCCGACATTATTTTTAGCTAAACGGTTTAATTTAATCTTCGCCGACAATATTTAGAAGCATGTAATATAGATAGATACGTCCACACGTCGAAAGAAGCATATACTATTTTGTAATGTAATTTTGTAAATATCTAGCATAAAAAAGTATACATACATATTTTAAAGTTACATTAGTTTTGTTGTTGCTTGCAATAGCCTTGCATTATCTAGAGAGACATTTCTTTGCTTTTAATCCAATTCATTACATCATGGCTATTGGCTTATATGGAAGTTGTTGCACATATTAACTACGTGTCCGTTTGTAGAAACTTCCATTACTTCAAGTCTAAAGAAAATGAAGTTTATAAACATTTGTACTCTAGTTCAAAATGAATTCAACGATTATAAAAGTTTAGAACATTCCTGGGGTAGATTTTTTCTTTTAGACGTGAACAAAGAGTTACTCTCTTATGATTGGTAAATGTGGTTCATATGAATAAATTTTGAGGAGTTTATTATGGATTTCGGCAGACTTTGGTTTTTAATTTTATTTATCAAAATCTATTGGATATGGAATTTGTAAATCTTCTAAAATCTCATGTTATTGATAAATGTTCATCAAAACTAATTCTAAAATAATTAACAAAAAAAAAAAAAATTCTAAATAATTTATGGACCCCTATTATTCAGCTGATGATTTGGGAAATGCCTTAAAACTTCATGTTATTTTGGCATTGATTTTTTTTTTCTTCTGGTTTATGTGGGTGTTTAAGGTGATTTTCTAATTACATATAGAATAAAATTTCACGTTTGAAGTTACACTTTGGACAGTTTTACAATACAAAATTGTAACAGCTTTTCCTTATTCATCTAAAATCATTAAAACCATCTAAAATTTTACCAGACCTCTTCAAATTCAATAGTGAATAAAGAAGTCTTTATGTGTCAAATTTGCTTTTTCATAGTATAATGATTAGAAACATAAAAACACAAATCCAAACAAATAATCAGCGGCAATGTATATTTTTTTCTCACAACCAAACTGCATCATCTTTAAAAGTTTATATACAGTATATAATTGTTGGGGTAAAATGGCCATAAGGCCCATAACAAAAGCTCACGAAAGAGTGCAAGAAGGGCCATTAATACTGAGAGAGCAATGATGAAAACCCATGAATTATTTCTAGCTTCCAAACCACAACAAACTCTGATTCATTTCCAGTTCCAGAGTTAGTCCTAAACATCCCTATTAACTCTTTGATGTTGGAGATGGAGGAGGATTCAAAGACGCTGCTGATCTTAAGAGGATTCATCCCGCCCGATTCACGGGTTTACATTACGATATGAATTACGAAGATTCTAAATAGTTACAAAAGTGAATTTGTTATAATCTCTAGACAACAATTACTTCAGCAGCATTCTTACATCTCTACCATATTTGAGACAATATTAAGCCGATTTCACTATCTACAAGTGGTTTAGACTCATAGCTCCATGTCTGAAACTTCAACCTCAGTCCCCTTCACCAAACCATCCGAGAAGACAAAAGGTTGAAACTTGGAGTTCTCCTGAAGGTTGCTGTGTCTATGTTTGAAGAGCTTCACTTTCGTTTCTCCCTCCTTATTATGCCTCTCTTCTTTACGCTTTCTTGTGTTGCTGCTGAGAATTGAGATAGATGACACAGTGTAATCATCAGCCATGTCTGCATCATGATCAAACTCCTCTTGTTGTTTCAGTAATGTGGCTCCGAGACTGAGATCTGGTCTTGACCTTTGAATCACAATTCTGGCATAGTTTTTGGAATGGTCACAGTTAAACACCCTTAGTCCTTGCTCTTCAAGTGATACAAGCCATTCTGGAGATCAGATTTTGCACAATGGGTTAGTGAAGTGAGACGTAACAGCTCCAGAGAATTGATGGGAATGTTCTGTGGAACAAATCACTTAGGAAAGCATTCAACATGACCTATCTATTAGAGATAAAGGAAGCAATTTACCAATGAAGGATGCGGGAGTCAAGTTTCTCAGTGCGTCTGCATCTCTAATCACTTCACCTTGACTGATTACCCAATTGATCAAGTGGTAAGGAATACGTGAATTGGTGAACATGCTCATGTACCTGCTGGTTTTTTCTTGATCTTTGTTTCTCCTGAGTAATCGTTTGGAGTATCAAGCAAAACAATCAAGCAACTAAAGCCATTAATTCTATAGAACTTATAGGCATACCTTAGAGAAGCCATAGTCTTGTCAAAAAGAAACAACCATTTGATAGCAATGTTCTCCAAGTGTAAACTTCTTTGTGAAGTTCCATTTCCAGGATTAAGGAATAGCTTCTCTGCTGACTTAATCACAGCTTCTGTTATGATTTCCGTTAAAATAGCTTCATCTTCGGGACCCTGAAAGATTAAACAGCTTCCCATGAAAAACAACTCAATTCCATGTTACATACTATGTGATTCAATAAAGCAACTACAGACTTTATTGGACATCCGATTGTATACACATTTAGAAAGCACAGACCACTAATTTCAAGCTTTCAAGTCAGCCAGCGAGAAAAGACTAAATAGTGGATACATAGTTTAGTCAAAGAACCAACCAGTAGTGAAGTTAGATGCAGATATGGCTCCAGCAGCAGCATCTTGAGAATTACATCTGTAACAAGAACAAAGAACACATGATTGAACACCAAACCAATTGAGATATCTGGAAACTCATCAAAAAAGGAGCCACTAGTCAAATAATGCTTGTCTAAATAAATTCCACAGAATGCAAAGTAGCTAAAGAAAAAGTAACACTCACCAAAAAAGTAGCAACTGTGAAACCCAGAAATCACCTGAAGCACAAATTCCCGTAGATCTTTTTCTAGCTCGTATCTACTTAACTCCAAATCAAACCTCGAGCACAAACTAAGCAAGAACACCTGAGAAGCGACGATTCCAGCTAAGTAACCAACGCGACAGGACTCAGAATCCATCTCTTTACGCAAAGTTTCACTAACAAATGGCATGAAGATCTCCAAACAATCCTCAACTCTACAATTATCTTCCACTTCATCCACAATCCAAACTCGACTCAAATCAGCAAAACTGAAACCAGAGACCATCAACACATCATCATCTTCATCTCCAGGTTCCTCGACACAGTACATGCTAATATAGCTCACAATCCCTTCTAACAAGCTCAAAGCGTCTCTCCTCCTAGAATTAACCAAATGACTCAACTGGTAAACAACGGGAGATAACAGAGCTACCTTCTTAACGCCGGAAAACGAATCGGAAAACGAAACTAGCAGCTGGAAGAAACTCGAAGTTAACCTAACGGAATCATCCCGGAAAGCTAACTTCGAAGAGTAGAATCTGATGGCGGAGTAGAACCAGACGAGTTCGAGAGGTGGTGGTTCGGGAAGATCGTTAAGAATACGAGTGAAGATGGAGTCGAAATCGGAGAAATTGGTTCGTCCGCTCCGGTACTGTACCAATAGCTGCTTGATCGAGTCATTGAGAAGCGGTTTCAGAAATTCAAGGTGACTTTGAGGTCTGGGTTTGCAAATCGGAGGTTGCATTTTGGGAAATTCCGGTGACAGAGAAGAGATTTTGAATTTTGGGAAGTTGGAAGGGAAATAGAGAAACCCTATGGCTATGCGAGAAATATGAAATTCAAAGAAAAGGGGGCGAATAAAGAGAGGGAATCCCAATGTTAAAAACTTAAAATTTGTTACATTACATTTTCAAATTGAGTTCACTTATCGCATTATAGTTATTTATTTTATTTTATTTTCATTATGGCAATATTGGCAATACCATTAAGGAGATAACACATTATACATTAGAAAATTTGTTAAAAAAAAAGTATTTTATGAAGTGTGGATAAATGAAAATTTCGAAAATTTGCTAAGCTAATTTTATTCAGAAAAAATAATGAGAGAAAATGTTATAAGACTTGGTCATTTATGGCTCTTGATAACACATATAATGGTAGAATGCAATAAGATTATGCAAAAAGATTACCAATCAAAAGAATTTTATAATGTTTACTAAATACACAAAAACGTAAAATTTGCGTTTCCGTCTAAAAAATATTAATAATAACTCATTATACAAATAAGTGAATATATATTTTTATTTTATGATGATATTTTTTATTTTACAATTTTTATTTAGCTATTTTTGTTTCACAAAATTTAATTTTGCGATTTAAGTTATTATGCGATTGCGATGTTACTACTCGGAGTCTATGCCATTCTTCAATATCACGTGATTTCTTCATTTCAATATCAAAATATAAATTTTCTATTTGAACTTCTTTTTTTTCTTTCCATTTTCTGATATAGTCACAAGTCACAACCATAATCAAAACCTTAATACTTTTAAGTTTTGATAATTTTTTTGTCTAAATAGTTTTTGTAATGACAAAGTTACAAGAGAAGTTATGGCAAATAACATAAAGTAAAATAATTATTTTATGTAATGGATCAAATACTGTAAAAAAAAAGTAAAAGAAATAAAAAAAATCACAAGGTGAAAAAAAAATGATACGATTCATATAAATACTTCTCCACCTGTTTTTAGTAAATGTTGAGTCGTTTGGTTAACACAACTCCACGACGAGAGGAAAAAAAAAAAAGCTCAGAGAGACAATCTCAATGGCGATGATTACGCGCAACACCGCCACGCGCCTCCCTCTCCTCCTCCAATCTCAACGCGCCGCCGCGGCTGCCTCGGTCTCTCACCTCCACACATCCCTTCCCGCTCTATCTCCCTCCACATCACCGACTTCCTACACCAGACCTGGTCCTCCTTCGACTTCCCCTCCTCCTCCTGGTCTCTCTAAAGCGGCCGAATTTGTGATCTCCAAGGTCGATGATCTCATGAATTGGGCTCGTACGGGATCGATCTGGCCTATGACCTTTGGTCTCGCTTGCTGCGCCGTCGAAATGATGCATACCGGTGCTGCTCGCTACGATCTCGATCGATTCGGTATCATCTTCAGACCTAGTCCTCGCCAGTCTGATTGTATGATTGTCGCCGGGACTCTTACCAATAAGATGGCTCCGGCTCTTCGCAAGTACGTCTCTCTCTCTTTCTCTCTCTATCTCTTCCTTTCCCATGGAATTAACGGCTGGTTTATCTCTTTGGATCTCGGATATAGTTTTGTCGTGGGAAGATTTGTTCTTTTTTCAGTTTGTGTGTTTTCTGCTTGATAGGCCCCTAAATTAGGTTTTCGGAGGATATAATTGGGGGCTTCGATTGGAAATTATACTTTCCCGGCGATTTTAGGGTTCATGTTTTTCTGATTATTTTGCTAGGTCTGTGAAAATTTTAGAATTGTTGTATGAATATAAGACTGAATTGGGAAGCTGTACAGTTCGTATTCATTGTCTAGCTCTGATTTACCAAGTATTCTTGAAGCTTTTGGTTCGAATTTCATGAAACTGGGAGCGTTCTAACATTAAGGGATGAATAAATGTGGTGGAGTGATATATCTCTTTTTATGTAAGCTCTGTGCTCGTCTTTTGTGGGGAGATGGGAATTTCAGATTTTCTAGCTTGGTGTTCATTAGGGAAACATGTTTTAGTGTCCTTTCACCTATCATGCTTGGATTTATCAAACTTTGTCTTACTAATAAGAGGTTGGAGATTCATTGTTACGATGTTTGCATTTACCTAATTTGTAGTTCCTTCTGTTGACTGATTAGAATCTTGCGTGATGACTTTGCTTGGTTGTGTTGTTGACTGCTGGAATTTCGTGTGATGACTTTGCTTGGTTAGAATCTGAGACCCCATGCACATGGTTTCTGCTAGGTGTGTTTTTATAGGAAATTGATATCCCACACAGTTAAGAGATTCCTATTTTTCTTGTTTGATGTATGAAGCCTTCATTAAACAGCAGAACTTATGTTCTTCAAATTAGATTCATGCTGTTAAGAAATGCTTGTCTATGGTTTTTGCCAGCTGATTTTTATACTAACGATGTCTTTACGCCCAAAAACTAGAGAAAGAAAATATCCCAAGTCAATCTAATAGCCACAAGGAACCACAAGTTCTCAAAACATCAACCATTGTGATGAGCAAATTTTCGATGCATTTGAGGAATAATTGACAGCTTTATAAGTTGGTCTAGATTAGTTTTTATACTGAATGAACTATTAGTGAGAAACTAGTTTTAAGAGATATGTTCAGAAATCAGTCTTGATCTGGTAGAACTGAGAGAAGTTGTGTATGTGGATCAACTCAAAAGATTTGAAAGTTCTGTTCTTGTTTATCCCGTGTGAAATTCTAACTTCTAATGTCTGAATACAATCACAGGGTTTATGACCAGATGCCTGAGCCAAGGTGGGTGATTTCAATGGGAAGTTGTGCCAACGGAGGTGGATACTATCATTACTCCTACTCGGTGGTTCGAGGATGTGACAGAATTGTCCCAGTCGACATTTACGTCCCTGGGTGCCCACCAACCGCTGAGGCTTTGCTCTATGGACTACTCCAGCTTCAGAAGAAAATCAACAGGCGCAAGGATTTCTTGCATTGGTGGAACAAGTGAGCTTCAAATCCTTCCTCCAACCGTGAAAGGGACTTTTTCAGACATTTTTATCAAAGTTTGGGGCTAATAAATCGTGGACGTTTCATTGCATGTTTCTTTGTGGTGGAGATGCCATGTAAAGGAGTGTGTTTCTAAATTTGTTGTGGAAACTTAATAAACATAAGATGTTTGTTGTCTGAGTTCTTTTATTATAAATCTACCAGTTTTCAGCTATAAGCTGACTATTGCTAAATATCTACATATATTTATATACACGAGTGTGTGTAGCCTAAAGCTTGTAATATCCCAAATTCTGAAAGTAATGGAGAATATTAAAATGATTGATTTAACTACTATACTACTACAACAAATGTTAGTATATACGAATTTCGGTTAAATCAGTCGTTAGTCCAAATCGAAAATTTTGTTTTGAATAGAGAACCAAGCTCGATGGAGAGTATAGCTGTAAATCAACAAAACCATGAAAGAAAAAATGTGCAGAAGCTGCTTTGGTTCTATCCGAAATATAACGAAATAAGAAAACTGAAGCTTGCGAGTTCACGACAAAACCATTGCATGATATCAAAAAGAGAGTATACCAAAAAGGACTGATCTTAATTTGAGATCTTACATGAGACTGAACCAAAACAAGCTAGTCATCAACATACAAACAGACAGATATTTCATCAGACTAGTAGCAAACTGGATAGAAAGTAAAATGTATTTTTTCTCATCAACCATGAACAACAACAACAAATCTGGTTATAACTTATAAACTGAGTTCATACATCCATTAACACCAGACCGAGTTTAATCTCCCTTGGCACCATAAAACAAAAGGATCAAAACTGGTTTAAGAAGATTTAGAAGCAACAATTACAGTCAAAGGGACAAAGACGAGTACCACCAGCATCAGTCCTGTTGAAACCAATTTCTTCTTCCTTGTACACTCGAAACCCTTCTGGAGTTCTCTTCCTGGGTTGCCTTTCCGTGTCGTTATTGAGAGTTCTCATCTTGGGTCCTCTCATCCTGGGTCGGCTTTCCGTGGTGTTATTGACCCCAACATTAAGCTCATTCCTCTTCCTCTTCTTCTTTGCAATCTCTGCTCTAACCTCTCTCGACTCAGGAACTTGGACCTCTGGCGTCCTCTGATATATCACAGCAAAGATATCATCAATCTCTTTCCCAAATTTACCAGGTTTTGGAACTAGTTTCCTTGGCTGTATCTCAGGTTTGTCTCCTCCTTGTGATGACTTCTTCAAGTAACCGCTACGAGTCTTCTTCTTCTTATTAGACATTTTGATGCAATGTAAAAAATCACCTTCAATAGCAAAATCATAAGACTATTAACAACACAAATTCCGTTCCAGAAACTAATCTTCTGGAAAACCCTAGACAATTTGAGCTACATCACAAACAAGAAAAACCAATACGCACTTTGATATGCAAAACTAAATCTGAGAAATTTGGTACCGATCCCTCAAAAATTAAAGTGTTTCTACTTGAAGCAACGATTGCATAATTTGATTTCATTACCCAAACAATAAATTTCGACTCCAAATCTAATAATAGGATCTACGTAAAGGTTTATGCAATAGAGCGGAGAAACAATTAGGTTCATTCGATATCTTTACTTCGGGATCGATACAAGAGTAAGAGAACAAAACTTACTTACAATTAGAGACGAAACTACACGAAGAAGATATCGAAGAAGAAGCTTCTGCTCTTTGAGAGAAATTAATATGAGAGATAACGGGGCCGGGGAGCCGGGTCGGGTCGGGTCGGGTTCGTAACTCTTAATTAATTTATAAACTAAACCAAATTATACACAGAGAGAAACTCTATTAGGGTTTAACAGGAAAAACGGTCAATTTCCCCACGAGAAGTATGACATCATAACAGATAGAGCCCAAACTATGACCGCGAGCTACTTATCCCCGAAAAAATAGTTCTATATCTATTTCTCCCTGAAACAAAAATTTAATATCTAAATCTCCTCGAAGTAATAGTTCTAGATCTATAAACCCACAAGACTTGGTTTTGTCGGTTTACTATTTATTTAACCGACTTTTTAAGAAACTAAACCCAATTATAACCAAAGAAAACCAGATTTCAAAATTAAATATGAATTATTTTTTTTGGTAAAAAAATAAATGAATTATTATTATTTATTTTTATAAAAACACGTGGTTTTCTTGTTCCTTTTTCTTCCTTCTTCCTTCTTCCTTCATCTTTGGACTCTGATTTGCTTCACCAGCAACAAAATAGGATTTGTGTTTCAAATTCAATTATGAACCCAAATTCTAAATTCAATTATGAATCCGATTTAAATCGATTTAGAGAACTATGTTTATCCGTATCATAAAAATGTCAAAATTAGTATTTTAATGGAGAAATTAAAAACAGTGGCTATCAAGAAGCAAAGAATCATTTGCATCACATCTGTCATTTTTTTGGGCTTATTGATTCATATTCTACCTCCTCATCATCAAAATCGTTCAGATCTAAGTACCCTTTAATTTCACAAAAATCGAAGTAGCAAAAGGAGTCTCAAAACCAGATCTCTTATTCTTCTTCCCCTCATAACTTTCAGATTCGAGTTTCGCAAGCTAGATTTCTCAAGCTGGACACGAAACACTTAGATGTGTTTCAGATTTAGAATTCGAGTTTTTGGTCAATGTTTAGCACTTAATGTGTTTAAAATGCTTTGTTAAATATCTCTTCTTTAAAACTGAGAGGATCATGAAGTTCTTTGTTAAATTATAGTTTTCAATCTGAATTAAGAAAAAGAAAAGAAAAAAGAAAAAAAATGAGAAGGGAAGAATGAAGAAGGGAAGAGACGAAGGAAGGGTATGTAATTTTGTCATTTTTTTTTTTTTTTTTTTTGTGTTGGTTATTAAAACTCTCTAAATCAAAAAGGTTTGACATGCAAGTGGTTTGAAATCGGTTTGAGTGGTTTTTATCGGGTTTGGTTCGTAAACCGATTAAACCCAGATTTATGGGGAAATAGATGAAAACTATCGATTTGGAGAGATATAGATTGAGAAGTATTTTTTCGGGGACATCTGAATCGTGGTCATAGTTTGGGCTCTATCTGTTATGATGTCATACTTCTCGTGGGGAAATAAACCGTTTTTCCGGTTTAACACTAATTATAAAACTGTTTAGTAGCACCATTTTCTAACGTTTTAAAACGTTTTTTTTTTCCTACAGACGTCTGCAGAAAAAATATTTTGTTTTATTAAAAAAATTCTCTTTGATAGAAACATAATTTTTTACTAACTTGATATATGCTAACTTCGTTATCACGAAACTGGAGATAACTGATAATAAGCAAACAAACTTATTAAGAAGATTGAAGAGATTCTCCATTACACGAATTCAATATTTGACACAACTAGGCCAAATCGTCTCCTTCTGACGGAGTGTAACTAAAACCATCGAAAATTGTTTAAGACAAGAGTAGACTGCTTTTTATTAAGGTTGTTAATGCTTCTTGAGAGCATTCACCTTGTCCCTGAGGTAATAAAGCTTGGCTCTTCTTACTTTCTTCTTGTCCACCACCTTAATCTCCCTCAGGTTTGGGGAATACCTGTCACCAAACACCCTCACTCACATCAGTTTTTACCACGACAAAGGCAAAGAGAACACACAAAACATGGTGGCTTGAGTTATCATAATGCCTCTTAATGATCATATACAAAGTTTGAGAGAAATATACAAAAGTACTTACAAGGGGAACATGGATTCAACGCCCACTCCAGCCACAAGCCTTCTTATTCTAAATGTTGAGTTAAGACCAGCATTACGCCTTGCTATAACGACGCCTTTTACAATTGATACACGCCTCTTGTTCTCAGGGACTTCCTGTACAAACAAAGTAAATGGCAAGCCTATGAAAGGTTTCACTTAGAAGATAAAAGGTTTCACTTACAATCTAAGGCCAACTGTACTTACCACTTTTAGCTGCACAATGTAACCAGGCTTTATCTCTGGAATCTCTCTAAGAGTTCTCACTTCCTCAACTGCTTCCTTGTCTACAATCTGCAGAAGATTATGACATAGGTAAAACATGACATGATTTATCCATGACAGTTGTCTAGTTTGAATTGTAGTACCTGCATTATATGCTTAGCGGTTTTATCAAGCCGCTTAAACTTGATTCTCTGAGGCACAACACAATCTGTCTCAGGGGATCCTTGAACAGAATCTCCAGTGGTGGAAAAACACCTCGACGAATAAGTAGAGTTTTGTTTCTGCCAAAAAAAAATTCCCAAGAACATCTTAAACATACAGAAGCCTAATCTAGATAGATATCACTGTGACCCCAACATAGAGAAAACATATAAAGTAGAACTTGTGAAACCATAAAACTTGAATCAAAGCTGAAAACAAATAACAACAGCACAAAGCTGGTTCCTCTATATACACATAACTCTTACTACTACAAGAGGAGAGGCGCAAGTAAAACAGCAAAGAGCTTATGAAGAAAACAGGTAACAAAGCTTAAGACAAAGAAGATCATTGATTTATCTATCACCCACCATTGTCTACTTAGTGATCTCTGAGCAAAATTTGATTTTTGTAAGATGAGATCAGTGGAATCTGAAGCTAGGAGAGTGACTACACTCATCAGTATTCTGCAAGACAAACCCAACAGCAAAGTTTCCGTTTTTTTACACTACTTGCGATTTTCAAACCAATTTGACATTAGATATCCATTACCAATCAAACCTCCTCTACATTTCTACAACTCCACACGAAATAAAGACAATCTTAAACCAAGATAGAGAGAAGGAAAGTGGCTTACAGGTATCGCCGAAGAGGAAATACCGGCATTTTTCAACGAGCTAATGAGATATGTCGCAGCTCTGGTACAAGGGAAAGAATCAAACCCTAGCCTCCTTGATTCATTTTCAGACCAGCTTCCACACGAAGTAGAAGAAGAAGAAGTGAAACGAAGAGTGTTGGAGATGGAGAAACGATGCCTCTGAAGCAACCTTGTACTGCCACGAATCGATTGCATTTCTCCGCAAGAGGAATCGATCTATGCGATGACAAATATCCAAATTCAAGTTTTCAGAGATTTGGCCGAGTTTGAGACAAACAACGGTGAACTAACAAAAACCCTCGTTGGTTCCTTCGCGTTCCTTTTTTTTTTTATTGGTAATTTGCATAAAAACCCCTGATGTTTTATGCTTACATCAAATACATCCTTTCTTTTTTTTCTTTAGTAATTTCATATAAACCCTTCAATTTTTATGCTTATATCAAACATACCCTTTCTCTTTTGATTAAACAATCAAGAGTAATGAAATAGATTCTAGCATAACACTTGTCATATCTGCTGAGCAACTTGCTGACAATGTTTAATTTACTGAATTTATCTTTAAATTATGTGCCAAGTATCATCAATACACCAATTTGATAACCTTGTTGACAATGAAAAAACCACCATGAAAGAAACTTTGTCTAAATTTTTATCGTATCCTCTAAATATAACCAAAATCATTGTATTATATCAAAGAGACTATGCAAATGGGAGATGAGAAATTTCAATTCCAAAAAGAACAGATCTTAATTCGGGGCCTTATGAAAACTGAACAGAGACTATACGAATTCCTTTAGAGAAAGATAGGACACTCTACATGATCCAAGAAGACTCTCATATAATGCGGACGATCTTCAATTCCTTCAATCTCAACTCTCCTGGCGATTTCTTCCTTGCGATCGTAAATGATAATAACGGACGCCCAAGCCGAAAGCAATGGTGTGAATATGAATTCGCCGGAACTAATGGCACCTCTGCAATAGAACAAGCTTCTTCCAACTAAATCATTCCAAGAAGGAACCACAACTGAGATCTTTGACCATTCTTGTTTGTCCAAAACCCACAGTTCAAATTCACCCTTATATGAGTGATTTGCTAAAGCTAGCTTCCTCTGGTAGTTCACCAATTCAGTATCACTACTAAAATTTATGACGCCATCGGGTAATTTAACAAGAATAAACTCTTCCAACCTCACATCAAAGCCCACAATTAGAAATCCTTTGTTTTTACTGTTGGACCAAGCTCCGTAATAAACAACACCGTCAATGCATATCCCTTGCGTTGCAGGACAATGTGGAACCTTACATGTGATCATTCTCCATGCTGCTTCTTTCTTCTTCTCAGCTCCTCCTAGAGTGAAAACTTGATGCTCTTCGCTCACAACGGGTTCAGAATTGGAAGGAACTTGCAATACCGTCATGCACAAGACTTTGTATTCATCTTCAATGGGATCGTATCCGAAGAATCTTGATATTCGTCTTCTCCTAGTGTTGAGTTTTGGTAAAACCAAGAATTGGCCAGTGCTAGGATTCGAAACCACCACCTTATCCAAATCTTGACAGCAGATCAAGCCGCGTACCGGTGTACAAACGTTGTAACTTATTGGAGGGAGACGCCTATCAAGACTCAGAGGAAAGCTTGATGTATTAGTGTAAGAACACTCCGGTGCTGCCTCCTCAGAGATTGCTTCCTGAGAGATTGAGTGGAAGAACCTGCGGTTCTCACGGTGGAATGAGAAGAGTAAACACGGACGAGTCAGAGATCGTTCCAAGTAAAGATCGATGAAAGATCTGCTGCGGATTATAGAAGACCACAGTTTCGAGACGACGATGAGCTTGGCTACGGATTTCGACGGCAACTTCACGAGAATCTGTGCGATCAGATCTTCAGGAAGATAATCTGATGATCGTATCTGTGGATTGTTCTCCATGGAGATTCCTCTGCTTTTTCTTTCTTCTCCGCCAGAATCAATTTCTGAAACCTTTATATATACCAACGAATTTTATTTTATTAATATCTAAACTTGGTCAACGATATAACAACTTTGAGTAATTGAGTCAGATAATATATACCCAATGGGCCTAGTAAACGGGTGATATGAAAGCCCAGTTATATTTTTCTAGTTACATTTTGCAAATAATAATAACAGGTGGCTTACAAAGTAAAGAAACCAATCATAAGCCAAATAAATACATAAACACCTCAAAACCAAACGGTGAATCATGTGAAGGTAGAACTATTGCATTTAAAATTGTACTTATTTGCTTTTAAGATCCGGTAAGTTGAAATCGACAGACCCAGGTTTGTAGCAATTTGGGTGCTCCATAGTGCAAAGTTGATTAGAGAATAGAGAGTGTTTTTAAAATGATGCATTAATATTTAATGGAAGTAAACACACAAATAACCTAAAGCTAATCCAAAGGCACTTCTAAAGCAGGATTAGGTAAACTATGAAAACCCAACGTAGCTACACAACACGTTACATATCCTAAGTGTTACATATGTGCTATGTCGATACTAATCAGAGCCGTTGATTGTTCTTTAACGTGTGAAAAAGCTTCAACAACTTGTAATTTCTGCCAACAAAAGTCATCAAATAAGTCTACAACTTTTTTCTCAATCTTGACCAAAATTGGCGTCTACTAAGAAAACTTAATTCCGTTATTAAATCTTCTTTAAGGGACGACGACTTAATAACATCATTTTTTCTTCATACCTGATAACGAAAGCTCAAGCTTTTGTATCGCTTCTCTAACTCTTCAGCTGAAAACAGGAGAAATTGACACTTGGACTGTAATTTTACTTTTGAAAATCTCAAACGATGCAGATCATGAAGTAACGCCTCTACTTCAAAGTTTCAAAGTTCATACAAGAAAACCAAAATGTAGCTGGAAAGCGAAATTGAACCGCGCACAGGTAACAAATTTCGTAACTTAGTACCGATCGTATAATTTCTAATTTGGATCAGATTGTTTAGAATTCGATTCCAAGAAATAATAAAATAGTTTCTCAAATTCGCTTTTGAATTAATGTTCAATTTGAGTTGGATTTATTCGATTTTAATGCGTTGGAATATATTCTGATTCTCCAGGATTTGTGAAACGTAGCAGAAGCAGATGCGAAGAATAAAAGAAAAATCATTATAAATAAATAGAATAAGATCCATATATCATATCAAAAACCATATCACATAACTAATAATAATAAATCGTCTAGAAAATCACAAACCAGAAATACTCTCTAAAAGAAATAATAATAATATCCTCATACAGATATGAAGATTAAGACAGAAGAAGAAGAGAGCCAAATAGAAATGAGATCTATAAGCTTCGGAATACACACGAGACGACGAATGAAATGATGAATGGCCTATACCCGATAATAATCATAATCATAAGCTGCAAAAACAATCTCTGTACGAAATCACCATCACAGTAATTTAGATCCGAAGAGCAGAGCCGAAAACAAGAGCCGCGACTGCTGCAACTCCAGCAGAGACGAAAGACGCTGAGATCGCACTAGATCCAGATGTAGGACTTGGTGCTGGTGCCTCAGATTGAGCCGAAGCAACGACGGAGATGATCACCATCATGACAACAACAATGGAAGCCTTAGAGATCGCCATTTCAAATAGTAGTAGAGATTTGTAGTGAGAGATAAAGAGAGAGGCTAGGGTTTTTAGTGTTGCTTTGAATTTGCTTAAGCTCGAGGGTTTTCTATAATGAAATGTGGTGAGGGGTTTATAAAGAGGTCGGGCAGATGTGAAGCTGCCCGGTTTAGTTGGTTTAGATGCCCAGATTTTTCCAGCTGGGATTTGATAATCGACGGTTGATATTGCTCCGCGTATTCACTGAGATTTCGACAGGTCATCTTTCTCCGTTACGGCGCCGTTTGAGGATATTTTATGAGGGAATTTTTGTGAACGCTCAACGAGGCGCGTGGATCTAACTCTCTGAGCTAAAAAGGCACAACGGTCTGGTCTGTTGGCGCGTGGAGAATTTGATGAGCTGTCTATTTTTTTAACAGTGACGGCAAACGCGGTTCCGTGAAGGAAACGGCCAAGATGCGCAGACTTGTATTTGTTGGGAGTGGGGACCATTTCTTTTGCACATGGTTCGTGTAACGGCTAATGTTAAAATGAGCTTTTTGAAATACGACGACGTTTCGTTGAGACAAAAAAGCCTAGTCTTTGATATCTCGAAGCAATGTTGATTAATTTTACATTTTAAGGGAATTTTAGAACTTGGTAAGCAAATAGCAATTATGTTATTGTTTGGTAAACAAACCAAGGTGTTTTAAAAAGAAAATTTTTATAAGAAGAATGGATTACTCTCTTTTTCTATTTTTGGAATTATAGAAGATCTAAATGATATTGAAAACATTAGAATATAAGGAAACGGTGGAAATATTAAAACAAAACATGTTTTTCAATAATTAATTTGAATTGATTAGGAGTATTATATATATTTCATTTCTTTTAATGATTATGATAATTTTACAAAATTGCTTTGTTTCTCAATAACTATAAATAGCATTTAAAACCATATAGATTTGATTTTTATATATTGGAGAAAAAATGTGACACAATTTAATTGAATGGGTGGATATTTCTCCTTTAATTAATAGAAATAGTCAGTTTGAAGGAAAACAATGAAATTACTTTTTGAGAAGAGAAAAAAAGATGAAATTATTAAAAAAAAAATATAAAAGATGGTGGATTTTGTGGACTTTCTTTCTATCCTAAAGAACATATTCTATTCTAAATAATAGAATTGAAACCTTCTTTACCTCAAATGAAACCTTTTCACATACTTTAATTAATTGCCAAAAAAGAATAACTTTATTGTTTTCTAAAAAGAGGGGAAAAAAAGACAGATGGTAGACGTTGGCAGGCTCTTGAGGGCTTCGAGAAACTTCGATTAGGTGTAAAAGTGTGTCTCTCCACCTGGCTATGTTTGTGTTCCCATTGTCATTTAGTTATGGTCTTATGGTTTCACATTCAAAGCCCCAAAATCTTGGTCGGTAAGCAATTTCTTTCTTTTGTTTTCAGGTCGGTAAACAATTTACCAATACTAGCTTTTTATGTATAATCCATGTTAAGAAGAGGTTTGTTCGTTTTTCTAACTTGTTAGAATAATAAAAAATGAGTTAAGAGACAAGAATACTCTAGAACTAACATAAAAACGATTTTATCCTCTCAACTTGTTACAATAAAAGAAAATGAGTTAGAGACATATAAACACAGTTTAGGCACAACGGTCAAATGATTTAGGACTGAACAATCCGGATAAATCAGACACAAGAATAGAAATTTGTGATTCAATAGTGCACAAGAGTATATCCGAAAGAAAAACTGATCTTTGCATAGTAATTCTTTAAAATATAAAGTTTACATATGACTGGATCCTGTCGTGCAACCTATTTTCTCTCTACTAAAATCTCATTTCTTCCAAACTAATATCACAACAAACAAAATAAAATAATATCGGTGTAAAATCTCCCACAGAATCCATATCACACCCACTTCGTGATCTCTCTATTTGATGTCAAGAGGTTCAGAGAGACATTACTAAACTACTCAAAATCCGAGAACCTTGGGAGCAATGTGAAGCAAAGGCTCCAGAGTACTCGGAGCAAACTTCCTTGCAAAGAGATAACACATGGAAGTGTTGCCACCATTGTAACTGCAGTTTCTTCCATCAAAGATCCTTTCAAAGAACTTCTCTGTAATGTCAGATCGCCCAAATGTAGCTGGGTGGGGCCCTCCCCTCGACCAGTCCACCCATGTCAAGCTTCGGTTAGCCAAGACCGTTGGTTTCTCAATTGTCAACATCGTTGGGAAGTAATGCTCGTCCACATAGCAAGCAGGCCTGCAGAACTCTTTGAATTTCGGGTAATACAATGTGTCTTTGACAATGGTAGCTGCGAGGTCCCTGTTAACCTCAAACCATTGAGACCCTTTTCGCCATTTGGAAAGGGGAACTTCAGGTTCCATGTTCCCGTTGTAGCGGCCACGTCCAAACGGTCCAGGGTCATCAAAAGCACCCATGAAGCTGTGTTTTGATCGGCTTAAGTAGCTGTAGATGGTTGTGAAGTTGAAGAGTGGAATGCATGACTCTGAGACGAGAACAAACCATTCGTTGGAGATATCGAGCAGCGCGTTGGCGAGAAGCCGCTTCTCTGCATCACACATAGACATTCTCCCCCATTCTGCAACCTGCACAATAATGCAGATGATCCAAATTACAATCAAATCAAGTACGTAACCAACTAGCTTAGAAATGATCAGAAAAACTGCTTGAACAAAAGACTACTTAAGAAACCAAGTTTGATTCAAGAGTTACATTTTCTAACACTTAATGTAAAATAATCACTCAATGAACAGTTATATATTTCAATAGGAATGACTACATCACATCCAAAAAGGCTGTCGAGGCAATATGCCAAAAAGACTTCTAATGAAACCAAGTTTAATCCAAGAGCTCCATTTTCTCATACTATATGTAATTGGTATCCATGTAACAGAAGAGGATTAAAAGAAACAGACCTGGCTCGGTATCTGCCTCCGGTGGAAAACAGAGCTAGCTGGAAATTTGGCTGTAAAAGATGGGTGGGGATGAAGGTAAACCGAGTAAAGCCCTTTATGACCCTTGAGAAACCTCTCCCAAAGCATAGCAAGTGGCAAGGGGCCTTTAGTCAAGAACATAAACGCAATCTTTGGAACCCGTTCAAACGGATATTCTTTTCTCCGAGGCCAAAAAGAAGCACGCCAAAGGAGCTCTTCATCACTCATGTTATGCATCAGAACCGCAGGAGGCTGTATCCATTTACTCAAACTATTCGGTTCCTCCTCAGGGCAAGGCACAAAGCTAGAAGTCACTGTGGTTACTACACTTTGTATACCAGAAAACTTGATTGTAGATACACTAATGATGAAGACAGTAACAGAAAAAGCAAGAAAAAACCCTAACAGAAGTAGCAGTTTCGACGGAAATCCCTTATACTGCCCTGATCGAACAATCGGAATTCCATTTTCTTTTCCTTCTTCCAACTGTACAATCCTATTCTGCATCCTTAACACTAACAAAAGCTAATACCAATTTCTAGTAGCAGCAATCTAAACAACCGATTTGCAGATTATGATTCTGCTTCTAACGTGATCTAAAGCTATGTTCTGAATCTGAATCAACTAAGCCTAACACTTGAATGATTCTGGCAAAATCGGAAGTCAATGAATTGCTAAAACTAGAACTCTAGATCTCCTCCTCTAATCACGAAGTTCCACGAAGTAGCTTGAGACTTCACCAGCAAGACAGAATCAACAAAAGTCAGGCAAGTATTCAATATAAATCAACCGAAATCGATAGTATCTAGTTGATTCAATCACTGATTCTTCAAGCAAATCGAAACTCGGATCTAAGAGGGAGCTACTTTAAGAAACTAACTCCATCAAGTCTTCACAGATACTGGAAACGAATCTTCACGAAAAGGGAAAAAAAAAACAGAGGAATAATCCACGTGTCGAGCTTACAGCGACGTGAGAAGCAATAATGCGAAGATGACGGAGAAGCACTGAGATTAAGTTACGAATCCGTGAGAGAGAGATGATTAATGGAGAAGACGAGATTGAAAAGTAAAGTGAGGAAGACGCCGAAACTGTTTTTGCGTTAGACTAGACCGCGTAGACTTTTTGGGTTATATCGGAATCAGATCATGACGTTCATTTTTTTTTTTCTGATTTGGTTTCCTTTTTAATTTTATTACATTAATAAAGGATGTTATCAGAAATTTTAAATTTAATCAACTAGTATTAGATAAAATCTAATTAAAGTGGTTCTATATCTTTTGATTGTTTAGAAATTTGAGTTAACGAGATCTTAAAATTAAGCCAACAGTTAATGAGAAAGATTTGTGGCCATATGAATGAAAAATGTACAAATATGTTCTTTTCCTTTTCGGCAAACCACACATAAGGCTGTTAATAATTTTTCAGAAAGAAAAAAAATCTAACGAATTGGAGAGGAGAATGGAAAATATCTATGATATGATATAAGAAGAAAAAAAACCTTTTTGATGATATCTGAACCCTTCAAAAACACTATTATTTGGAGTAGTAAATAATGGACCAAACTATTTACAATTGATTTTGAGTTTATAAAATCGCATTTCTTTAAGTGATTTGGAGTTTATACAATCATGAAATCTCTTTTCTTTACTTGATGACTCTTCTTCACTCCTTTTATTCATTAAGCATCCACAATTTCCCATTAATATTGGGTTTATATACCTCTTTAAGTCAATCTCAATCTCATCTCGAACTTCTTCCCAATAAGCAACGACAGTTTAGAAACCTCCACACTGAGAAACCTCGGATCATCATTGTCCAAAACCGTCTTAATTAGAGAGATTCTCGGACTCCTTAATCTCTCACTTGTCTTAACCTCGTACGTTTTCACGCTCTCCACGTTCTCAAACCCAACAAACGTCACTTTCCCGATGCTCCATTTCATTCTCGACGCGTACTCTGGGTTCACCACTTCTGATCTCAGTACCACAGATTTTCCTGTCACGAAGCACCGGAACTTCACGAGAGTCCAATCACGGTTTCCTCCTCCAGCTCCCATCTGTAAGTTTTCTCCGTCATCGAGAAACAGTTCCCCGGAGATGTTCTCAAGCCGGCTGGCTACAACTAGAAGCTGATACGGTGTCTTTCTGGCGTCCCTAGTCGTCAATGCCTCTCCTTGCATAGCCACAATGCTACCTATTCACAAAGTTAAACCAAACTCAGTTCAAGCTCAACTTTGGTTATTAAAAACTGGCTATCAAAGAATATACTATTACCTTCTCGAACATGAATGTTGACGTGATCAGCGGGAGTATCAAGCCTAACGTGCTTGCCAGAATCTCCACCAACGGCAAAGGAATAGTTAAATAGATCGAACCAGTTTCCAGCAGGGAAATATGCATCCACGGCCACCGTCCCTTGCTTCAGCGCAGGAGAAACCATTATGTTTTTACCAATCAAAAACTGGGAATCGATCTCATAGGTTTTAGTGTCTCGAGGAAACGAGAAGAAGAGTGGTCGCGCGATCGGGTTGCCGCTGATATGAGCCTCGTACATCAATGTGTAGAGATGTGGGAGCAGTCTCATTCTGAGACCGAGAACCTTTCTTGCAGAAGAAGCAACCGAATCCCAGAGGTATAGTTCTTGTCTGGCGGTACCAAGGGACGAATGGTCTCTTGCAAAAGGGTAAAAAGCTCCAAGCTGATTATCTAAGAGCCAGAGTTAGATCATGAACTCAGGAAAAAAATCTACAGGTTATGTTTGAGAATTAATCACTCTACCTGGATCCATCGACGGCATAATTCCTCGGTGGTATCATGTGAAAACCCGCAGATATCAGCTCCAACCATTGGAATCCCAAACAGACCAAAGTTGAGGATTCCAGGGATTGAGTAGGCCAAATCCTCCCATTTTGCAGCATTATCACCAGTCCAGTGAGCCGTGTATTTCCCCGAGCTTACAAACGTGGATCTCGACAAAATAAACGGTCTCTTTCCTGTTATATCCACCACAGCTTGGTGAGTGGCTTTAGCTTCCAAGAGCCCATACAAGTTATGCACATCGTATTCACTAATGTTTCCAAAATGGATAGATGTTGCGGGTACTGTCTTATTGTTTATCGGCCTTTTATCCCCTGAATTGTTGATCTTGTAAGGAGGATCATCGACTGAAGATCCAGACGATAGAGGCGAAGTTATGAAATTTGATAACTCATTCATGTCAATCCACAGACCATCCAAAGGGAGAATCTCCTGGAACATCTTGATTTCGTTGCTCCAGAAAGTTGCAGCAGCTGGATTCAAGAAGTCGGGGAAGTATACTTTTCCGGGCCAAACCTCACCAAGATAAGGCTCACCATTTCTTTTTATGAAAACATCCGCTTCCATTCCTCTGTTATAGGTCCCGTAAGAGCTATCCACACCAATACCTACAAGGAACCCAAAAAATTCATGTCTTGAATCAATTTGATAAAGACACTAGAGACTAGAGATAGTATATGGGTGTTACCGGGATCCAAGATCAGCACGTATTTCTGACCGCTCTTGTGAAGTGTATCGACGAATGATTTCATCTTGTCCTCCGGGAAATTCACTGGATCCAAAGTGAAGTCTTTGTAGCCATCCATGTAATCAATGTCAGTCCACATAACCTCAAGAGGTATTCCAGCTTTTGCATATCCATCAACTACAGATTCAAGGTCTGAAACATTCTTGTACCCATACCTACACTGGTGAAATCCTTCACAAAATCAAAGCAAAACACACATCTCAATTCACACAAACAAGTATATTATCCCATAATGCTTTGGACTAAACTTTAACCAAACAAAATGAACAGAGCAATGTCTCTTACCAAATGACCAGTAAGGCATAGGGGCAGGTCTTCCAATAAGCTCAGTGTACTGATTCATCACCATCTCTGGCGATGGTCCGGCGAACACATAGAGATCAATTACGCCTCCAATCACATTGTAAGTAATCCGATGTCCTTCATACTTCACATCCATTCCATTGCTATTCAGCAGCAAAACGCCGTGAGTCGTCCCTGCTTCTTCATGGCCGTTTGATCCTCTTACATCCATGTAAAACGGGTGCGATCCGTAAAGGTTAACATCCGGATTCTCGCTGCCGATGTCGGCGTTCCACAGAGTCATAGTATCACCGGGAATTAGCCTGAACGATCGCTTCGTGTGCTCTCCGAGACCATACAGATTCGATCTGTTTTCCGGTAACGCGGAAGATAGTTGAAGGAATTGGTCTTTGAAGACGAAGTAAGTGTTTGAATCTGATTGATCCGGCGAAGTGTCGAAGAGGATATCGCCGGAAGAGCGTCGGGAGACGGAGAAACCGAACGGCGTCGTGTTGTGGAGTGTGAAAACTAAGCCCGATGAAGGATCTGCTAAGAAATTGTTCTCCGACGAGTTTCCTGCGTCTTCCTCCGTTAAGAAACGGCGAGGAGAGTGGTTTCCGGCACGAGAAATAACGGTTTCCGGTATCTCCCATCTTTGTTGACTAGAATCTGTGATTCTGATTCTCAAACGCTCACTCGTCTCCAAGCTGCACTTATATATACATAATATGATGGCGAAAACTTTCCAAAATTATCGCACATTTAAATTAATTTGAAAAACTTGCTAAATATAAAGTTTCTGGATATTAGAGAGAGAAGATTATAATGACCTGACATGAAGACTGAGCGATTTAATATCTGGTGCGTAAACGGACGATGGTTTTATCAGATCAAGCTTCGCCGTCAATACTTGCCGGTTAGAATCAACGGCCACTGATCTAACGACGTAGCCGTATCCAACGACTGTGGCTTCTTCTTCTTCTAGTACAACTTGTGAGCTTCCATGTGAGGAGAAGAAGACGACGAAAACGATGAAGAAATTGGGAAACCAGTGAAGAGATGACATTTTTTATTTTGGTGTTGGACTGTTTTTTTTGTCTGAACTACTCATTTTCTTTGTAGGTAAGATTAATCTATATTTTATTCATTCGTGACCGGAGAACCAAATTGTGTAAGATAAGATGTGTTAACATAATCATTAAGAATGAACTTGGTCAATGTGAATGTGATGTGAATAAATCATAAGACAACTGAGAAGAAAGTTGGAGTCTCTTTGGGATTAAGAATCACACACGATAAAAAATCTTTGTTGAGTCGGAGGAGATACATATACTTTTGTTCTATGAACAAAACGAAACTTAAACCAATAATAAAAGTACTCTCTTATCAAAAACCATAAAGACAACACTTATCTCTCATTTAAACCCAAAGTAAATGCCACAACAACAATGGCACATCAGCCACCGACCAGATTGTCCCATGAATGAAGTGCAAGAACAACAAACCCCATTAAAAACTTACAATATGCTTTTTCATCTCAACACCAAATCACAGACAATTTCACTGCTTAAAGCCACCAGATTGGTACCTTTGGTTACTGAGGCTGGAGAAGAAATCATCTGAGATATCAGGTGCTTGTTGTTGTTGTTGCTGCTGTGCACTGTATAGACCGGTTTTACCGAGCCCAGATCCTGCACCCATGGACCAGCCTGAGTAGTACGATGCAGCCGATGCTTTGTTCCCTTCATCATTGCTCAGATCACCCACAACGCCCACATCAGCTAGAGAAGCTTTTTTGGCTGGTTACAGGGAAAATAAAACAATCAGGACTAAGATCAGACATAGAAAGAAAAAGGAAAATAAAATAATTAGGACTAAGATCAGACTTAGAAATAACCAACAATTTATTTGTCTTGACTCAATGCAAACAAGCTACATGGTAATGGAACTTTATGTGAGCTAAGAATATTGACTGGTAGAATGTACTATTTGAATATTAGTTGGAATGTAATCGAACAGCTATACCTTTTGGGTTTGACTGCATCTAATGAGAAAACAAAACATTTTTTTTATAGTGCACGTCACATGAGAGAGTTCTTGACAAAAGAGGAAGTTTCGACTTACGAGCAGTTATATTGAGATCAATCAGTCCACGGCTCAGCGAATCTGCCCAAATTCCAGATTTAACCTGGAAAGGATCTTTCTTTTGCAAGTGTTGTGGCTTCGAGTCTGCCAAAGACATCGGGCTTGTGGTGTTTGTTGCACTCCCATGTACAGTTGGAGCTTGTGGACCTGTAGAGACTGAAGCCGAGTGGGAAGTGAAGGCACCAAAAGGATCAGATCCATCAAAATTATCCATAGGAACTGCAGCAAATGGGTCAACAATGTTGGGAGTGGCCATAGACTCGGGTTTTGATATCTTGGCTTCTGGGCTTGCAACTGACTCAGAAGATGCAAAGAGGTCAACCGTCGGAGGAGCTGAAGAAACTGTGACAGAAGGTTCAGACGCAGAGAAAAGATCAACCTCTTTCTGTAGAAACAGAAATGCGGAAACACATCAGTCTACGATTCAACAGTAACTGTGAGATGTAAAGAAAGACTTCAATAGCGAATATTAAACGAACGTTTTTGTCAAGTGCGAAATTGCATCACATGACTGGACACTTAATAAGGGAATTTTTCATTGTTAAAAGCTGTATACTAGCTTAGATGAAAGAAGTCGCCCACCTGTGTCTGTGACCCAAATTCAGCTCCCTGAGCCGAGGCTGATACAAAAGCTGCATCAGCAAACAAGTCCGCCTCTTGAAAGTTCTCGTTGTTGTTGGTGGAAGATGTTTCTGTTGGCCCAGAATCCAAGAGGTCACCAATCAGATCTCCTCCAAAAAGGTCAACTTTGTTGGCACTGCCTGTGGATGGCTCTGCCAAAAAGAAAAACCATACAGATAAGACATGCACATACGTCTATCATATATACATGTTTATCAAACCAACTTTTTCCCCAATGAATGATAAACAATCTGCAAACTTGTAGAGAGAAACATACTATTGCTGGAAGTTCCCCGTGGATCAAAATCATCAAAATCATCATCGTTGTTTGAAGGAGCTGCAGAGACATATGAACTATGTTTGGCAGAATCGGGTGACTTTTTTCCACTGGATAGATTGTCATGGTCCGTGCTGCACATTCAGAATTGGAAATGAGTGAGCAAGATTGCAAGATTAATTTACTCGACATCAGAAACATGGTACACAAAAGGAGACTAATGAGTCATAAACAAAAACATAAATAAGAAAAGAAAAGCAAACAAGCAGCCTCCTTTGGAAAAGAAAACTCCCAAGTCAAAATACCCAAAATAATGTAACGGACATCAGAAAATGAATGGGGTTGACATAAAACCTGCCATAGCGTGAAAAACTCTTCTTAGAAGTGTAGCTTTGCTCCTCACTTTTAACACCACGTCTTGACTTTTGAAAAGACTCGTAGTCATTCTTGTCTTCTCTGGAATCCCTATCCTTGTAGCTGTCATAATTGCTTGAACCACTTTGAAAACTACCACCAAATGAAGCTGACGAACCAGATTTATATGTTATTCCCGTTGATGAGAGGCCAACATACCTAATTGGAGGCAGAAAACACCGTTCAAGGCAAAGTCGAAAGAAGAATGGACAAACCAGTTATTTTCACTTGTGTAAAAACTAACTTGTTACGATTTGCTATTGCTTTGTCTCTGATTTCTGAGATTTTCTCTTTATTATTCAAGAGAGCGACTATGTTTTCCGCCTTCTTTCTCACGTTGATTCCCACATCTTTTCCATTTGGTTCAACATACTCAAAACTTGTGAGTGACTAGATGGATGACAAATCACAAAACAAAGATCATGTCAGCAGAAAAAAAATAAAAACACAATCTCCAGCGCGAGAGAACTGCATATCAATGTGTAAAGAGAAATATACTGACCGATATTTGGTAAGTATGCTCAATAATCTCATCAACCGCTCGTTCTGATCCATTTGAAATCAGATAATCAACAACAGCCAATGCCTGGCAGAAAAAGAAAAAAAAAAACGTCAGGATAGACTAAAACTATAAACTTCCAAATAACGCAGGAAAACGTCAAGAAGATTCTCACCTTGTAGACATATCGCCAATCTTTTCCTGTCTCACTTAGTCTAGTCCACAAAACACTCATAACCATCTGGCACTCCGAGCTAAACATATGGCAAACGCACATGTTAACCACTATAAAATCAAAAAATTATTTCAAAGTAGATTCACAAAAATGAAGCCAGAGGCTCATTATTACAATTTCTTCGTGGCCTGTGCTATCTCTGCCAATGCAGTACCATGAGGACCCCAAGGCTCATTATCTGTAGCATCCAATACCTGTACTAAACATAGTCATATAATTACAAAAAGTTATCACAGAACTCTAGATGATCAAACAGAAAATCCCGGAAACTATGATACTACACATTACTAATATAAACATGGAGGTTCAAGCTTAACTTGTATATCCAATGAACAAGAACACGAGATTTGTGAGTCCTAAAGATGGATCTAATCTCAGATACAGCATCGGAAAATAGCAACTGTGAACAAACTCAGCATCCGAACACATAAAACATAACAAATCCAGCTCAATTTTCCAGAATTAGTGTCGATTTTCGATGCAATAGCTAAATCTATAGAAAGTTATCGATCATTTTGCATATTAATCATGCAAACACTTTGCAGATATGGATACGAATCAAATGAATTCACCTTTTGTTCCATCTCAGGGACCTTCAAAACTTTCAGATTCACCTCCCTCTTTCTGCAATTGAAAACGAATCGAGATCAATCGAAAAAATATAGAACCAAGGATCTACGGATTTGGATCGAAATCAAAGAAGAATAGATAGAGAAAACGGTAAACCCACATCTCTCGAACCGTTTGATCGAAGACCTTCATGAAATCCATTTTGAAATCGCGAAAATGTTATGAACAAATGAACGAAAACTGGCAAAATTTTTGGTGCGAGGAGAAGTGTAGATCTAATCAGAGATGGCTCGTCTTTGTTTTATGAGTTTTTTTTTTTTTCCTTTTTTTTTCCAATGAAAGGCAACAACAAATAAAAAGTTAGCAGCTAAAACCGATTTTTCGCGTAATTGATTTTTAAAGGCGTCAAAATGACTGTAATTCCCGATCCGCAGTCTCCGATACTCACGGCTATTGGTGGTATCAATAAATAACCTGATCATCATTTTTCTATGTTAGTAAATCCGATTTATCTGTCGGATTATTGGACCTATCATAAAATAAATTTGTAGTTAAGTTTCTTTCTTTGGTTATGGTCATTTTTTTATAGATGTATCCAGATGGCACGAAATAATCCAGTTGAAACACTCTAAAACATTGGCACTTCAATAAAATGTCTCCAAATGGGTCATCCTCTCGCGCTCTTTGTTTGACACCAATCTAATGGCATTCGACATCAGATGACACGAGGAATGTTGTTGATGAAGATTATATCATATTACTCTCTTTTATAGTTTACTTTGGTGGGGTTTCTTTTAGCTCTCTTGTTACATATGTGGTTGTTTTGGTACCTTTATTTACTTTGTAAACATTTGAAGTTTAAAGCAATAAAATCCAGTTGAATAATGTTGGTCAGATAAGATTAAGCTTATAACTTTGTAGTAGCTACCAAATTTCTCTATATAAAATACATTATAGCTATTGTCTTATTGAAGAAGTCAGCATGATGAGTCATATGTGAGTCAAATTGCATTTGTTTTTTACTCTCGTACCAACCAATAAACCACGTAATATCAAATTATACATCACGTATCCCACTAGTTTAAATTAGTTTTTGTTGACCATGCACAATCTTCTTACTTTGAACATAGAGTGTCCCCGAGACATGTTGTCCCGTATAATAATTCTCATCACTAAACTCTAATTTTGACTTTCATATGTTTTGAAGCTATAAGCTATTTAGCATACATTGAAATTCAAAAAAAAAAAAAACCATTTTTCATTTCAACCAATGGGCAAAATATGATCCATAACGTTAAAAATCGAAGTGATTGAAGGATTGGTGTGGTGGATTAAAAATTTGGTGTTGATAATGCTGCTAGTTTTCTATTGGGCCAGCCAGATTTGTTAAATTTTTGTTTTTACTTCGTCCAGGTCACACGCATTCTGTTTCTCAATATCAAACAAAAAACACTCACGCTCAAATCCTGGCGCGTCTATATCAAACTCCTTCAGAAACATGGCCCATCAAAGCCCAATTCTAAACACTTTTCAATGTCCGAACGTAACTCCTGACGTTTTAAAATTTAAAAACCAAGTCATTAACCCCTTAATATCCACAGCAAAGCGAGTAATTAAACGTAATTAGACACGTGTCGTAATATAGTTCGACAAGAAATAGATTACGATACCGCGGACACATCCAGTTCCATGTGAACCACGATGCACAGTAGTATTACCTTTTGGAGCATTCTACAGAATGACGTGGCGTAATATGATTAGTTAAGATTTAGCTGATTACGGTGAAGTCGCACGTACCAGATCTTAACTACTCTCCGTTCCAACCTGTGTTTTTCTTTTCTTCTTGGAAGCTCCCTTCCCTCTCTTTCTCTCTCCTCCGAGAAAGGAAAAGCACCACTTCTCTCTCTAAGAGCCCATTTTTCGGTGAAGGTTTATGCGCTTTTCTTCTTCAACGAGACGACTAAAATACGTATACATGCATATATGTTGATGTATGCATAAGTGTTATTGTGTGTTGGAGATAGAAGACAAGGTTTGTTTGTGAATTTGGGTCTTCGAGGTTTTTTTTTTCAGCTTCTTCTTCTCAATGAGCCGAATTGGGGTTGAATCGAAAACCTTAGTAGACTTCGTCTGTGATGACTCTTGATACTAGTGGATGGCTCGATTTCAATTTTGCTGCGTCTTCTTCTTGGTCGCTCTTGCGGTTTTGGCCGTAAACCCTAGTTCAAGCTATCGATTTACCATTGTGGAACCAAATTTGGGTTTTGATTCCAATTTGGACTCAGATTCAGAGTCGTTACTATTCCATCAGGATTACTCTCCGCCTGCTCCGCCACCTCCACCACCGCATGGACCGTCGGTATCTTGTAGCGAGGATCTCGGTGGGGTTGGGTTTTTGGATACTACTTGTAAGATTGTCGCCGATTTGAATCTTACGCATGATGTGTATATAGCTGGGAAGGGGAATTTTATCATCCTGCCTGGTGTTAGGTTTCACTGCCCGATCCCTGGTTGCTCTATAGCTATCAATGTTTCTGGAAACTTCTCTTTGGGAGCGGAATCTACAATTGTCGCTGGGACATTGGAGCTTTCAGCTGGTAACGCTAGTTTTGCCAATGGGTCGGCGGTGAACACGACGGGATTAGCTGGGAACCCTCCGCCACAGACCAGTGGGACACCGCAGGGGATTGATGGTGCTGGTGGTGGACATGGTGGTAGAGGCGCTTGCTGTTTGACTGACACTAGGAAGCTTCCTGAAGATGTGTGGGGAGGTGATGCATACTCGTGGTCGACTCTGCAGAGGCCGTGGAGCTATGGTAGTAAAGGAGGGTCAACGAGTAAAGAGATTGATTATGGAGGAGGAGGAGGTGGCAAAGTGAAGATGGATATTCTGCAGCTTCTGGATGTTAATGGAAGCCTTTTGGCAAACGGAGGTAATGGAGGAGCCAAAGGTGGTGGTGGCGCTGGTGGCAGCATCTACATCAAGGCATACAAGATGTAATGAACTATCGTTTCTCTGCTCTCTTTCACTAGCTGTTGATTAGATTGAAGGCATATGTTTAAAATTTTTATAGTCGGCAGAGAAGGCAAAATTTGCAATACTTGCTTGGTCCTAATATTTCTTAAGATCATAATCTTACCTTAGGACAAGTTGAGTTTCTAGAAATGATACAGAATTGCACTTTCGTTTCATAATGATATTCTAGAACTGTGCTTATGAGTTTCTGTTCTCAACCGGAAGTATGTGATTAAGCATGAATCTTATTTATGTCATATATATTTCGAAAGAATTTAGAGCTTGTTCTTATCTCTCCAAAATGTGTTATCTGCTGTTGTATGATACACATGAAACAACCCATTTTCTTTGCTAATTTTAAAGATTTGTAGTGAGCCTTTTGTCTTCTTAGATTCTTGGTAAATTGATCTCAGCTAGCATCCTCTGCTTTGCTGTTATTTGAAGTGCAGGACTGGAATTGGAAAGATCAGTGCATGTGGTGGGAGTGGTTATGGTGGTGGGGGTGGTGGAAGAGTATCTGTCGATATTTTTAGTAGGCATGATGACCCGAAGATTTTTGTGCATGGTTCGATTCTCTTTACTTGGTTATTTTGTTTACATTTGCTCATTTTATCTCCTTCACAGTTTTTGTTTTGAGCCAGTACATCCAATACGTGCTTGACTAACATTTTCAAACATGTAAGCTGATCTTATTTTCCTACACACAGGCGGATACAGTATCGGATGTCCAGACAACTCAGGTGCTGCTGGGACACTCTATGATGCTGTTCCCCGAAGCCTTTTCGTTAGCAACTACAATATGACGACAGACACGTATACACTTCTCTTAGAATTTCCCTTCCAGCCACTTTGGACCAATGTTTATATTCAGGATAAAGCGCGAGCAACTTGTCCTCTGTTATGGAGTCGTGTCCAGGTAATTAGAAAATAAAGATCCAATACATGGGCTTTGTAGGCTTACTGATCTTTCACCTTGCAGTGTTTAGCACTATTTGTGATCTTAATTACAAGGATAACTTTCCTTTTCCTGCAAATCTAGTGTCTTTTGTGTCTCCTTTATATATATATATATATATTTGGTTTTTTAAAAGGTATTTAGTGGAATCTCCTGTTTTTCAGCATATTATTTTGCAAAATTGATGGATGTAGTACTCAAACCGAACTCAATATGTAGGTTCAAGGACAAATTAGTTTGTTGTGCGGTGGTGTTTTGAGCTTTGGATTAGCTCATTTTGGCACATCAGTATTTGAGTTGTTGGCAGAAGAACTCTTAATGAGTGATTCTACTATCAAGGTGAGTCTTATCCTGATTCTCCTCCTTTTTAGAAAATGGGGATGCAACAGCATGGTGTCTGTCTACGCCATATGTGAATATTTCTTTCTGTTGCTAAGATCTGCTTCACTCTTGGTTTACCTGGCCTTTCTTCATACTCCATATTCTATTTTGGTATTCATGTCAATCACTTGTTCATCATGTTTATGTTTATTGGTACGTACCAGGTTTATGGGGCATTACGCATGACTGTCAAGATGTTCTTGATGTGGAATTCAGAATTGCATATAGATGGAGGAGGAGGAGATACAACTGTTTCAACTTCCATGCTTGAGGCTAGCAATTTATTCGTTCTTAGGGTACTCACAAATTCATGTCATAGTTTTTCTCCTAAAAGTAATTTGCGCCATAGCGTTGCATCTATTCTTTTTTGTGTGACCTCTCTATCTAAATATAGGGATCATCTGTCATTCGGTCAAATGCAAATCTTGGAGTCCATGGACAAGGTTTCTTGAATCTAACTGGACCAGGGGATTCGATTGAAGCACAACGGCTTGTTTTGTCACTATTTTACCGGATTTATGTAAGGGGTTTCCTTTTGTTAGTTTGGTGACAATCCTGCATTAGATGACATCTTATATTTTGTGAATCAAAAATAGGTTGTGTTTATAACTCTGAAAATGTAATGAATATAGGCATAATTTAACAATTAGTCTCCTATAAAGGCCATATTGGCTGTTGTATAACAAATATAGAAATGCACTTGATTTGGCCATGTAGGAGTTAATGAATTTTTTTCCTGGCAAATGAAGGTTGGGCCTGGGTCTCTTTTGCGTGCTCCTCTACTGAATGCGTCCAGAGATGCTGTGTGAGTTTGAAGAAAAATGTCATATTTATGGTTTTGCAATATTCTTCGGATATAAAAGCTAAG